GTTAACAGGAGGACATGTGATAAAATACTCATAAAGGTATAATACCAATAATGTATCATGGGGAAAAGACAGTTGTATCATTAAAATTGAGGGGGGGGGGGGGAGGGGAAGAGATATTTCAAAGAAATGTACACCAAATCCATTTGTTGTCTCATGGCTTTTTTTCTTTGACAACAACATGTCTAGACCATTTCATGGGCTACATTGTGAATATTCGTGTACATTTGTCAGTGAGAGATTTCACATATTAATGATCTCAATTTTTACAAACTCACTACCTCAATGTAATTGTTCCTTGGCTGAGTTTACATGAATAATCTGGACTTCCAAAATTCCCTTTCTCTGATTTTGTTCATGCCTTATTCATGAATACTCAGTCCAAATTCCAAAAGGAGGCGCGATAGCTCAGTCGGTAGAGCAGTGGTCTCGTAATCCAGTGACCCGGGTTCAAAACCAAGGCGATGCGCTACATGTAGTATCATATCGGAAGCATATGCAATCCTACATGTACAATATTCAGTGATCGTTGTCGCGGTCGAAATCGAGTCTAAAGTTATGAAATTGTAATTAATACAATCTTTATGTTGTATAGCTCCCTCTCAAGGTCAAGATATTAATTAAGCTATAAAACAATGTTTCTTGACTAAAATCAACTGATTACCTATTCCCGTTTGGAAATTATATATCACAACTACATGTTCTGAGATTCTCATGGTTGCAGCTACCATTGTACGACAGTAGGCGCTATTTATTTGAAATTTATCAAAATTTACCGGGAGCACCGGTAAATTCTTATATTCAAATTTTCTCGAAAGCAGAAGTGTTGTAGGGGCTAAATTTTCTAGTGCTTATAATACATCCACAGGGGCATCCAAATATATAAAAACTGTAAAGAATCGCTATCCACCCAATTTTCAAAATTTCCCAAAACTTTGTATTACCTTTAAAGTAAATATTTTAAGTGTTAAAGGTAACAAAATTTGCTACAATAGCAGACTTTACTTAAAGTAAAGATTTAAAGATGTAAAATTCATCCACTTGCAAATCCTTTTACATAATTTTTTTTTTAATGCTAGTATTTTCCTGCAGTATTGTACATGTATAACCAGTGGTCATTAGCCATGACTTAAATTCTGCATATATCTGTCTGCTTGTACAATGTGTGTCAGAGCCATTCCTGCAAGGGCCCCATTTGTGATATTTGGGGCACTAAAAATTATGCGTACAACCATATTTGATGAAACTTTATCTTCTTTAACGTACATACACTGTACATTGCGTACTGCATATCATACATTTATATGTACTGCACGTATCACTCAGTATCTTAAATATATTGCTTATGAAATTTTGACCAAATTGCATTTGCTGATCAGGATCGAGAAGATTTATTATCTGAAATGCCAGAGTGCAATTATGCTTTTATGAGATTGGTGCATCTCATGGTACTGCAGGCTTCATACTCCACTGATATTACAGCTAGTTTTTAATATGGCATAAAAACTGTCAATAGATACATGTATAGTGTAAATTGGTTTTCTGCTTCAATGGGATGCGTTCATAAAGTTTTAATTAATTTTTTGAGAGCTTTAACCAGTTCGTGATTTCAATAGACAAGAGCCCTTCAGCAGGGCAAGGTCAAACTCTTGATGTATCAATAAAGTGTCCCCTTTGTCGGAAATCAGTCAGTATTGTTTGGTGTCCTAGCAAAGAATGAAGTTATATAATGTTTGTTCCGTTTTTAACACAGTTTCATACATTAGAGGTGTGAAGGTTATGCATGACGCACACAATGCAAGTTTGTAATTACATGTACAACAGAAGGAGGATTTTTTTTCTCCTCTTTTAGTGATCTTTTTTTTCTTTTCAAGTACCGGTAGAGGTTCGTTGATTTTAAATATTGATTTAATTTGTATCATTGCATAATAAGGGACGGTTACATGTAGATCATACAAGTTTATCTAAATTTCCCTCTTGGAAACATTTAAAGTAACAAATATTGTAAATTTTTTAAATGGTAAAATACCACCCAAGGTGACCCCCTCCTCCCCACCTTGTGAGTACCGCCTCTGATGTACAATGTAGGCCCTATACACTATGAATATGACAGACACAGAAAGCGGACAAAATATACAGTTCCTCATCCCTTCACTGCTATTATGTAAAAATGTGTAGAACAGGTGTCATATGCATATTCACCTTTTTACATAATAGCAGTGAAGGGATGTTCCTTTGTCTACCTGAGGAACTCAGGGAATAATTTTCCTGGTATCGCATCGCAATTTGCTATGCATTTTTGCATGACTGCTATACAAAATATTGTTTGTGTAGCAGTTTTCTTCCATAGAAATGTACAGAATTTCATTTGAAATATTTATCCATCAGCTGAAATTGCTAATCAAAATATCTGAGGAAAATTATTCCCTGGGAACTGTATATTTTGTCCGCTTTCTTTGTCTGTCATGTTCATAGTGATATTTCCCTCGTCTCCCAGCTTAATCAAAGTCTTAGAGATTCATTAATCATAAAACTGTTTTTCCCCTCCTCTGCAGACCCGAGGCCCTTCATGCCGGCACTATAGACTCATTGTAGGATGGAATCTGATTACCCTTTCATGCATTTACAATGCATGTGCATGTACAGGCTGTACAGTACATGAATGTAGTATAAAATACCAGCAATATATAATGAAACACATGGGAGTTGTGTCATTTATGTCTGGAATTTTTAAAAGGCAGGGGTTGGGGGAGGTGGGGGGCAACACAGCTGGCTCATAACAAATTTTTAAAATCCAGTCTGGCATACACCAAAATATTGTACCCCCTCTTTCATATTTTGGACTCAAAAGGAAATTTCTTTTTTCCCTTTAAAATGTACCTTTGCAAGCCATTTGGGAGGCTGTGATTATGACCCATCTCAGGATAAATGGAATAAAAATTAACTAGTTATAGTTCCCTATAATGGGGATAACTTGAATTTGTTTTGCAATTAAGAGAGACTACAGTATACACAATTTAACCACCCTCAGTTCACATGAAAAGCTTAAATGCTACCTTTAACAATAACCCAGTTCATGAACCAGCAGATGTATGTGGTATATTTAGAGATTGGGAATGCGGTGCTTGAATTGTTAAGTCTGCATTTCTGGGGGGCATATGCTACTGCCATTAGTCACGGTATAACGCCTGTTCCAACGGAGTGGCAAACATGAATGTGGTTCAACGTTATCATCTACCCCTATGACCTGCAGTGTATAACAACCCCTAGGGTGTAACTCAACCCCTCTAAAAAGTCTGAGATTCGAGTTTTAGATATATATATCTCTCTTGTTATATTATCGTACTTGTCTACATTGTACTTGACATTAGTACCATTGAAAAAACTCCTCTTAAAAGTCTGTAATTCAAGTTTTAGACATCCCTCTTGTTATATTATCACACTTGACATTGGCACCATTGAAAAACCTGTTCATTCTCTTTCACAAATATGCCCCATTTGAAATGATTACATTTATGTGATCATGGAATGTGCAGTACAACTGTATAAGGGGGCCAAGTCAAACATGAAATGTTTTAAATTGCATTGGCATTGTCAATAATGAATTTTTTTATTTTAGGAGGATGGATTGTGTTTTGAAGGAATAAGAATGCATTTTGCAATATTTCACTTTTGACTTGGCCCTTTATTCAGTTGTACTGCACAGTCCATGATTACATAATGATTACAAATGGGGCATTGTATGTAAATGGAAATAAACAAGTTTTTCAAGGATATCAACATCAAACATGACAAAAAGAGAGAAATTGATGCTTAAACTTGAATTACAGAAATTGCAATGTACATTGTACAGATATGTACTGCCAGGAGATTGACATCCTCCTATGGGTAGCCAACAGGAGAATTTGGTGGACCATCTCTTGCACGAAAGAAAACCATGAAGTTATTGAAAATGAACAATTAAAAACAAATTAAGTCTAATTGATGGAATCTATTAAATCGAGAGTCCTATATTTACTATGTATGCAAATGATATTTCCCAGGTATCTCCCGCCCGGGCAGGAGATTGCGAACCCTGCTGAGAAAGTATTTTAAATTGCGATATCACTTTGGAGAAGTGCATGTTTTTTTAAGTGCATATTTTGAATACAGTCTACACGTAGCTACATGAATCCCCTTATAAAAGTAAAGAGCAAAACATGTTTTGTTAATTGACACACTTTAAAGGCTGAAATTATGCTTGATGATTAGATGTAATGAATGTGTTCAAGGAGCTGACTCCTGTGATACATACACAGTGTTCATTAATAATACGCGTCATGAACTGTATGTCAGACACCAAGGGCATGCATTACCAAATAACCGTATTCCTCAGCTGGTCCCTTGCCTAATCATGTATTCATGACTTAACACATTATTCTTCTGGAGTACCGTAGGAGTCCAAATCCCCTCTATCATGCATTCCAGTGAGCATGGAGATTACACAGGAAAGGTTATCAGTGTCATCACTATAGAAGCTGAGATTTCAGAGCTTTACACTGAAACATTTATAAATATTTCAAGATTGCATCAATCCCTTTATATTCAATGTATTTTGGGGGAAAATACTGCATTACATGTACATTTACGGTGATTTACCTTGATATCAATATTGAAAATGTGCTCACTGCTCATATGAGATCCCTCCCAAGGCCTGAGCGATTGGGAGGGTTCTCTCTGTATCTTTCATTCCTTTCACATTTGCAATGACCAGGAGTAGGAGTAGGTCATGATTATTTGATTTGTTTATAGATTTGGTTAGGAATTGACAATGTATGTCAAAAGCTTAACATTATAATAACTCTGCATTTATGCTACACAATTTTTTAAAATACTAATAAACATCATGACTCATGATGTTAATTAGTATTGTATATGCTTGAGGATTCTGGGATGAATTCCCCTTCCCTTATCTCATGTTCATTTTCTTTTCCCATTTTATCTCACATCTTCCATGTGTGCAGGATGCTGGGGGAATGAAGCCAAGTCTCTGAACTGTAACCAGGAGAACTGCACCGCCCACAGCAAGCCCAGTGAGTACCTGGTCCGAACCAAGAACCAGACCAGTAGGATCTGCTGCTGTGCAGGAGACTACTGCAATAGGAACGTGTCCGATGCATACGTTCCCCTGCCCTCCACAAAGCCAACAGTCACTCAGTACAGTAAGTGCAAAGCCCTTGCTTGCTCTGGTTAATTTACACTTTCTCTGCATCAAAATTTATTTGTACGGAGGTTGCTTATTATAATTAAAAAGCCATTATCAGAGCTGTGCTGCATTGTATGGCCCAGTGATATTGGTGCAATCCAATTAGAAATTGTTTGAGGGCATGAATAAAAATTGACAATAATATACGTGGACTACTGCACTATATTTATAATTTATTGATGAATCACTACTAGAATCCCTTTTTTCTCATTTTAGTTTAACCCATGTAGCAGTAGAGTGAGTCCTTTTAGTGACATTTTTGCATTATTTGTTGATACAGAAAGCTAGGATTTACTCATTTATACATAAGCAGAAATAGCGAAAATCACAGCAAATTTGGATGCTGTTTCCTATCCAGTACGTTGTGTCGTTCTTGAAGAAGAACGATTTTGATCGTAACCAGGTCATTTAAGTGTCTAAATTGGTAACGCGGTGTGTAAAGTATAAAATCACATTTCTTTGTATAAATTGTCAATTTTTCAGTGAAATTTTGAAAATGTCTTTCAAATTGGTTCAATAAACATTTTTTTTTGTCCAACTCTGAAGGAGTGGAAAATAAGATCAGTTGTTGCCGATTTGAGGAGAAAAAATTAATTTAGAAAATAAATTACTGCTATGGGTTAAAAAAAAAAAACTCCTACAAAAAGGAACAATTAATGTAAATTATGCAAAATCTCCCTGAAGAAATTTGAACTGATTCTTTAGCATAGACTACCAAACATCAATCATTGACCATAAATCATGTATAAGGCATGTTTTTATGGTCATTAGAGGCTATTCCAAAGGTTATGGTTCAGCCCTAACGAAGGAAGGAGTTGTCCAAGAGTTTGTGTTTTGTGATGGATAACCAAGGATGGTGGTTTTATTAATACATTGTGTACACTGTACATGTAAGATGTGAGTGATCTAGAATTGATGACTACAGCGAACCATTAGGCGAACCATGGAAAGAATATGAAATTTGACATTCATTAAAAGTCTGTGACTGCACTAAATGAAGCACATACAGGGTGTACATCTAAATGTAAATATTGCTTTTTGAAAGACTAATATTCATGAGTGGATATTTATGCATAGAAATTGCACAGTATTACATAGTATCTGTACATGGCAAAAAAAGGTTGAGTTAAAGTTGATACATTGTTGAGTTCAGTAATAGTTACACATAATATATCAAGGGATTTACCATGCAACATCAGTTCGAATATATACATTGTAGATTACATGTAGGTAGTCTAGATGCAAAAGTCAAGCGGGAAATATACCACCTTATGTCATATTAGTACAACCTTCAGACAGTATCAGGAATCCAGCATATAAGACAAATGGGTTTGTTCAACTTTGTTGATTTTAAGATCTTATAGATATCTTCTAGAGAGTTTATAAAATGTCAGCAAGTTCAATATCTAAGTTGTTTGATTAATTATGGACACATGAATGCAAGATACATGCAAATAGGCTGAAACAATAAAAACACTTTTAACTTTAAAAACATCAAAATTCAGAAAAACAGTGGAAGATACCCTCCCATATGCCTGGATGATGAAAAAAGGATGTACATTCAGTTTCTCTGCAATTTGTGAAGTACATCTGTACATCCAGGGAGATCTCCCTGGTACATCATACAATATTGGTAGTTTTTGCATATAATTTAGCCGCTCAACCATAGTGCAAAACGGTAGTGTGATGCGGGGAAAGCGTGCTTGACAGTGGTACTCAGCTAATTGGTTGTGAGTCATGCAGGATTTATTGTCTCTGAATTCTTTGAGATTGAGAGGCAGGTATGAGGACGGGGCAAGGAGTCTCCTTTTTATGTTTTTTTGAATATCTAGTTCTAAGGTGCTTCTCAGGATACAGTGTAGGTTCTGTTCCAGATCCTTAAACTATTTTTCACCATCTCTTTTATTGCACCCTCTTTTGCATCAGAAATTTTGTGTTTACTTTTTCAACATTAATGCAGTTGTGGGTGTTGTTAAATTAATGGGAGCAGAATTAAATATGCTGAATCAGCTTTAGCAACCCTACATAATCCTTGTTGAATATTTTGAAAAATCATTCCAATTTCTTGAGACTTGAGCTGTTGGTTGAATGTGTCATATGTAGTACATAGAGGAGCAGTGAGGAATATCAAAGTCCAATTTCCTGGAAGCTAGGCTGTGTACATGTATGTACATGGAGGCAATTTATTATAGGATACTCTGGAGCATCAATCCTTCCACCGATTTTATGAGAATTGTCAGTAATGAAATGGGAGGGAGAGGAACAAAATAGTTGGTAGCTGTGGGGATGCGATGATTGCCTTTCAGAAGAAATGGACTCGATGGAGTGAGAGAGGAATGGTAAATGCCGAGAGACAGAGAGAAAGAGAGTTTTATATTCCTAGTATTAAACAGAGTTTGCAACCAGTTATTTTCTAATTTTGTTAATGTTACATTTTAAATGAAATTTGGCAGACTTACTGACAACACATTTTACTTTATTTTTATTTTTAGTTTTTTTATTCTTATAGTTCAAATCAAATTGAAGTTAACTTTCAAATCTTAAATTAATACCCTTTCATTATTGTACATGTACATGTATCATCTCCGCTTTCACCTGACATTGAGATTATTATTGTAAAAAGGCCTACATTACCGGGTGTACAGTAGAAGAGTATTCTTCAGTTATTTATCTGCAATGAAGGGGGGGGGGGTAATATTTATGGATCTGTTTTGAGGGGGCTATTTTTTTAAGAATTTACATGTATCCCTTATTCTGTTCACACAGCCAAAATACTGATCAGGTCTGAGAACATTTAGGAGGCTGTTATAAAGGCTATTGTTTTTTTGTTTTTTTTAATAGTGGGGAGCAAAAAAAGTGAGTCAGACATTTAGTACCCAGTATTTGAAGATTGTATGACGTTTTTATACAAATGAAGGATCTTTACCAATAAAAAAAATAATCAGTATTCTTTGCAAATGGGTGATGATAATGATGTGCATGTACCTTTAAAGCTGTACATGCTGGTCATGACACAAAGTTGGGGCAATTTCGGTGACATACCAGAAGTGAGATACTGTGTTTATTATAAACAATGTTTGCTCAAATTTTGTTTTGCATATAAAAGCATAGCCAACTACATTTATCTTCAGAAGTACTCAAGCTTCATGGTGAATCAATAGTTTGGTCCCAAAGTTTATGTAATGTTATATGAATATGGTGTCCACTGTCCATGTAACGCTGGTAAAAAGAGAAATGTGTATTTAAAAGCAAAGATTTTGAAGAAAAGCAACTGAAACAGGAACGATTCTGGCAGGGCACTACTATATTCATTGCATAAAAATCTTCAACAGATAATTTCATCTTTCATGTGTAGTAGAAGATCTTTTTGCCCCAACTTTATGGAATGACCAATGTATGTTGATGGGTTGCCATTTATTTTTTGTTATTGATACTCTCTCTACTTGCCAAGCCGATTGCTCTGGGAGACACAATGTCTGCTGTGATTAATGATGCATGTTGGTGCCAGTTTGGGTAGCACTAGCAGGATGCTTGCATGAGAGGTCTCTCAGACCCCATTCATATGCAAGTGTAAATCACACCGTTGGGTCAGGAAGCTGTAATGAATGGAGATCCCGTCCAAGAGGCCCCTTTGAAGCCATCCGTGGCACCGCGCGTCTTTTGTTTCCCCTACCGTAATCCCCTTAATCCCCCTCCGAAACCGTACAGCTCCCTAGTAGCACTAGGTCCTCCCTTTCCACACACAGCCCAGCCCAGCGAGCACGGCGGCTTTTGCTTTGTGGGCCCGTATTTGGGGTGAATAGTGGTGATAACTTGACAACTTCTAGCCCTCAATCAATAAATGCGCAAACATACAACACAATTTCATTTAGTTATTTAGGAAGATAAACCTTTAGACTACCTTACTAGCTATGTACAAATTTCGGAAATTTTCGGAAAATGTCAATAATTAGATGAGAAAATCATGATGATGAAAACCTTTCATTCGCTCTAACTCACGATTTCCTTGGTCGATTTCGCTGGTTGAAATGGCCATGTCTTCAGTAGAGCTACCCGAGAACAGAAAAAGCACTTGATGACTAATATAAAGTTGCACTGGTCTTATGTTGTTAATTCTGTCTTTTATATGTTACAGCTAAATACATCTTCACTGAACATGACTTAATTTGTCGGTGCTACGCATGGCTTCAAAGCTCGGTGCTTGCATATATTTGCAAAAGAGTGAATAGAGAACTTATGGAAGCAGATGGCGTTGCGTAACATTTCGTACTATTTGGAATTCCAGAGAGGGACTGTGCATTGATATGGACAGCTGTTGATGGAAATGATGGTTGGAGAGGGTTACATTTCTTTTTGTTAAGCCAGGTTAATCTTGAATATTTTCCCCTCGGAAAATTCTTTCGAGACGGTATCTCCATTCATTACAGCTTCCTGGTTGGGTTGAATAAATGGCACTATACATGAAATACAAATGTAGATCACCCTTGCTACCATGACAACGAGAGGTGCTTCAACTTGTACCATGATTTTATTGGTTTTTGCTATTTAATAGATACATGTACAAAGTATGTCTAGGTTGGATAAATTATGGGTGGCCATTTGAAGTGCAGAAACAGGTTTCAAATGTTAATGAGCATCTTAGAGGAACCGTCCCTCATCTAAGATTTGTACTTCGTACTTCGAGCACTGCCCCTATTGCATTCATTGTATTCAAATAACCACTAGTGTATGTCCAGTAGAATACATAATGCAATTGTACAATGATGAGTTGTGGTCATGTGGAAAGCTTCATGATGTGGTGTATACAGTGTATGTATTTATTTTACATCTATATCTAGATCAAAGAGAGCAGTGAGAATCATGTTGGAAGTAGTTGTACATGTAATTGTACATGTCTTTGTCCAGCAAAAAGATACATGTACATTTATGTGGGTCCTCTTACAGATCAAATGATTTCAACCTTATGTACTTTTATAAAGGACAATTCTGTTTGCAAGTTGAATGGAATAAACAGAGAAAAATTAAACAAACAAAAACAATGATTATTTGATAACATGCTTAATATGAAATGGTTCTTGCTGACTCTGCACGTACATGTATGCTGAGTATTTTTGCCCATCTTTTTTTTCTTTTCAAATTTCGACTGAGATTGTGCAATCGATGATTAGATTTGAGTCCCTCAAATATTTACACATTGAAGAAATTGAGAGCACTTGTCCTTTTTCTACATAAAATACATGCATTACCCTACATGTTCATGTACATGCCTTAACAGTTGGCAGAGATCATTCAGTCTTATCCCTTTCATACCCAAATTGTGTATGGGTAACATGATACATCTGGGAGTTAGCCTGCTAAATGTAGTTGTGAAATTGAACCCAGTTAAAAATAAGATAAATCCTCGCCTAGTCCAGGATAATCTACATGTACCTGGGATTGTCTGGAGGAGCCTTGCGTAACCATAACACCCAGTGGTGGGTGTGGGGGTGTATATAAAATCCCCATCTAAAGCTCCCCCAGCGATTACTGATGTAACTGATATCCTCATGTATCATGAAAATTCATGAGTTCTATAAATTGAGGCATGTACATAAACATGTAGGGTACTGCATGTATTTTATGTAGAAAAAGGACATGTGCCTTCCATGTCTTCAATGTGTCTTAGCAGTCAGGTAAAATACCCACCACTACTGATATGCATTATATTTTATCGTTATCTTGAAGCTCATACAACTATTTTTTCTTCTTTTTTCTTAATTGTTTATCCAGAAGTGATCTCAGACCAGATGAATCACGAAATGGAGAGAACCATCCTCATTGCGGTCATCCCAATCTTCTGCGTCTCGGTTGCCATAGCAATCATGTACTTCATCTTCCGCATGAGGCTGCGCTCCACCAAGGCTCAGATGAGCCAACTGCCCATGATAGAGGCACCTCCTCCAGAGCCGACCTTTGACCTTGACCAGCTGAAAATGATGGAGCTTGTTGGGCAAGGAAGGTATGACCAGAGCAGTAATCATGTCATCCCTAATTTGAAGAAATATGCGCAGCTGAAAAAATAAATCACTAGTGATTAGTTCTTCCAAATGTTGGATTTCTTTTGAAAAATCCAATACCTGTTAGTTTATCACATGCAGATACATGTAGCTCATTGCAGTGAAATATCAGTGGATTAATGTAAACCTACAATAAGCCTACCTAATTGATTACACTAATCAGAATTTGGTACAGGGGGTACAAATAAATACTTTGCAGTTCTCTACAATAAACAATCCACAATAGGCGGTGTCACACAGGGGCCAAAAATCCGGATTTTAGTTATCCAGATTTTCATTATCCTCTTTAATTGCTGTCTGTCATAAATTATCCCATTAAAATCCTCTAACGAAGCAAGAAAATTCTTTTAAGGGATTTTTCTGTGTGACATCGCCTAATTTGAAACAACGTTATGTGTCATTCCAGCAAGAATGCATAAGGTCTTGACATATATGGTAAACCACTGTCATCATATACATTGAATATCAAATGTCTTGTCTTTCAGTTGTCTCATAACCTTCATATTATTTCAGATATTGCAATGTGTACCGAGCTGCACTCAGTGAGAACGAAGTCGCCGTGAAGGTGTTCACCGGTTCCTCCAAGCAGTGCTACATGAACGAGCTCGACATCATGGGCCTGCCCCACATGGAGCACTCCAACCTTCTCCAGTATGTGGGATCCGGAGACCGCATGGGAGAGGATGGCTGGGTGGAGCATCTCCTGGTGGTGGATATGATCTCCAAGGGATCCCTCATGTCGTACCTGAGGGAGAATACCTACGACTGGCACACCATGTGCAGGCTGGCTCAGACCACTGCTGCGGGATTGGCACATCTACATCAGGTCATAGACACTCAAGGTAGGACGCTAGATTGTGATAGTCAGCCACCTTGATTGCAGTATCATTGAAATACTTAGTGATGAAAAAATGGAAATTAAAACACTTTTTTAAAACACTATTTTAAATCAGACATGTTGTTGGTAGTTAATACTGTTTTAAGTACTGTAAAACCAAACAATTCACACACAAAATGTGAGCAAATTTTGATAAATGGTGCAGAATAATTGAATCGCAACTGACACTACACTGAACTTTTTGCAATTTCATGAAAGTTTGAGGTTTTACAATAGATTTTTATTTTTACCTATCTGGATAAAAACATAACTAATTTCAGTTATTCATCTATTCAATTCATTCTGGATTTTAGAAAGTGGATAGCAATGATCCATTCATAAAAAAATTGTTTTTCCTGTGCTGCATCTTTTATCTGTACTCATTTAAAATCATCAAACTTGATCTCATACCAAACTATAATTTTGCTTCTCCATTAGTTGGCCTAAAACCAGCAGTAGTTCACCGCGACATCAACAGTCGCAACGTGCTGGTGAATGCAGAAGGAAACTGCGTCATCGGTGACTTTGGGTTCGCTATGCAGGTCTGTGGATCCAGTGTGGTTGGAGAGGGTGATGGAGACAACAGCACCATCACTGATGTAAGTTTAACTCCTTAATTACCAAATTCTTTAATTCCCATCGGCTTCATATGGAAACCACTGGTTCCCTTGGGCAGTGGGTTAAGAGTCTGAAATAAATTGTCAAGTGAGAATGAAGTCCTTTGCAATCACCACCCAAAGAATGCTGTTCAGTGCTTTATTTGCTTCAACTATTACAACATATCCTGTGTAGATGGGTACAGTACATGTATGTGTCATACATAGGCCTACATGTTTTAATTTGTCCAGTTTCCATAGATCATTTCCAATGTGAACTAGCCAAATTGAACTCAATTCTTATAAAATAAAATTAAATGGTTCATAATCAAAGAGAATACCAGTTGTGTGAATTATCCATAATCTACTCTTATCCATAACAGCAGGCTTTGGAGAAGATAAATGGTAACAAGTGAATTAATAAATATGGTTGCAACAATGAAGGGAGCTATTCTGCCATGATATTCTTACCCAAAGCATCTATTTCTGTATGAAATATAGTTGTCAAATTAAGTAGTTAGTTATTCTCTACAGGCAATTTTAGACCCAAACTAAACTACTGCTTCATTTGGAAGGTCAATATTTCCCTCATTCTCTTCCCTGTATGTATTCTTGCCTGCTTTGCAGACCACCTCTTTTCCACATTTTCAATGTCTTTAAAACCTTGTTGTTATTATTCATGATTTTATTCTTGTTATAACGATGAACTTGTTGTTACTGTTCTTGAATGTCTTGTTTTCATGCAAGTGGAAATAAATAAATAAATTTTGAATCTTTAATGCTTGCTTTGAATCGCAGGTTGGCACGGTCCGCTACATGTCTCCCGAGGTACTGGACGGTGCCGTCAATCTGAGAGACTGTGAGTGTGCCCTCAAACAGGTGGATGTGTACGCTCTAGGTCTAGTCGTCTGGGAGATCGCTATGAGGTGTAAAGATCTCTATCCCAGAGGTGAGTTCACAAAGCAGCTGTTGGTAAATAATTACAAATTCAAACAAAAAATTATGATGGTACATGTAAGTGCTACACTCTCAAAAGAGATGATTCGTACACACAAAGAGAAGAATTTCTCAAATGTCACTTCGGGATAGTAAACCCCAATCAAATTGCTCATCAATTATTCAAAACAGAAAATGAGATTTAATCACCCAAATAAACTTTTTCTTTTTTCTCCAAAGAATGTAATCCTGGCAGTTGCAATCTGTTTGCTGTTTATTGTTTCATATTATGACAAAAGTCCTCTAAAGCAATCATTGTCATACAGCCAAACTTGACTCAAGCTGGAATTGAGTTTAGAATAAAAGATTTATGTTTTGCACTCAAGAAATTTATCTAATTATAGTCTGCATACTCAAGTTATGTTGTGTTGTGAAAGGGCAAAAGGTGTCAGAAAACAGATTTCTCAGATTACCTACTTTCAGATTTAATGCTTATGAAATGCATATTCATTTTATGCATGTAGTTCCTATGACGTATACATGATTATCTGTATCATTGCACCTTTATGACACGTGTCCCCTGCTGCCTGTGGTGGGGAGGGGGCACTTGGACAAATAATCTTGCTTAAAATTGTTTATCTACCATTTGAATTAGTTTGAATCATTTGATACTGTTAATTTGGATTGAGGTTTATGCTCAAATTTGTTTCCACCTGTGATTCTAACAGATGAAATGGGTAACTACCAGATGCCTTTTGAGGAGCAAGTTGGGCTTCATCCAACATTTGAAGACATGCAGATCTTAGTCTCCAGGGAGAGAAAGAGGCCTCAATTCCCTGATGCCTGGAAACAGAACAGCCAAGTAAGAATGGATGATTATGTCACTTCATTAATTGTTTAACTATGTCAGGACCTTTTTGTTTTGTTAGTGTGAATATGGTTAAAGAGAAAGATAGTTGATTTCTGTACACAAAGGAATTATTATGTTTTTTTCTTAAATTTGTAACAGACTAGTTGATCATATTTTTTGTTAACTTTGTTGGTCAAGATGAAAGATTTTTAAATAGTTTTAGATTGTATTTGTTGTCATGCATTATTTCATGAAGATCAGGTGCTGATTCTCAGTGTGAAGCTGTAAGCTAACTTTTCTTGCAATGTTTGTATTATCTTTGCAGGCTTTGAGAAGTCTGAAGGAGACCATAGAAGACTGCTGGGATCATGATGCTGAGGCCAGGCTTACTGCACTGTGTGTTGAGGAGCGTATCATTGAACTGATGGTTCTATGGGACAAACACCGCATGATCAGCCCCACTATCAACCCCACCACCCAGGGTAATGCTATCCCCACCCACACCATGAATGAGTATACCACCCGGCCAACGGACATCATTTCTAGAGAGTATCCAGGTATCGCTCGACTCGCCGATGGCACCATGATTGCGGTCAGAAGTAATGGTCAGCCTGTGCTTGGTGCTGCCAGCGAGACATCTGGTACTGCAAGTGATACAAAGAACCATCATGGCCTTCATTCATCAGTGAGCAGTGGTTTGGAGAAGAATGAGCGCCTGCGACTCATGTCTCCAGGTACCATCAGTACCAGCCTGTCCTCACAATCAGACCTCAATCTCATCGACCTGACTGCATCGGCTCCACCGGTTGACCCAAAGAACTTGCATCATTCTGATGACAGCATCGAGAGATACACCACAGATCTTAAGTATGGTCCGCAACAGTCAGGACCTAAGTATTGTGATCAGTATGGGTTTAGTGAGCCTTCCACCTCTCCAAGTCGGCCTCTGGTTGTGAATGAAATGAGGGCAGGGCTGAGCAAGGATCAAATGACAGACAATCTCTCCCACGGTATGGGCAAGCTCAAGAACAAATCCTCAAGCATGCCATCCTGGAATCATATAAATGGAGTTGACCCCCGCTCACGTGGTGCCAACCAACCGGTCAACATGGCCAAATTGGACACTAACCTACATCGCCAGCAAGCAAGGAGCGCTAGTCCCAAGCAGTCCAATCAGAATGGGTATGAGGCATCAGGAAGTTCTGGTGCCAGCAGTGAAGGGGCTGGTCCAAGTAGTATCCCTAACATGAACATACGTCCCAACAGCTTACCCCTTCAGTCTACTCACAGGGGATCCAAGAAGAAGCTGATGGCTGTATATAACCCAAACACAGGTCCTACCACCAAAGTCCAGACCGGCATTGCCAAGATGGACAGCGTGGCACCTTCCTGCCACCAGGTCAAGATGGCTGCCAACACACACAAGCAGCAGCCAACTCACAATGCTGTTGAAAAGCTACGTAATGGAAACGTGGGAAATCTAGAACCAGAAGCGGACCGCCCTCACTCATGGGCTTGCGATAGTTCGTCTGGTAGTGACCGTTCACACGAGATCGACCGCAAAAACGGCAACGCTTGTTCAGGCTCTGCATCATGTATAGCGAAAGGAGATAATGGCAAACGGAAGGTTACTCCTTTCCGACTCCTCACTGAGAAACTGTCGATCCACAAAGGAAAGGACAAGAAAGAGCCCAAGGATCAAACTGATTGCAATGGAGTAAATAATCGTAATCCTGTAGAACTAAACGTGAACAACAATGCAAGGGCAATGGCTCCTCAGACACTAGCCAATGGTAGTGACAATGACTCTGTTGCATGCTCAGACCTGAGCAATGGACATGCTGGTGTAAGTCTTAATGGTGATGCCTATCCATTGAATAGTAAACTAGTCAATGGCAGTGCAAAGCTACAAGCTAACTTTGAATTAGAATGTGTCTAATTGATTTGAGGGTGGACCTTCAGCTGTACAAAATAATGCTACTAATAATAGACATGTACTTATGACATATAGCCACTGTTTGTTTTCACTGAAAATCATCCATATTTTTAAAACATGCTTGGACATTGTGGATATATCATTTGCATATGAATTTGATTATTGGCTGATCAATGCACAAGCTTTTTTGCAGTGATTAATATACTTCTTTTGCATTGCATATATAGTACTCATGTAAATATGCTTTTGTAGGTGTTACATAAACAAAGACATTTATGAAATATCCCATTTTAACTATTGATTAATTTAATTTTATGTACATGTACATGTAATATTTACAAAATGTATTTACTGAAATCTGTGATATATGTCTCTTTTTTCAATATTATTATGAATATGTATGTGGAGGGAAAAAGGTGTTATTGGATAAAATGTGCATTGCACATTTTATTCCTAGGGCTTTGCTCTATCTGGGATTCGCGTCAGTTTTCAAATACGTAGCTTAGAGATTTCTTTGTTATATTATATTCTGTACCATAAGTGTATGTCTTAGTCATGGTGATGTGTCTATCGGGTTCTTGTTGGTGTGCTATAAAAGCTTGTGTTATTCGCTAATTATTTTAAATTAACATTGGAAACATTATTATCCATAGACTTGCATACATTCTTGAAGATATTGAATGTATACTAGAGCATGAAGAACCTAGGACAAGGATTAACAAAACAACAACAAATACATCTCATTTTCTTTATATTACATGGTAGAGGAGAACCCTAAAAAAAATGTTATGAAGGTCTTTTATTATTTTGTTTTCTTCTTTCTTTCAAAAAATTGTAATTTAATTAGTTTTTTCCATTTCAATTTTTGTATTTACTTGTTTTAATTTGTGTTATTTTTTGTTGATGATTTTATAAAAGAGTGATATAGATTATTGTTCAAATGTATTATCCATTATTGATTTACAAAATGTGTTCTAGTATTACTTGTGTTTTATCATTTAAACCAGTCCATGTCATTGTAAATATGTCCATAAAAATGTGAATTTTATATAGAATATGATTAAATACAATTGTATGATGTTTTAATATGAAAATGTACTAAATTTGTTCATATAGTTTTTATACCTCTTTTGTTTACTTGTTTTTAATTTCACAAATATGTGAATTTTGTATAAAAGATGTACTAAACTTGTTCATATTGTTTTGCAAATTGATTTCTTCCCCTTTTCTTTTTCCTTTTTTTAAATTTTCCATTTATCTTATGACTTAACTTTAAGATCACATCATGTCATATGGTTTCTAAAGGGACTTGATGTTTCATTACGTTACCATCTCTTGGAAGGTCTTCAAATATATATTAATACTTGAGATCAATATTTGTAATATTCTTCATAAATAATCACAATAAAAAATTATCAAAAATTATCAAATAGAATCGAACCTCTTTAAGTGCCATGTACTGTGTTTTACTAGTATCATTGATTGTCTTGTCACTATGGTATTATTTTTTTTTGGATAATTTTCTTCAACAAAACTAAGTGAGAAATAATGCTCTCTTTAATGTTACATTTTTTCATGTCCCTAGCAGTGTACGGATTCTTCTTCTTTTTGGGGGGTATTTAAAAAAAAGATATTCAATATGTTCCATTTTTGTTGAAACACAACTGTTTGTTCAGAATAACAGAGATTTTAATATTCTAAATTATTATTTTTATAAATCTTTTGTTTCGGGAAACAATATTCTACAAGAGTTTTTGAATTTGTTAATTTGAAAGAAATACTGATATTGTGCATTATGATGCAAGGTAGTTTTGAGTTGAAGAAATATGAAATGTACAAATAATGTATCTGGCAATTTTTTGTTTTCTTTTGTTGTTGAATATATGTATATTTTATTGTCTTTATTAGCTGTGTATTCATCAGCACATTATAAAGCATACTGTAATGCCTTTTCCATTGCGAAAGCTTGTAAAAATTGCAGCGACATGTATGTTACAAGCTACTGAAACTATTGAAAAATGTTATGTCAACACCACTTACAATTGTGCACATTGATAGTTACAATGTATCTACTAGCTTTTTTTCTTCTTTTTTTAAACTTCATCCAGTTTAAGATGTCACATCATACAAAACTAAATGTACCACTAGCTTCTTCACAAAGGAAGAAATTACATCATTATAGTCTCACTGCATGTATTCATAGGTATATTCATAGATATATGAGACACATCCTTATTAAATGCAAGTATGCTTTGCATGATATCTCCAAAAATATTTTTTTTTTTTGATGGGTTTCTAGTTTTAAAATGTGATTTTTAGTTTTAATCTAACAATTAGTTTTTGCAATTATTGGCAAGAAAGAAATATACTTGTAATATCTAATTCATAATAAAATTTTGTATGAATTATTAATTTGAATACATCTTATTATGGCCACCATTAATATTTTATATAACAGTGAGTGAAGAAGATTTTAGATGACACTATTCTCTTGTGAAGGTGTATTTTTCAAAAATTGAGACTTTTAAATGTAACTTTTTACTTGTTAACTGTTGCTCATAGACAAATTAATAATCATAAGGGGAAACAAATCATTGAAACCATAATAGTATTTGCATTTTGCAGGTACATGTGAACTATATTTTTCTGTTGAAAATCTACAGAACACTAGGAAAGGCATTTTCACATATCATGTACATTGTATTTTGAATGATGAAGGTGAAGAAGCAAGACTTGTACGTTTCTTGTAAGTAGACGTACAATTCACCATACCTTGTACATACAATGTAGATCATTATCAATGTACAAAGCTATCTCACCATATTTTCTGTAGTCGAATGATGAATAGTAAGAAATACATCTAAGTGCACCATCATGATTATGTAGCACTATGGTTCATACAAATATTTGTAGAAATTACATGTAGGGGAAATCATCAACAATTATCTAGCCGACCTCTTTGTAACTATCTGTGTCTACTCTGGAGTTTGGTATAAGAGTACCAGTAGTGAACCTCTGCTCTTTGCATTAGTGCATTTTGGTCATCACTGGCTCTTGTGCCCATTCATATTTGGTTTGGGTTACCCGTTGCTGGTTGGCCGTTTGCAAGATTCATAGTGTAGCTCCATGCTTGTACAAATCAAAGAACGTCTATGTGTTTATCGTGTATGAAAAGGATGTGTGTTCAAGTTTATGTAACAGTTGTTATTGTGTCAATGTATCTATAGGCACTCAATCGGACAGTATTTTGTGTGGTGATCAATGCCATTAAATGGAAGAAAGTAAAAGTAAGGTATATTTTGTGTATGGATGTGTTATTTCGATCTTTCTCCCTCACTCCATCCATCTTTCTGTTGTTGGTGTATACATATAAGATGTTAATATCAAGGTAAATATCACAAGGCCAACGATGCTTATAAGTACGTTTCTGGAAGCCAATTTTGAAATCAACACCAGATTATGTAACAAACGCCTTTCCACATGGTCTTAGGATGCGTAACATATGTGACTAGCCCTTTTCTCCTTCTCTTTCCTCTCCCTCTCTATCTCCTGTCATTATTATGTAACAAACACCTTTTCACCTGGTCTTTAATAGGATGCCTAACATATGTGACCAGCCCTGTTTTCTCTCTCTCTCCTATTATTTCCTATCCTTGTCATGTCTATTATTTATTTTTACAAATATTTCTTACTTCAATCACATTCCTTGCCGAAAATTTGTTCCATGCTGCTGCTCACACTCATGAATATACAAAGAAATCATGGCCTTTTGTGGATAGGCCTAAATAAACGAAAATAATATCTGATGAACGTATGACAAATTATTAATACTTTATTAGCAATGGCACTTGCAATCAAGAAATCCTCGCATCCATTATGACATTAATGACCCAAAATTATTCTCTTCATTACAGCCTACAAAATATTGTAATTTAGTGATGATTTTGCTTGATGTTTTATTTAAAATCAGGTTAGAAGTTGGACCAAGTAAAGTAAGGATGATATCAAATTCAATCAAAACATGAGATAGATTATGTTGTACTGCTAATGGGATGGTCTGAGCTCAAGAAAATTGTACCCAAAGTTATACTAAGAGAAATATCACCCTTTCTTGAATATGACTATGAGCTGTTCTTGGATACATTCTATCATGAAAACAGCCATCTTCAATTCTTATTGAGCTTTGAATATTGTACAAAGGAAAGGCTAAGGGCACATCTAGGTAGAATGAAAATATCCTTTACAAAGAATATTTTTCATACTGGTATGTTATGATTATGTATACTATAGACCTGTTGCAATATCATCAATTTGGTGATTTGGGGATGCATTCCTGAATCGTTTACATAATTTGGGGGAATCGGGATGTAGCTGCCATTTCATCATCAATATAAAGACGTCACATAGATAGAAGTTACAATGAAAAGACACATGGTGAGATGACTAAGATTTTCACAAGATCTTCACCTTGTATGAAAACTGACCATGGATCTCTTGACTCACAAATCTCTACAAGTCATTCCTGCTTGATTATATACCCTGCATGGTGATACATTCATAAGCAAATACCAGGCGCCACAGAACCACATCAAATTTGCCAGTAATCCTTTTCTTTTAATTTTAGGTCCGATTCTATAAAGAAGAGATTTTTTAACATTAAGCAATGTTCCTTAAGGCTTTAAAGTGTGTAGTCTCTTTAATCACTCTGACTCACACGGTATATCGTGCAAAGTGAAAAGGAAAAAGGATTAGAAGTCTATATAGATTTATATGAAGGGATTATCAATTTGTTCTAAACTTGACGTACCAATTATGCTCATCGTGTTCTTTATTTTGTCTAAGTATAAGTACAGCAGCTTACTCTCTTTTAAATTTAATCAAAATGAGACCAGTAGCTAGAATTAAAGAGTCTTGATAAGTACTACAACAAACTCGAGGTCAGACAACCATACATCTAGTACAATACAATGCCCAAAATACCACTTTTAGATTGATTTGGTACTTCCATTCTGGAAATACTAGAAACCAAAATATGACCATCCTAACCAAATACAAATTTATTGAGCTCTAACTTAACTCACATCATGCAACTCGTCGGTGGCTTTGTGATGCCTGGTCATACATGTATATCATCTCCACAAGAATTCTTAAAAAAGCAGCAACAGACAATCTTAGACATTTTGCACTTCTGTTGGCAGTAGCCTGGGCTTGAAATATTGTATATTCATATAATAATTGTTCTTGTCAGCATCTTACTTTTTGAGGTAAATGCCATTATTGCTTGCAGAACATGCTTTCATGTTGCATCACTGAACACTGAAATGAGAGGCACTGTTCCAGTCCACTGGTTAAACAAGAACTACCTAATTATGCTATGACATATTTCCTCTGAATATCATGACAGTCTTGTGTTTAAGGGTAAAGTAGCTGCACCATCTGGACAATCCTTACATGAAGTTGTTGACCAACATGAGATTGAAGGACTAACATGGTGTACAATGTTCCTGCAATCATGCATTACTCCGCAAGTCCTCTTACAAGATGTTGAAAACTCTCTGCGGTTCAACGACCGAAACATGGCTCCCAGCTTCTTCTCCATCGCCACCGAACGAACCTTTCCCTTCCCCTGGACGGAACCCATCAACAGTGCGCCCAACCCCCACGAGTGCAAGGCATCACGGCTGGCGTCCGCTTGATAGAAATCAAGCCTCTCCATAGTCTTAACAGCTTCTTGTGAAAGCCTGCGTAACCTGTCCACCAGATCACCGCTGACGTTCTTGCTGGAGTTCAGATCAGGTTCAAGTGGGTTCTCAATGTACATAGGGAAGATCTTGCCATTGTTTGGTACGGGATATGTAGAGCCAAGGTGGATGGAGAGTGCATGTTTCTTGAAGTCAAATGTGATGCAGAAGTGGAAGAACTCTTGTAAAAGCTCAGCTGTGGGTAATAATAAAGAACATTGGAAAGTTATCAAAACACTATTGAGGTATATCAGATTCCAATTATGAAACCAAACTTGTGAATTGTCATCCTCATACAATCAAATATTAGTACATCTTCAATTTTTCTAGAGAGTATTTTAATATTATCACAGTATATGTGATATTGACAATATAATACAGTGGATGAATACAGTTTTGGTGCAGGTAAGAGAATATACTGCCCCCATAACCACATTGCCCTTGTTTGAAACACTGGTCATACAAGTGTCATAACTATACCCTGACAATACAATCATATATGTATTCCCACCAAGAGCAAGGTAATGTTAAATAAACACAATGTACACTCACTGGGTGTTTCTTTGTTTCTGGAGACCTTGATGCAAGCTTCGTCAGTAAAAACAAGATCAACGTCCTTCTCCTCCTCCTCCATACCTTCAGATGATGGTTCTGTAGTAAGGTAGAAATAATGGAAAGATTACAAAAAATAGTCCTGGATTTATCAAGCATGCTGTGAAGAGACAGGACAATAAACATTCTAGTGTACTAGCAAGCGTTGCAAGGCTTGATTGGTGAGCTGCATACATACATGTATATCTGTCTGATGTTTAGGCTCTCCTACCAGAGGTTTCTTTAGTATCTCAGATTTGCACTTATTTTCATGTAGCATTTGAATTTGTATACTCTACGTATCATCTTTACTCTACTACTAATAGTTACGGCAAGTAGGCATGTTTTCACATTTTGACCAACGTTCATGGGACGATGTTGAAAAACACACCATTGGGTAAATGACCGAAAATAAATATAAAGTACATATATACAACATACTAGTCCATCATAGCATGCAATGCAAAGCATAAACATTTTAGGATATAAAGGAAAGAATAGAAAAGAAATTTGGAAAATATTCAATGATAGTAAGCAAGCCCAGTTACCATATTTCTATCTAAAAAAAAATCCATTGAAAGTACAATGTTGTATTTTTCCCAAATAATAATGGAAAAACAAGATAAAACAACTTTCATGAGGTCACCATAGACAATTTGCACTGTAATTTCTACAGTAGCACCAGCAAAACTCACCAAACATGGCAATCTTATTAAGTGCTGGAAGCACTGGCTCAGGCCTGGTCTGCAAGAAGAATATTACGAGCAGTGTGAGGGGGTAGTTGGTGATCCAGTATCCTGGATTATTGTTTGTGATCCCGTTCAGCCGTGCCCAGTGTCTCACCATGAACACCAGAGGGCGCACCCTAGGGTCCAAGCGGCCAAATATGTACAGCATTTCTGAGCTTTTAATTGCTATCCTGTTAAATAAAGAAACAAAAACAATTTTATGTTAGTAATTTAGTGATTAGTAATCGTGCTGGATGTAAATAAACAATCCTTGCTGATGAAAGCTATCGATGCAATCAAATATTTGAGAATAGATCTAAAGGTAGTTTCAAAGCGAAACAAATATCACTCTACATCAGAGCAGTTTAATTCATGTATATATTACTCAGTTATTATTACACATGTATATTATTTAAATTTCCCTGCCTGTGAAAACCAGCATTTGAGACGTTATCCTTTTAACCTACTCACATCAACCTTTCCAAAAAACAAAACAAAAAACAAACAAAAAACCTTGTGTGTCACAAAGATATGAAATCCATTTTGGAGAAAAAAAATACCTAAGGCTGTTCATATGAAGATGAAATCAATATAGAATTTTGAAAATCTTAAAATCTGTCAAATACCTGTTATCACCAGTAAGGTCACAAGACAGCCCTGTAGCCTGATGTCTGAATTTGACCAATGGACACCTAGCATTGAGTATTCTGTTTACAGAACTGCATTGTGGGACATGCTTTTCTAAAAACTCAGCTAGGGTGAAGAGGGTTGACTGGGTGGCCACTCGTTCGCTGTTAGCAGACTGCCTGTCGTAGCCAAGCTTGTATTTATTTCTTCCCTATTAGAAACACAATAAAAACAAAGATTTCCGTCGATGCAGGGCAGTAAAATGAAGTATGATCTTTTCAATTTGAATGAAATTTTTCTCCTGCACTGCCTCTGGCTATTGGTAAACAAGTTTGTCAATTGGGTACATGACATGCAAACATGTTTGCAGATAAGTAAAACAAAGTCTGTAATGATTTTCTTTGATACTGAAATGTGCCCCCCCCCCCAACCTCTTGTTTAGGCTGCTTGAATAAAAGGTAGTATGTGGTCTATAAAATACTGAATGTTGTCTCAATGTGGACTACAAAAGCTATGTGTTTTTTTTCTTCAATCAAACTTGGGGCAGATAATATGGCAAATGTTAGCTTATGATTAAATATTATGAACATCAAGTGAAAATCTATCACCTCTTTGTCACTGCACAATCACAATCAAAGCATTTGGCTAAGTTGACAACATTTTCCTTCTTGGTTTTTATACCTCGTGAAAAATCACTGCTCTCTCACCACAAACGCAACATTACTCACCTGTTTGAGAGGGATGACACCATGTGCTGTGCCTCTATCAAGGTACGTATCCACGTCACAACTTCGCCTCCCGAATCCATTGATGGAAGAGCCAAAGGGGTGAAGGGTGGCATCAGGGAGGATGCTCTGGAATGCTTCCTCCATCAGAGAGCAGGCTAGGAAACGAAGCCTGATCTCAGACTCCCTCAGCTCCTGCTCTTGCAACAGCAGCTCAATCTGTGCATCCACCTGCTCAAATTTAGAGATTTAAACAAAAACAAACAAACAAAATGAATAGAATGAGCAAATATATCCTCACACCATGAATCAATATGGAAAAGTATAAAAGGAGTCATGAGGGGCAAAATAAATCATTGGGAATAGACTGTCCTATACTATTGAAGAAAGAAAGATAATGTGATAGAGAAAAACAGGGAAAGAGAAAATATCTGGGAGAAAAAGGTACTTACAGGATCGAGAGAGAGAGAGAGAAAAGAGAACGGGGAAGAGAAAGATATATATATATATATATATATATATATATATATATATACACATACATAGATAGAGAGAGAGAGAGAGGGGGAGATACCAGAAGATATAAGACATGCATCTTTGAAACAACAGGTACACTATCATGTAGAAAAGAAAAGGAGATGAAGTACAAAATCTATACAAAGACAAAATAATTGTTCTACGTACATTCGGAGCACTGGCCAGTGATCGAAGCAGCTCCAGGTTGCTCAAATCTTTATTTAAGATTACAACATCAGGTTTCCGCTTCAGAACATTGGTATCCTTGTGCTTTGAAGGTCTTGAGAAGCTGAGAAAGCGAGATTCCACCTGGGCGCCATCTCGCTGTTTGCCTGTCTTGCTCTCTGTAGAATGGGCTTTTGAGGTTATCTGCTTAATTGTGTCTGCTTGGCTGAATTCTACAACAACATAGTGCGCCTGAAAGGAATAATGAATGACAATGATTAATCCATTTGTGGAAACTTATTATAAACTTTGTCTGAATGTACTACCTGGTAAAATAATTGTGGCTTAAAGAAGACGCTAAAGTATTACTTTCTGAAGTTTTATGTCAATGCTTAACAGCTCAGTCATGCATGCAAGTTGTAGTCACTAATGGTTTCAGCAACAACTTTTCCAAATCATTTCATTTCCTCAAAAAGTAGCTCATGAATACAGTACATCTCTCTTTTTCTACCCTGAAAGAGGGGTAGAAAGGTGTAGGGTTGAATAAATTCCAGATAACATATCATTATGACCCTTCACAAAATCCCACAGAAACAAAAGAGAGGATCTCTTACCTTTTGAAAATAAGTGAAGTAATTGTCTACCTTCCCCTGACTATTGCAGTACTGCAGGAGACTTTCAATTGTTGTACCATTTGCTAGCCTAACCAGGAGACTCCGAGAAGCCTGTGATGATCTCATATGCATTGTATCCTTGAATGCACCGGACAGATTATTAGAAGTGTCTGGAAAATAATACAAGAATCTAGAGATAACATTTATAATATTATTATATCATGTTTGTAAATCATTTTGTTTCTTTGGGGTATATTTATGATTATGAGTGTCCTTTATTTTAAATTAATAATTGTGAATTTGATCCTTGTAACTTAAATGAAATGAGATCAACACACATTAATAGGAAAAGTAGGCCTACTTAGAGAATTCAGATAGACAGTTCAAGGTATGGACAGTCAGGACAGACAACTTAGATACCCATGGTCATGGGTTCTATTTGGGAATTTGACACCATTTGGGCATCTCTTTACTAGCTCTTGATCTTGTAAGATTTTAATGGTGTCAAACTAGGTGCAGATCCATGGGCCCCACCCCCCCCCCCCCTGGCAAAACAAAAAAACAAAAACAAAATCAGTGCACTCAAGTCTCAATCTGGATGTGGACAGTGTTGAAAAAAAAAACATCAGTTAGACCCCTATTCAGTGCTAAAAAATTAAATTTTAAAAGTTAAAATTCTTTGTATTTAGTCATTTCCTATTCTGTTTCTGTATAGGGCTAGGCAAGGCCTATACCGAAATTTCTGTCTCTTTCGTTCGTTAGCCTCTGATTTGGGTAGGGTCGGCTCCTCTCTTCCAAATCATTTTTTCCAGCAATCTTTCTAAAGGATTCACGGTTGGGAGGTTGTCAAAAGAAATCTATTGTCCACGACGCGAAAAGTTGCGAAATTCACACAGAACATTCCTACATGGGGGATTTCTTTCCACCACACATATTTGAATTGATGCAAAAAATACTGGCTGGGACACTATTTCAAACGACATAAAATTCTGTATTCTTAGTCTCTTTTCTATCATTCAATATGATAAATAAAATGACTAAAAACACTATAAAACTGTCTATATATTCCTCGTGGTGTAAGTCCCCCTCACGTGTTAAGATCATCACATTTCTCATAGAGGGGGACTCGGATCACGAGGAGTATATTAGTCGTGGTGTAAGTCCCCTTCTATGGGAAATTTGATGATCTTAACACGTAAGGGGGACTTACACCACGAGGAATATATAGACAGTTTTATAGTGTTTTTTAGTCAGATTCTTTTGATTTATTGATAAACTTTAACAGCGAATATTCTTTTGACAACTTTAATATGATCAAATAATATGACTCAAAACACTATAAAACTGTCTTTATATTCCTCGTGGTGTAAGTCCCCCTCACGTGTTAAGATCATCACATTTCTCATAGAGGGGGACTCGGATCACGAGTAGTATATTAGTCGTGGTGTAAGTCCCCTTCTATGGGAAATTTGACGATTTTAACACGTAAGGGGGACTTACACCACGAGGAATATATAGACAGTTTTATAGTGTTTTTTAGTCAGATTCTTTTGATTTATTGATAAACTATAACAGCAAATATTAATTTAACATCTCTAACATCTTTAGGTAACTGTCTGAAAGTGGCAGTGTGGTCTTAAAGAGGAGGGAAATGAGGGGTAGATAATATCAACGGGTTAATTGCCGTATCGTGTGATTTCAGAGGGGGGACTCGGATCACGAGTAGTATATTAGTCGTGGTGTAAGTCCCCTTCTATGGGAAATTTGATGATCTTAACACGTAAGGGGGACTTACACCACGAGGAATATATAGACAGTTTTATAGTGTTTTTTAGTCAGATTCTTTTGATTAATTGATAAACTTTAACAGCGAATATTAATTTATCATCTCTAGGTAACTGTCTGAAAGTGGCAGTGTGGTCTTGAAGAGGAGGGAAATGAGGGGTAGATAATATCAACGGGTTAATTGCCGTATCGTGTGATTTCGGAGGGGGGACTCGGATCACGAGTAGTATATTAGTCGTGGTGTAAGTCCCCTTCTATGAGAAATTTGATGATCTTAACACGTAAGGGGGACTTACACCACGAGGAATATATAGACAGTTTTATAGTGTTTTTTAGTCAGATTCTTTTGATTTATTGATAAACTTTAACAGCGAATATTAATTTAACATCTCTAGGTAACTGTCTGAAAGTGGCAGTGTGGTCTTGAAGAGGAGGGAAATGAGGGAGGGGTAGATAATATCAACGGGTTAATTGCCGTCTCGTATTAATTTCGGAGGGGGGACTCGCACCACGAGGAATATATAGACAGTTTTATAGTGTTTTACTAGATAAATTGGCTCGACTAAATAAAATTATAATGAAAGTTATATTTCGTCTTCAATTGCCGTTAATAGCTTAATTAATGCTTGACTAAATAAATGTGAATTATAGTTTGCTTTATTTAGTGAAGGACTTCTAATAGGTCTACTATATTAAACTCAGGCTTGACTAAATAAAGCAATAATATAATTTTTAAAAATTATAATGAAAGTAATATTTCGTCTTCAATAACCGTTAAAGGCATGATGAAATCAATCAATATAATATTTATTCATTAAGCCTAATTAATGCTTGACTATATAAATGTGAATCATAGTTTGCTTTAGTGAATGACTTTTAATAGGTGTACTAGATAAATTGGCTTGACTAAATAAAGCAATAATATAATTTAAACAAAATTATAATGAAAATAGTATTTCATCTTTAATATCATACAGCCTAATCAGTGCTTGACTAAATAAATGTGAATTATAGTTTGCTTTATTCAGTGAAGGACTTCTAATAGGCCTGTTAGATAAATTGGCTTGATTAAATAAAGCAATAATAATCATTACAAAAAATTATAATGAAAGTAATATTTCATCTTCAAAGGTACCATTAAACGCGCGCTTTGGTGGAAACAAATTTGGAAGGTAGGACATGTTTTTCAGATTAAAAAGTGTCTGTGGATCCGAGTCCCTGGGGACTTGGATCACGATAATGCCGAATATTGATTATATTGAATGGAATTGAATAAAGATCAAGATCTCAATCTGACTGAGCCTGAGGAAAGACCTCTATCTCGAGCACGACCGACTGCGGCCGCGCGCGCTCCCTTCTTTGCCAGCGGCCCGCGCGTTTCCGTTTTACACCCTGCCCTAGGCTTTTCTCCAATAAAATTTTACAAACCGACTGGTATTCGGAGTCTAGTCGTCCACATCTTGCCTCGGCGCTCTGCACACCACCAGAACTCTGAAAACGTCACGTAGCGCTAGCTAACTCTCTATACTAACTAGTTGATCTTCCTAGTCGTATCATTTATTTTTATCCATTAATACGCAATACTCTAAGAGCGTGAGGATGCGTGATCAGCTCGCAAAATTTAGCCCAGCGATAACAAAACAATAATATATCGGGAAAACCGTCTTGAACAAGAAGACCCTCGCATCCCCAATTGAAATTGTACATAAGCTTTGGCTTCGCTATTCTTGACGTCGATATAAACAAACTTAGACTTCGGATACAGCATGTTTCGTGTAATTTCTTGCCGAAAAGCCTAGGGCAGGGTGTAAAACGGAAACGCGCCAGCGGCCCCTACTACAGCTGCTTGCACTACCGACACGCCGGGCGCCGACGCTGCCGAGGCTCTGCGACTGCTGGAACTGAGTGGGGCCAGCGCCAGTTAGTACTAGTTCATACCATTTGTACTTGTAGCTGAAGACGTTGTAGTTGCACTTTCCGACAAAATTCTGCTACCAGATTTATCTGAAGTGACTCTCTTTGCTGAGACACATAGTTTTCTCGTACTGGAAAAAACGGTTTGACTGAATATTCTTGAATAACACAAAACATTTGCAAAAACCGATCTGGCAGGTCTCACCACACTGCTCACCATGGGCGCTGCCATCTTGCAAATAAAACTTGTTTTCGCGGATACCGTATAGACTAGGAAACGAAATTAGTTTACAGAGATATGTAACTTATAGTATTTCCGTCATACGATGTATACGCATTACCAAATTAAAAAAAAAACAAACTTGAAAAGTTGAGATTCTTTCTCAAAATTATATTAACATATTTTGTTAATATATGACTGACATCAAATTCAAAGAATGGAGATCCTGTCTAAATCATCAGGATTACTCATGAAGAAGGGTAGATCTATACCAGTTAAATCGAGTGTTACTACTCCTATGTTGCACGCTTAGTGCACAGACTAATTCCTCTTTCAATTTATAAGCTCTCTAGATTAGAAGGTTTTATCCAAAACACGTGCAACAGCTGTGTACAACGTGTGTGTACATTTGTGTCTGTGTACAACAGTGTCAAGTGCAGTGTGCTGTCTGCTTGGAAAGAAAGGGCCGAGAAAAGTTAGTGATATTATATTTTTAACTGACTATATATTGATTAGATAAATTAATCTGCTTCTTTAACCATATTCACATTACACTAGTAGATTTTAACTTATTAATCTTAGACTAATTAGCTTCTAATCTAAGCTGTGGAGTGCTAGAGACTAGTGAACATGAATAAGTGACAGAACTTCTCAATCTCAGAAGTTAGTTAGAATTAGAAATGTAGATTTTATTTTTTGTCAAGACTAGCAGCCTTTTCACACACAGCTAAAATTCATCGTATCTAGAGATGATTAGAATCACTCAACAGTTTTAAACATGTTTATAGACAAAATTTCCCAGTGTGAACATATCGTTTATACGATGTTGGGATAGATACGAAGTCGCGATCCATACGCCCCTAAAAGCAGGCTGCAGATACGAAGTTCGTATCTAGAGAGCTTGACATTTTGAGTGTGAAAGGAAATTCGTGTTTAAACGTGTTTAAACTGGATGGAGCGTGCGCTTTGATTGACATGACATGACCTTCAATGCGCAATGGCACTACTGCGCATTTTACGAGCAGTAGTTAATCACGAAACTATTAACGATCGCAACAAAATTTCTGTGTGTGAAAGGCTCGTGATTAGTTTAAACACGTTCGAAACACGTTTATACTAGTCATGTTTATAGAATTTTAGCTGTGTGTGAAAAGGCTGTAAGTCTACTTTAACTTAATTTAAGTTGAACTACACGTTCTAAAGCTATGATGATCATAATGTCAAACCCTTTTTGTTGATCATTTTAAAATTCAAAATTAAGAACTTTTTTTCTTTTTGATTCTGTATGCATGTGATATGTGTCATGTCATTTTCATTGAATGAATATGGATCTGTGATGAGTGTGAGTGCACTGTGAAGTAAAAGTGAAGTGAATTATGATAAACTGATCAGTCTCTCCTAAGTCTCCTTTATCATTGTATTCCAAACTTTGTAAATTCATTTAGAAAACAAGAATGGAAGAAGTTGAGAACAATGTAGATTCAGAAGGCTACCGGATGGAGGAACAGGATGAAGATGATATGTGGGACGATGATGAAGATGAAGAAGATGTCGTCCAAGAATCTGCTCCAGTGAAGTGCTTTTTCTGTGAAGAAATCTTCTCATCTCCTAGTACCGTTTTGACTCACTGTAGGGAAAGCCATAGTTTCAATCTTGTTCAGATTTCAACGCATACAGGTAATTAAATATGCAAATAAAGAGACTTGTCTATCCTTTTGAAAGAAATCATAAGCAGGGTTCTACAAATATTTTGTCATATATATCCAGAGAGCCATGCCAGTTCTTAATCTATTAAAAACTATTTCACACTGTACCCAAGTTTGCCTGTCATTCTCATTCTTATATGGAAAAAATAAGAAGAAAACCTGTAATATTTCTTATTGTGAAATGACTTATAACCTTTTCAATATATTGCATGTGGGGATAATATGTAAAATCCGAATTTGATCATATCGTCTGTTTGAAGCACAGAAAGGCATTACTCATACTTTAAATAAATTAATTGTATTTTGGCTATGAACAGATGCATTGTCACCTGACCAATTGTAATTATCAAACTGCACAATGGGATATGATATCGTCTTGTGTTTTCTGCTTATTTTCCAGATCTTGACTGCATAGGTTTCATCAAACTGATCAATTACATCAGATCCACTGTAAGTATTTCAGTGATGTTTTTTGGTGTGAAAGGTCACAGATGATTTAAAAATAATAATCTAAATCATTGAAATCCTTTCCTGAAGTGTCTTAAAACATGTTGGTAAATAATTTTTTGAAATAGCATGATCTGTTTTGTGTGAACTACTAATATTGCTCAGAAAGATACCATTTCTATACAATTGACTTGTGATTATTAATGTTTCTTGTTTGAAAGGGGAAACAAACAAGCAAGCAAGCAAACAAACAAAAACGTATATCAATTTGATAAATAACAATTAACAATAAATAACAAAGTGAACCATCCTTCTACACACAAAATTTGGACCATCTATAATGATATTTGAAAATTCTGGTCTCATTGTCCTGGAACTTGTCTTTTCACTACATATGATTTTAGTCATAATATCAGGATTATGTTTCTTTCTTCACAGAAAACAACTGGGGCAGCCATTCTGGAGTCTGTTCACAAACCAGAAGTGCCGTGGGCAGATGACTGCTATATGAAACCAGTTGATATGGAAGATCCAATGCTTCAGTTTGGTATGATAATTACAATGAACCTTCCACCTTGAAGTGATCATGCATTTCAGCAACTCCTTGAAGCTATCCAGGGATGGAGTATACAGCATGCTTCATTACTAGTACAAAACCAGAATGAGCTTTTTTAACTTTCTTGCATGTGACCACTCGTAGATAATTGTATAAGACAAAATATAATTCACACATGCTCAGGATACCCTTGAAATCTATGAAATTTTGCGAAATTAAATGTCTTTTGTTTGATGTAGGTGACCCTGACCTTTGCTCCAGGAGCATTTGCTCTGAGCTTTATTTCTCTGAATATTTAGGGTAAGGGTTGTCTTAGGTGTTGAGTTTGGGTCAGAATTAGGGTGAGGGTTGGGTTTAGTGTTTGGTCCAGGGTTGGAGTTTGAACTGCACTTAGTATAGGGCATCGACCATGGAGTGATTCCCAGAGGGGCATGTGTTATAGAATCCTGAGTCCCTCATTTCATCTTGTTTTACATATATGCTCTATGTACCAGTAGTAATCTTGTGCTATTATGTGGCATCTCGTGTTTTTATTGTACAACAGATATAGAGTCCTATCTGGAAGACCAGAGTAACAGGTTAGATGTGGGAGCTACCTCAAAGGATGGCATCTCAGAATCCAATGAAACAGTCACTATTCCTGCCAAGGAACTGGTAGAATTAAGGAGAAAAGTCCGCTGCCTTGAAGAGCGACTTGGGCTGACTGAGGAAGCTTTGGAGCGTGCTATGCAGGATATGACATCAGCAAGGTAATTTGATATATCATAGCCACTTTTTCTCTTCTCTCCCCCCCCCCCCCCCCTCCCTCTCCCATGTTTATCAGTGCTGGATACACCACTGACAGCTACTATATATGCTATTAGAAAAATGGGTGTCCATATGAATAAAAGTTAACTTGTATTGAAACATTTCAAGCAAACCATTGCTAAAAGGTTTTCAGATCTCAGTGCAAGCAGAAAATAATTCATTAAGTTCTGAACATCCACCATATCTCACTTTCCCCTAAAAGTAATAGGGTTATAGAGCTCAAGCATTAAAATCTGACCAGAGATGGATATATACATACTCGTTGAATAATGACAAGTTTACTATTATTAATAATTTCTTTTAAGGAGTATTGCTGGAGAATGTATAAATGCAGCTAACTTATTGTTTCAATTCCTGAATGGTATTGTTATAATCCGTATAAATTTAAAATGAAATCATAGTTTATATGATTATATGCAGAGAATTTGCACATGGTCTCATCGCATCAGCCGCAGATTCGCCCAGCAGTAATAGCAAAGGGAAACAGAATGCATCAGTTGGGCAGAGATTGACCGAAGAAGAGGACGAGGCTTACTTTGATTCCTACGGGCACTATGGTATCCATGAAGAGATGCTCAAGGATAAAGTCAGGACACAGGCTTACATGGATTTCATCTATGATAATCAGTACATCTTCAAGGATAAGGTGATTATGAGTGGGACGTCCCAAAAGACCGGCAGCCCATGAAACTGAAAGCCCATGAGACCGAAAATGTCTCATGAACTGGCCGAAAAGTTGTCAGAAGGCCAGCAAAAGATACATATTGATCTTGTGGGCAGTGTAGCCATCATGAGGTTATCCAGTTTTTTTGCTAAAACCGGCTTGGTTTAATTTGCTATACCTGTTCTTAATATAAGTGTCTGTTCAGGTTTCAGTACAGATCAGTGCATATTAATGTGTAATAAACTCTCCATTCGACTAGGGAGCATTCCAGTCAGCTGTACATAGTTTTTTTTAGACGTGTGTCAATGTGGCAAATTTGATCGTACAGTACCCACTTCAAGCACGCTCAAATTTTAAGACTGGTAATGATGATGATCATAATGGCAGTTATGATTGATCGCCATTCATATGAAATGATAAGATAAAAGAAAAAGGAATGTAGAGTTGTCGTGGTTGAGTGAATACATCGGACTGTGGATCACAAGGTCCGCGGTTCAAATCCCACCATGGCACTAATATTCTTTGGCAAGACATTAATCTACATTTGCCTCACTCGACCCAGGGTATGTAAATGGGTACCTGATAGTAGTGCTGTAAGTCAGACGCTATGTTCGTGTTCGGTTCGGTTCGGTAGAGTTCGGCAATTTTTCACCCGAACTTGGTTCAGTTCGGGGTTCGGTAATATAGTAATATAATAGCAAGCAGCGTTATAGCCACGGCGGTCGGTACTGGGCGGGCCGGCCAGCCGGGCCCGACCAGCACGGAGGACTTCTGATAAAAAACGATGTTTCCGACCAGCACGACTTTCGCGTTAAAAAACTGCTTTAAACGTAATTAAATTTGAAGAAAAGTACTACTTACACTCGTATTTCCGTCTTGAATCATGTTTTATTTTCAATTTTAAAAGAATCATGTTTTCAATTTGTCAATAAATGATATTTTTTAAAGATTTTCCGAGACGGTTGTTGTCTAATGTTAGAGTCATGAAAGCTGCCATCTTGAATAGCGAGGCTCATGCTCCTCAATAACTGTTTTTTATAAGTTTTTATTTTCAATAGGAAAAATATAAAATCCCTTTTTTTTCCTAAATAAATAAATACCATACTATAATATATATTTATTTCATTAAATTTGTCCGATATAATTACAATTAAAATATTAATTTTTTGAATGGGTTTGAGCTGAAGTTGTTTTGATCACGCACATGTATTCTTGTTTATGGCTTGCAATCGCGACGTAGCATGGTCAGGATTTGGGATTTAAATGGCGCCAGTGAAGTCACGCCCACCACTGGATAGGTATAAATCACAAAGGCGGAATATGGGAAAAAAGTAAATATAAAATGAGCAATCATGACATGAAAATGAGATACAAAATGACAAGTTTATTAGCTTGCGAAAACATTTAATTTTTCTGCCGAACATCCGAACCAGGCCTTTGCGTTCGGTTCGGTTCGGAAGTGCCATGTTCGGCGAACTTCCATTTGGTGCGGCGGTTCGGCTACAGCACTACCTGATAGGAATGAGTTCCTTGAAATGCTAGAGCACCGTAATGGTAGCCATGCCGAAGATGGGGGTAATAATTGCAGACTGCCTGCCAATAGCGCCGAGTCTGACAGACATAAGCACTACCGGTATACAAAACCCACTATTATGATTATTATTATGAAACATTTTGAGTATTTTGATTTACGAATGTTTTATGGTTATGTTATGGTTTCAGGTGGTATTAGATGTTGGATGTGGGACTGGAATTCTATCTATGTTTGCTGCTAAGGCTGGTGCAAGGAAGGTCATTGCTGTTGATCAATCGGATATTGTCTACCAAGCCATGGACATTGTCAGGTCAGTTTGCCATGTGGCTAGTGAGTATATTATATTTTAGTTTAGATAAATAAAACAAGAACTGACCTCTTTCAGAAAGTATTTTCTGATAAGTACTGGTATGTAAAAGTTATCTATAGTCATTTCATTTCATAGATTATATTGATGGGTGTGGTTCTGAACAATTCATTCTTTTATTGATACACCGGCAGTTAATAATGTGGGATTGAATGTTATTAGCAAGACAAAGAAGTGTGCCTGTTAACACTTTCATTTGAACAAAAGTTCAGATTATCAAGGAATTCTGATTTTAGTGGCACACACAGTTTGTTGAGAAATTATTTGCTATTAGAATTGCATAAAAATCAAAAGTGGGAGAAAGAAAACCAACATTATACCAATTGGTACATTGAGGTAATATGAACTGTAAAGTACAAGGATTATAATGATATCAAATACATTGTAGTTGCATTTAATAATTTGTTGTGTGTGTTGTTGTATTGCAGGCAGAATGGTTTGGATGGTATCATTACTCTCAAGAAAGGAAGGTTAGAAGATTTGGTTCTGCCCGTGGAAAAGGTAAATCGATAAAGAAAATGCTCCTTTCTGTGCTGAGGAGTGATGTCATAAATTTGAACTTTTTCGACAGAAGATTTTCCTCGTACCTGTCCCAAAATGCCTATATATAAAACAATCTTGCTTGTTTTTTATATACAAATCGTAGTGTGTGGAAAATGGTGTTTGAGTCATTTGTTTTATTTCATGTAAAAAGAAAATGAGGGTTATAAAAGGAAACGTGGCTGTTTTACGGTTTTACCTATTAAATGTACCCAAAATTTATTTTAACTTTGAAATATAAATTTCCCATCACTCAGTTAATTTTTTAAATACTAACTAGACATTGCTTGACTTTGTGTTACAACTTGTTCTCAATGTGGGTTTGCTCTTTATTCTGCAATAGTTTGTTGAAGAAACAGTATTAAACTTAACTATCCTTTTTATCCTCATTGTTCTCTTTATTAGGTTGATGTCATCATATCTGAGTGGATGGGTTATTTCCTTCTCTTTGAGTCTATGTTAGATACAGTCCTCTACGCTAGGTCCAAGCACTTAAAGGAGGGAGGAATGGGTAAGAAAATAAATAGCTATAAATCACACCAAAAACAGTTTTCTGAAGTCTATGTAAAGAAGGTATATGATATTCGTGTTGCCAGCCTCGTCTCTGCAGTTTATGAAAGTTAGCCTTCAGCACCAATTATTTTTGGATTGGGGACATCTCTGCACTAATTTCCAATACACTTTCCACATGGGGAAATGATTCGGGAATGATTTATAGTTTGCATAATCGTGGGATTGCCCTCTCTATATCTACACTGAAACGCTCCTATTTTCATGATTTATATCACCAAGATATTGCTGTGTTGGTATCCTTGGGATTCCAAAGGAGTGAAATTTTGAAGAGTCACAAATTCCACTTTTCAATCCCCTTCTCATTATAAATATTATGTCACTATTCAGGTGTGAGTAAGTGATAATGATCAAACCACAATGTTATTTGCATAAACCTGGTCTTAGGTAATTTCTCGAAAGGCAACATTCAAAAAACTATTTGGATCTAACTTACCAATTTAATGTAAAACTTAGGTACATTTAAGTAGGCTACTCCAATGTTGTCTTTTATTGAATAGTTGATCTTGAATTCAAATGTTTTGACAGTGTACCCTGATCTGTGTACACTGAGTCTGGTAGCAGTGAGTGATCAGAAGGGTTTCGGCTCACGCCTTGCGTTCTGGGACGACGTCTACGGCTTCAAGATGTCATGCATGAAGTCCTGTGTCTTGGAAGAGAGTTCGGTAGACTATGTTGATCCAGACACAGTCATGACAAAGCCATGTATGATCAAAGTGAGTTCATGATGTTAAACACATTTACTATCTTAACCACTATTACATTATTTATGATAACGTCATTGATTGTATTGAAATAAGATATGTAATGTAGTCTGCATGTCAGAAATGTGCTATACAGCCTGTTGTAAATGATGAGGGTTCGGTGTAGAAAGATTAATCCTTAGTTGTATGATCCATCATCTCATCCATATTCTATTGCTTTGTAAGATATGTGTATTCAGTAATTGAAGGGTGTGTTTTATGAAAGAGTTCATTGATTTTCCCCAACATTACCACAACTCAGTATTACTACAATAATTAGAACTCCTCTCACATTTTTCTTTCAGTGCTTGGATATTTCCACAGTTCAAGTCCGGGATTTAGATTTCATTACAGATTTTCAGATGGAAGTACTCTGTGATGGGCTGTGCACAGTGAGTACCATGCAAAGTGAATGAATATCTCTCTCAATTTATGATAGCAATATTATTCTTAGACAAATTCATAGTGTATGGTCCTGAAATAATTTAGGATTTTTTTATGTGCAATTCTCAGGCCTGATAAAAAACGGATTTAAATCGGTTTTCCTGATTTTTTTTTATTTTTCCCGATTTTTTCCTGATTTTTTTTTTTTCTTCTCAATTAAAAAAAAAAAAAAAAAAAATCCAAATTCAGCAATTCTCAGGCCTGATAAAAAACCGATTTGAATCGGTTTTCCTGATTTTTTTTTTTTTTTACCAATTTTTTTTTTTCTTCCCTATTTTATCCTGATTTTCCCGATTTCCCTCTTATTTTCTTTATTCTTCCCTATTTTGCCCTATTTTTTTTCTAATTTTGTCACAATTTTCTTACTCGAAAGGGAGGAATGTTGTTAGATGCCATTTTTCCCCCGCGAATCCTCTTTCTTTTTTTTTTTTACTCAAGGGGGGCGTGGTTGAGGGGAAAACAAAAAACCTATTTTTTTTTTAGTGCTCACTATCACCCCTGAATTCTATTTATAAAAAATGTGGTTTTTGTCCACTTTGTAATCAGTTCTTTAAATTTGAATTCATGTGTTTGATTTTTTCAGGGTCTGGTTGGATTCTTCGATGTCATCTTTGAAAAGAATTGTCACAAGGCGGTAAGTTTCATATTTCTATAACTGCTTCATTATTTTCTTTAGAAAGTTGCTGTTATAGTAGGTCAGGGTGCTTTAATAAGATCATTTTGCGATACATGATCTTCCAATAAGGAGAATGACAGCAGACATTACATTCTTGATGGAACCTTTCAGAATCTCAGTATATAAAAACTGAGTATTATTATTATTATTATTATTATTACTAGACGTGCCATTCTCTTGCCTATTCAGCCTCTTTTCTTATAAGGAAAGACATACAATTACATGTCTACGTTGATATTCAATACCAAACTTTTCAATTATATTTGCCCAACAATAATCAAAGGAATTAAACACAAAGCATTTCATCGTTATGTAGTTTTGAGACTTGGGGAAATGAATGGCAAAATTTTAGTCCTATATTCACTTTTGAGTGATATATTTGTTTGGCCATGCCCATCTTGTTGTAATATCCTTGTTGATCATCTTCAAGTATCAGATCCTGAGTTGTGAGTGTCTCTTCAATCACAGGTGATGTTCTCTACTAGTCCTTCAGCTCCTAAAACTCACTGGAAACAGACCATCTTTCCTTTGAGGAAGCCATTCCACTTGAAGAAGGGTAGGTCAAGTCTAAAAAGGGTAGATTGTATTACTTTATAATTTACTAAAATCACACTTGATGAGCATCCTTGACCTCTGTGTATCATCAAAATGTCTTATTTTCTTCCATTTAATCAATCTAAAGTTATCATACATACCCCATGTTTACATTATCATCATTCAGTGGATGTACGTGCATATCGGGCAAAAGTTAGCATACCTGTATGATTGTGTTTGGCAAGAATTAAAAACGTGACAAGTACCATTAGATGAAATATGAAGCAATTGTAGTTGAATGTCCCAAACATCCCCACAACTGACAAGGCCATCAATTTTGTGTACTGATAGGTAATAAGTGAATGTTACCACTTTCTAAAATTTCATTACAGTACATTATTATGAATCTGATTTGTTAAAAATTCTTTCAATTTTTCCATTTACAGGTGATACCCTCTCTGGCAAAATCTCGTGCAAGAAAGACACGAAGGAGATGCGATCCCTGGTGGTAACCATTACTATTGAGAATGAGACTCTCACATACCATGTGAGATAGTACATGAAGCCCAAGATGATCTGTGCACTAGCAGGAGATGAGAAGATCCCATGTTCAGCATTTCCAAGACAAAGCAAGGCATCTGAGAGTGTCTGTGTGTCTTTACAGTTGTTCTTGATAAGGAATTGACTCTGATATGCTGCATCAGATAAATGGGAGGCTTTGTCAAAGATATTTGTTATGTCTTGTATCCTCAAGATGGCATACTACCGTTGCTGAAGGTTATTAATCACATGTGCATATATACAGTCACAATACATAGCATACTGTATGATACCTGATAAAAACAGCTCTTCTTAATTTGCATTTCATTGAAGTTGTCTATCAAAGAATAAGACACTTAACAGAATAAACATAAATCATGATAGTGTTTTTAAAATGCAATATTTTGAGTAGTACATTGCAAATTTTCATGATAAAGAAATCTATAAGCAATCAAATTGAAATTGCATTGATATAATGCATTCATGGCTCTTTCACTCCGTGGAATCACCTTAAGAATAATTTCACAATAAATTTTTGTTCTTAGTTCTTTAATAAGACTTACAAATGTACTTATCTTCACACTGCAAGTATTAATGTAGAAGTCCATGTAATATAGACTACTCCATTATCTAGTGGGGTGGGTAATGATATCAACAGATCTTGTATAGATTTAGTAAAAGAGCATACTTTCTCATTTCATGCTGTTCATTGTCCTTATAAAGCCTTTTAACCTGTATATTGCAGTATTCAGTCATTTTACAATCACTGTACATATATGCTTTGCAGATAAGTAGATAGAGAGAGGAAATGAAGAATGTAGGGAGAGGGAGAGGGAGAGAGAGAACGAGATAGATGGGGATGGGGAAGTAATATTATGTTCTTTACTATACACATGTTTTTTTCTTTTTTAAAGAAGAAATCAAACAATACAGAAAATAGTCATACAGGGAATAACAAAATACACATTTTTATTGTTTTAAATAAAAGTAACTTTTATTTGCACCATCTCAAATATTCAAAAAATATCTTATTCAATAACAATTGAAGAAACATTCAACGGCAAGATCAACGTTTCAAGAGCAATTTTCACACATAATATTTCACCCTGTAATAATCATATTTTTCCCCCTTAAAAAAAAAGGATCAGCTAAACACAGCAGCTTCTTAAATTCCTTTCCAAAATTACCATCTCAACAATTAAAATGTCTTCTGTTGGGCAAAAGGTTATGCATGAAAAATGCTAATTAATTCCCTGCAATGTTCTTCTTTTAAAAATTAGAATGAAACACTAGTACCTTAACGTGGTTGATTCACATTAGGTAGGTGATATTTTTAATTCTCAATGGGTTATTATAAAATACTTTTCAAAACCATTAGAAATTGCAACAGTCCATGTACCATTATTGCAGATGAACAGCGATAATGGTTTTAGAGCATATTCAATGTACAATGAGAGGGTAAACCATTCACAGGGACAATAGTTCCTACTCTCCTATTGCTTTAATAAGCATACATGCCAACATTTGAAAATCAGAAATCTGTACAAATTATGCTATTTAAAAAAAAAGAGGAACAATCCTAACTCTCCTATTCAATACTACAGACAAATTTGTACAGGAAGAGGAAAACCTGCATTAAAATGATAATTATCTTCTCCCAAAAAGAGGAATGTTCCTCTTTAATCTGAAGAGTTGGCATGTATGAATAAGGCAATAACAGAAAAACATGAAAGAGCTTGCATTGGTAATGCAACAAACCCTTCATTCGTAGGAAATCTATTCATTCACATTATAACAATTTCTTTGAAAGGTTTGCTACATCAATTATGTATTAGGCCACAAGGTAACAACTAGAAGATGCCATGAATAAATATAGCTACAGGAAATGAATAATATAATTGAATTAGATTTTTGGTATCTGCTGAAATATTTAGAATTACAGTACAAGTTTAAACCGCTTCTTCAAACCAGTGACAATAAAACCATTGTGTTGTTATTTAGGAAGTTCATTTCATGCAATTGTTTTGTGTCACTAGAACAACAAAATGGCATTCGGTCTAAATAAAAAGTATGATGTAATTGTATTTCTGTTTTCACATTAATTATATAGTAACTGCAGATGATTTGGCATGGTGTATGATACTGATTTCAAAATTACAAAGACATTATGGAAACAAACTAAATATTGATACCGATCAATTCCCTACTTTTCTATAAAACAATATCGTTGAACTTTAGAATATTTATGAATATTCTCCTGAATATTTACCTAGACAGATATCAACACATATAAAATAAAATCTTCTCTCCAATAATCTGTATCAAATAGGCACTGATAAAAAATCAAACCATTCAAATTTAATGACAAAAGTAAAAACCCATGCGTTCATCTCCGCAGGAACATCACACAAATATTCTTCTCCTATTCCCCCCCCCCATAAAAAGTATGAATACACATTCATCGCCAATATGCCCTTACCAATATACGTTTGAAAATGTGAGTATGCCAAATGCCTTTGCCCATGTCTTACTAAATAGTTAGTGGCTTCTGTGGTAGCCAAATTATATGATTCGCAATCATTCACATGGATTTAAAGTTAATACCAGATCATGATATGTGTCGTATAAAAAATCACAAAAAAAGTATGCAGAAGATGAGATCATGATAACATTTTCATGTAATTTTGGTTCAATTTCCATCATGGAATACTAATCAAATCAAAATTTGATTTCTGTCAGAATATATCAATTAATACTTGAATGGCAAAAATTTGGTAACATGTATTACAGGACAGGTGGCAACCTGAGCCACTTAAAAGACCAACCATAGACAAAATGAAATCAAAATTTAATTAAGAAAATCTCACTGTAAGATAAACTTTTATATGAGATATCCCCTGTTTACTGGAAGAAAAAAACTCATGAATATCACAGATAGAAACGAAAGACTGACAGACAACACAAAAGCATGATGCTTCAGGCACAGGATGTAAATACTGAACTCAATAAGTGATACTGGGATGTGAAAAGTACTATTCATAAATTGAAAGTAACAATTGTACTATACATAAGTCAACAATACAATTAATAGTACAATGCTTTTGAATACTTTACACTTGTTGAATTAGGTCTTCACATTTCAAGGTAAATAAAATATTCAAGCTTGTGATTGACACAAGTAGGTGATGTGGAACACAAAACAATACCAGATACCTGTGGGAGGTAGAGGATATTTATACTATGAATACCAGGATTGGGTAGTATCAAATAAATAAATTTGCATTTGTTGCACTTCCACAAACTTTAACATTTCTTTAAAATCATGCATGTCATCTTGTATCATACCACAAAAAAAATATATCCATTTATAAATCATAATGATGAAAGCAAAACACAAGTTAGTTGAGAGATATCATTAAGAGTCTTGTTCCTTATTGAGGTCTTCTACAGTGTCCTCTGCAGGGAACTCAAATGCTGTTGCCCCAGGTTGGCTAGCATTGCTAGAGGTACTAGCACAAGGTGTTGATACCTCTTCCTCCGTGACTTCTCCTCCGTTCCCGTCACCACCACTGCATAACGTATCCTCCTGAGGGTCAACAGACTCTCCACAGTCCAGAGTGGTCGGTATCTCGGGACCTTTCCACTTTGTGGTCGTCTCTGTAGTCGTGCAAGTAGTTGTGCAGGACATCGCACTGCTTGAGAATGTTTGTGACTTACAGCCGCACGAGACGGAGCCTATGACAAGGTCGTCATCCAAGCTTGGCATCGACATGAGGTGGATTTCATCCTTGGCATCGTCATGTTGCGCTTCATCGCTGGCGAAGTAGTCCTCGGGCCTGTCCGACTCGTCTTGTCCCGATTCCGATTCACGACCCACCCGCTGTGATTTCATGCTCTCTAGGAAGAGCGAGAAGTCAAAGTTCTTTGCGGAACTCTCCGTTGGGGAGGGCAACGCACTGGAGACGTTGGAGGAAGGATTACTGGCCGAGCGGCTGTAGTAGGAGGAGCCGTCCGATTCACGAGTGTTCAGAGACGAGGGTTTGACACGCTGTGGTGTGTAGGTGTTGAGATGCATGCTGCTGCGCGGTGTCTGGCATTCTGGAGTGGCGGCACCGTCACGGGTGATTCGTGCTAGGAATTCATCAACTTGACGGAGAGACAATGAGTTATGCAGAGTTTCCAGGGGTCTGATAGATGTAACTTGTATGTGATGCTCTAGACCTGCAAAGTCATCAGAACATAAATCATTATTAATTATCAGCATGTTAGCATGATTAAATGAGATACAGTGACTTGGATTACCATTATATGAGGTACAATATTTGCCCTGCCTGCAACAATCATAGGGAAACGATATATACTCAAAGTAAAAGTTCCAGTTTGAAAACAAAAATAAATGTCAGTCTCCTATGATGGACAGTTACATAGAATTGGCATCACAACATGTATGAGGTGGGTTTTGTTACAAAATTCAGAAAACATTGCTAATATTTCCCACAATCAAAGCTCAAGCAATATATAATTTAGCATGAATTTGGATCAGTTATTTCAAAATTACCAGAGTTATGATACCATATCACAAATGTGTTTACTAGCCTCACCATTGTTTTAAAATTGGTCCTTTAATAAATAATTTCTTTTCAAAATAAAATGCAGGATAAAAACATTGTTTTGCATCATGAGTGAAAGATATCAAGCTTAATTTAAAAAAAAATAAAATACAGTCAAACCTGTCTACAGCAACAGCCCAAGGGAAACACAAAAAGTGGTCTTTGTAGACAGGTGGTCTTTATAGACAGGTTCCTGTAGAGCATGTTTCAATGAGAAACCAGTTTCAAGGGAACCAAAAAAGTGGTCCTTGTAGACAGGTGGTCTTTGTAGACAGGTGGTCACAGGTTTGACTGTATATGCTAATTGACCCTATCATATTAGAACAGATGGAAACAATACTTTGCAGGCACAAACCCTTGTCAGTGTCTGCACTATGAGACTAGGCTGACAACATACTACATAGTACTGTAGCTGCTCAAAACACAGCCAGAGACTGATAGTGCTAGGCTTCTGCTCAAGGCTTCAGGAATGGTGGTAAAGTGTAAAATTCAAGTCTGTGGCTGCAGACTATGGACATACATACCTTGATGTGCAGCAGAGTACGTGGAAGCTCTTCTCATGAGGATATCATCATTGAAGTACCAGTTAGGATCATGAAGCTCAGGGGCACTCTTTACACCAGGTAGGGTAGGTTGAGTAGGTACATATACCTTGAGATGATCGTCACCTGAACACAACATCAAGACAATTTGGGTAGATGGTAAAAATAGAATAAAAAGTAAACTGGCAGGGGTTCACACCTCACACTTAAGTTTCTTGGAAGGGGGACTGCACTGAACTATTTACAGTCTGTGTGCATGAGCCATGTGTAAAATTTTCAGAGTTTGGACTTTTTGACGCCCATTTGTCCTGGAGACTTGTTAGTGTTGAGCCCTGTATACAAAATCCTTGGGTATCATGCTGAGCCCAACGCACAAACAATGGTTTTCCACATTTAACTCTGGATCTCCAAATTTTGAAACTTTATTCAGGGGCATTCATTCATTCATTCCCGAAAGATGAGAAGCCAGACCTTATGTGAAAGAGTTTAGTGTGGAGCTCAGGTATAACAAAACAAAAATAACATATAACATAAGATCGTGATGCAAAAATGACAGGGAAGTGGATTTAATTTGTAAGTGATTGATGAAACATTGAACACACTTTCATCAGTTCCTCTAATTATAATTGCTTTGATGAATATGACATGCATTTCTTTGCCATGTTATTCCTTTTTCTTTGTATTCCACAGCTTTGAGACTTCCTTGACAGGACAAGGAACAAAGATTTCCACCAAAAAACAAAAAAAATCCAGTATAATTCATTTTTAACCGATGAGTGTCCGAAACAAAATATCTTGTTCACACTATGTTTTGGTAGAATAAAGTCTCCTGTTCCCAACACTCATTCAATAGTAAGAAAATACATTATTTGTGAGCTGACTAGTATTCAGAGTGAAATTTATGTTCCTGAAAGTTCTTTGATACATAGAAACGACCTTCACTGACCTGTGTTACTCTTCATGGCAACTCCTCCCATCAAGTCATCTAGGCCGGCAGAGAGTAGGGATGAGGGTGGGGTTCCAACCGGCTCACTCTGACCAGCTGCTCTGCTGGGCTCATTGATCTTGATTGGCTGGATCCGTAAGAATGGCTTGCCACCTATGATCCCTCCTGGAGCTACAGTAGCCCCTCCACCAAGCTGTATGAATAATAATAATCGTTGATAATGACAAAAGTGTTACATTGCTATTAAAGAGAGAGTATAACTCATTTGATAGGATCACTAGTTCTCAGGTAACTCTGTTTGAATGAATAACAGATAATGTACAAACATAGTTTCCACTTGAAATTTTAAAGACATTATCCAAAAATTGTTTACAACACTGGTAAAACTGATATTGAACATGTGGTTTACAGCACATTTACATATAACTTCAATATAAGATGGATTTTCTGCAATCAAAAATAGAAAGAACTGAATAACCCCCTGGTAAACAGGAGGTACAAGTAACCTGACCAAAGGCACTAACATCCTTTAGCAAGTGATCATTGGCTACACTCGACCTGGTTGAGGTATTTAGATACCCTGTACACAAAATGACCTGAGCGCCTTATCACAGACGATGGGCAGGGTAAAATAACTCATGCACAATGTACAATTGGATAACCAGCACAATATGAGAACATAATGAAATTGCTGGTTTCTAGGACACTACTACAATGCATAGAGAGAATAAGTCGGGGATGGTCACTATACAGTGTGGAAGAGCCATGCAATCAACTACCTTTTTATCCTTGGCTGCGACCTTGAGAAGGGGTGTGACCTTGTCCTGTTCTTCACCTTTCTGGGCTTTGTGATCGGAGCAATCATCTTCCGATGAGTCGATGCAGCTAGATGGTTCATCCTCTTCAGAATTGTTCTCATAGGGCGATGCATTTCCCTGGTAATCAAACCATCAAAAGATGTCATTGGGTTTACCAGTACAAGTATGAAAGTGGGTTACATTGGGAAATCTGATCTTGTACACACTATGTGGAAAATGTTAATCTGACACTTCATCATCAAATGCTGCAAAAGACTCCAATTTAAGATGTTAGGTTAAATGTCATTCATATTATCTTGAATACTGTGATAGAGAATACATGTATTTGCTGTCTCAAGCTAGTATCAAATACCCCAATCTGTGGGAATTTTGAATTGTTATTTCATGTATTCAAAACCCCACAGTATTTGTGCCTGGATTAATCACTTTTCTTTTAATGTAGGATTTCCTCATTCTAAAAAAAACCTTCTAAAAAATTGCTTCATACATGTAGTACAATTGGATATATTCATCATTGCGATACTATGACGATAGAGCTATAACCACTAGAATCCATGTGTTCTGATGTTTCACGATGATCGAAGTCTGCTTGATTTAAGACAGCTATTCTTCGGCTACCTCTAATCATACTTCAGTATCGGAAGTGATTGCAATATGTATTAAATTTCCCGACTCCTTTCCAGTAGCAAAGTATTCATACTACAACAACAAAATTCTCCACTTACCGAGTTATGGACGGATCTGAACGGGCAGCATCCGGGATGGTTCTCATCATCCTCACAGTCCTTGGCTCCAGGACTGAAGTGAAGCTCCACCCTGAACCGATCATCAGACATAGGATCCTTACTGGGATCCTCGTACAGCATCAGTACTATCTGGGTCATGTAGTTGAGCTCCCTGATCCCACCCAGGTAGTCGCATGAGTTCTGCCAGTTAGGGTCCGACTCCTGTACAGTGAGGAAAATTATGTAGGGTAAGAAACATGTCTGAAGCATCTGTCCTGAAGGAAGCATACCTGTATATGCCTTTTAAAAATATTTTCTCCTTCATCTTCTAGAATCTGAAATTCATGAACTAGCATTCTTCATCTTCCTTTGCTCTTTACATTGTCTATAAAAATAGTTAGCATACGCATTGTTTTGAACATTTTGTATAACAAGTTAAAGTTTTATTCTGTGGGAATCTATATTTCTGTAGTCACCAAAACATGTGTACAGACTTGTTCAGATACCAATGTGGTTTATTTCATGTGTAAGTGAACGGCAACTGCACCCAAAAAATGACTTGCACTTATTCACTGAGCTCTATATTATCAGGTGTCGAAATGTGACGGGTATCAGACTTTACACATCATACAAAAAACCGCTGCAGTTTCTCTGTGTCAAATCTGAAAAAGCCTTAAACCTGTATAAATTTCCTAAAAGCAAATGAGAAAGTCCAAGGTATTCTGTCATTTGGTGTCCCCGTATGTTACAAGGTATAATGGAGTTACCAACATAACAGAGTATTTCAAATTTGGTCTGATCCAATCTCTAGCAGGGCTACTAACTACTACAATCAGATAGGCTAGAATCTTAGGTATGGTCAGTAAGATAACGAACAGGGCAGCTCGGACTAGCTCTAATACTTACATCACAGAGCCCCCCATAGCGCAGGCATGACAGAAGGGTGTGTATATGGCTCTCACTGGTGAAGTAGAGTCTTGTTCGGACCTGTCTGTCCGGTGACATGACACCCTTGGAGTAGAGGGGATTAAGGCGGTAGGTGGTCTCATCATTGCTGTTGATGCGGTGAAGGTCAGAGCGGATCTTCTTCAGGAGGGGGGTGCAGATGCCTTTTCCAATCTCAAGCTTCTCACTGGTTGTTATGCCATACTCCTGTAAGGAGAAACAAGGAGGGGAATATTAGGGCATTTATTTTCAGAATGGATACACCCAAATGACAAAAGGATAGAAATAGATCTTTTTGAAGGTCACAAATATCAAATATGCATCAGATGCAGTTATTATGTATGCATACTTTATTTTCTAGCAAAAGATCTAACCGCCCCCCCCCCCTCCCCCCAGACAATGGTATATTCCAGAGGGTGTTGTGTACAAAATATTTCTTATTCATCCCCATCCCCTCTTTGTATAGAGAAAATGTATTGTTGATGCTTCCGAGCATTTTAATGGCACCATATTCTCTTCCATTTTTTTCTTCAAGATATCATTTTTAATACATCTATTATTTACGGGAAATATGAGTGAATGTAATACCTGTGGAATCACAAAATCAGCAAGCATCTCTGCAGAGTTGTAGAGCTCATCCATGTGTGAGAATCCCAGTGTTTTGAGGATGAAGTTGTGCTGCATGTCGTACTTGATGCAGTCATAGATGTCAGGCACCTTGGTGATATCAAAACGGCCAGACTTGAGCTTGAAGTCCTTCTCAAGCTTCACCCATCTTCTCAGCATCAGCTCCAATGTCTCATGATGATACAAGCCAAAATCTGCCAGATTGACAGATATAATTATCATGTTGGGGGGATTATAATTTTATCTACTCTAAAAGAAGAGTAATTTTGAATTTAATACTTCTCCAATGATAAATAGCAAAATTAACTACATGCTTATTAGTTTCGTAAAGCATCGTACCAATACCCACAATACAATTCAATAGAATATCCTAAACGAAATGGCACACAAAATAGAATTTGTCCAAATAAACCAAAATCCAAGTTTTCTGCCAATATGTGTCTTTAAAGGGGTATGAAAATAGAAAAGTATGCTATGCTTAATTTGCAGAGTTTTATTTGAGATTATGTCATTAACATAAATATTATAATTATGATCTAAGTACATGTATATTTGAAATTTAAGTGAAAGGCCTTGTTGAAGAGCTCCACTTAGTATCTAGTCATCCCATATGCATAAGTACCTAAATCTTTCCTGACTTTTCATTATCTCTGAAATTTGGATTTAATAGTTGATACGCATTAGATTTTTAATACCCCATTCACAGTATTCAACTGTCAATTTCCTAAACTGAACAAATTCAACTTCAAGCATGGACCAACCACTATTATTTACCCTAAACCTTATCCTACAAACCCAACCTCTAACCCTGTATCTTTGATGAAATAAAACGTATATCACAATGTGGCTGAGCAAACATGTCAGGTCAACTCTTTAACTGGTTGATATCAAACTGCAAGAGGAGGTATACCTTTGTTTTCTGGGTTTTCCATGGTGTCTTTGATCATCTTAGTGTGGTTCTTGATGACTCGGTGAACCTTCTCACACATACGTACAGGATTCTTAATGAAGGTCAAGGAGTCTTGTAAAGACTTACTTCCAGTGGGGGCCAGCTAGCAAATAAAAGTATGGAAAAATCATTTCATCATGACCATTCAAGTGCATGTTAGTTTGATAAAAGTTTCACTGAGAAACATTGTTCCAGGTGGTTTTATTTTATCTACCCTAAAGGTAAACAGATAAAAATGTTGAGAAAAATATACACTATAAAATCCTTCTTCTTTTGTTGTGTGATGGATACTGCAATTTCAAAGTAAAAAAAAAAGAGGAAAATGAAAGAGTATTTTTTTATTTCTTATAATATGAGAGTCAAATTTCCGCAATATAAATGAAAATCTTAAAATTGATATTCTGATCATTATATCAAATGATAGTATAACTCAAACAAATAAAGACCATGTGACCCCTCTTTTGCAAAAGAAAAATATTTGAAGAAGAGCTAACAAGTCCACAAACTAATGCAATGTTCATGGTATGAAGTAATAAGTATTATTAAAAGAGAACATAGATCTCACCTCATTAAAGTCCCTTGGACCAAATGTTCTGTCTCTACTGAAGGATTGACACAGTCTTTCTTTTACCCTGTAAACCAAGGAAACACATTCTGTTTAGTTTATGTTTCCAATAACATTAATTAGTTAATTAAAGAAAAGAAAACAGCAAATCTTGAAATTCTAACATAAACAAAAATAGATTATGACTGTGCTCAGTTAAAAATGATGCCTCCGCCATAGAGCGATTTTACAAACCAAAACAGAAGCAATTTTTAAATTTTAAGTTTGATTGTGATCCATTAACAGGTTCTCAGAATTTTGTGATTACAAGTTTTTGTTCATATACATGTACGACCCTTTGATCTTTGACCTCATGACCCTAAAATCTAATCAGCTCATTGGCTCTGCAAGATACATACATGTCTTAAGTTTGATGGTAATCTGTCTATCAGTTCTAATAATAATGCCATCACAAGCTATTTTTGCATACATAATGAGCCCTGTGACCTTTGATTTTGTGACCCCTAAAATCTAATCAGTTCGTTGGCTCTGCAAGACACTTTCATGAGGCAAGTTTGGCGGGAATCCATCAATTGGTTCTTGAGAAAACGGGACGTACAACACGAAAACATAATGCCTCCGGCTACTTCGTTGCGGAGGCTTAAAAATTAGTTATGCCATGCCAAGTTGCTATAAACCAAGTAATATGTTAGAGACATGTTTTTTGTGCGCAACAAGAGCACTCTTCACGAAAAAAAAACTCAAAGCATCAAGACAAACCCTCGCTAGTCTAGATAGTTTCAGTCTCAAGTCAACACAATCCCAACAGACTTGAAACACGTGTGCTGGAACTTCACGGCACTATAAGGTAATTGCAAAAATTGTTTTTGTGTCTGATGATGTTTAGTTATACATGTACACATGCAGGACCATTGCGTATTGAAATTAATGATTCAGCTATCTTTTCTTATCCAGTGACATGGTCACATTTATCTGTAGACAATATTCTTTGAAGCCAAAACATTATCTTCCAAAGATAGAGTCAATTTTATAGAGACTTCAGATTTTTTATTTTTCAACAAATACAGTAGTTTTTCTTATTAAAAGAGACATTCAAAATACGACAACTGTAAAATATGGAACTACCTGTACACACATCATTAACAAATGGATCCATAGCACATCTGAAAATGGACACAACACAGTACAGCCCTAAACCTAGAGAAACCTTCATCATCATTATGCAACAACAAACATGCAAACATCAAATAGATCTTTTCCATGATCTGAGTTGCTGGACTTGTTTCATTCAATTCACTCTGAACGTGATGAAAACATCAACACACACTGCAAGTGCAATTTACATCTCAATTGTGGTCCTCCACAATGAAGTTAAATTCTTTGCATGCTGTGTTGCAGTTTCCATCCTGCTCATTCTTGGACTTGCACACTGATCTAGTCTGTGTACAAAGTCAATAAACAAGATATTGAGGTATACTATTGCCCTATGAAAGGTACTTAAAGACCATATCCGAACTGAAGAATGAAATGGATGAATTATATATCAACAGGAAGCTTATAAGCCATAGATTACAATAATATAAATTATATATCATTTTAGTGTCTATCAGAAGGAGTATCAGCTATCTGAAAACTCAAAATCTAAAGCTTTGAAAATCGGAAGTTGTAGACCTAAAAACTTGCTATCGACTTGATGACATCATCGTATGTCGAGTATGCATATTCACAATGACTTTGCATTATTTAAGCACGGCTCATCGCCTCAGCTATATAGGTGTACCAATTTGACCACATAATATGTTGTCACTGTAACTTCAGGAAATTTGACCCCTGTTGAAATTTGGAGGAGTGCCAAAAAATGAGGTTTTAATTTGCTTTTGTACAATAATGAAAGGGTAAATACTTTTTATTCCTTTATATTTGTATTCTACATTCATTCAGTTTTCAAGTTGTATTTTCATCGGATAAGGTCTTTAATATAGAAGTATATGTACTGTTATTCTACGAGAGGGGGGGGGGTATATTTTCTACCACATGCGACACTGCTTATGTACCATTTTCCAGCCTCAGAATTCACAAGCTCAATTCATTATAGAATTTCATAAGTAATAGTAAAAGATACACAGAAGGCATAATCATTATACATTTTTGCATAAAACTCCAGAAACATCAAGCTAACATGAAAATCATGGGTATGCACAAATTCAAATAGTATGCATATAAATAAAGCAAATTCTAATTACTTCTCTGTATATATACAATGCTTCCTGAATAGAAAGATTTACTAGACTCTCTTTAGGTAGCATGTGAAACACACACCATGGCCCCAACTAATAACAACTTGCAATTGATCAAAACTAACTGCGATCCTTACTATCAATCGCAAAATTCAATCAACTATCTCTCATGAACATAGGTACAATTTATGAATATCAACAGTGAGGTACATGCAGTCAATTTGGACCAGTTGCATCTCTCTATTATAAGACAGATCCCAAACCTCAGAAGTCTTTCCTTGGCCGGGTGAGCTCACCTTCCTTGGATGGTCACTGATTCTTTCTCATGGTCAAGCAGACCCGATGTATTAGCACTCTTGACCATCTGCACAAGGATAGGAGTCAGCTCTCCCTCCAGAGCTAGCATGCCCTGTATCAAAGAACACGCACACAAAATAAACAAACAATATTCTACCATTGTAACCAATCCAGGTCAAATTCAAGTAACATTTCAAAGCTACAGGCAAGTTGCATGACAAGTACATGATATGATTCTACCGACTGTATTATATTGCTTTAACAACATTGGTCATGAATTAATAGTTATTTTTCGGAAATTGTTTAATTTTGTTTATATAGCCCAATGAAGCTACCATCAAAATAAAGGGGAGAATTAAATTCCTTTCGTCAAGGCAATAAATGCAACTCAAACAATTTGTTTTTAATGCATACACTGTGTATCAATATGTACCAAACAAATGGGCACAAAACAAATTTTACATCAAGTTTCCAAGTTATTTAATTTTGATTATTGAATTGATAATAATAATATCACTCTGAATGGACATTTGCTGAGTAGGCCTACTCACAAAATGGTCATTAGTTGAGAAAGAGGTTTTCTCAAAATATACATCTCTACTTTGTAAATCCATTTAATTCACTTTTAATATTAAGTTCTAATATAGTTTGGTGATAGTCCTCACCTTTGTGAAAGCAGCAGCTGTCATCTGGACACGCCCCTCATCTGAAGCATAAATCTTGAGGTCATGACGATAGGTGCTGTGGAGACGAAGTAGACCACACCCAGGGAAACCAGCATAGTCACCTGATAAATAAAACAAAAACATGTTGCCACGTTACCTGTATGATAGTCTGAGAAAGAGCGTATAGCCAAGAGAAGCAAAGTCTTGGGAGATGATAAAAGAAATTTAGACTTCAGAGAAGTTAGGGATACAGAATTAGAGATAGAAGATGTTGTAAAATGTTTACTACCATATTCAAATGTATGGATGTTTCTTTCCTAAGGACCTAGTGACGAGGTATTTCATTATTCTTTTAATGAACTACAAAACCTGGATTCCAGTCTACATACGTTACTTGTTGCTATGGTGGACAAGCCTCAGACAAGCTTTCAGGATGTCAAGAACAACATTTCTTTAAACAGTATGCATACAATTTGAATATGTTAATAAACTGGTCTATTGAATGAAAATGTAAAAAAGTCTTTAATAAATATTAGAACTTTTATCAAAGAGATGCAAAGATAGTTTTATCAGTGTAGAATCTAGAAACACATCATCCTAGTTTCATTCAATTGCATATGGATATTTCTTTGCCATCTGCTTCTTCAAACAATCAGTTTGGCACATGGGACAAACAATATATTCAATCATATCTTAACCTGATTATGTGAAGGTATAATAGGAAACACTTTTTTTATTAAAGGTACGAATAGGACCATGAATGAAGGCAATAAGAGAACAGACTCAAATATCGCCTATTCATTTTTTTGAAATTCTCTAGTTAGTTTGTGAGCATTGGATATGAAATATCTGACTTCTTTCTTAAACTCTGACATATCTTTAGTCATGAGCTGGCAGTAGAGTGCGGCACAATTTTTGTCAAACTTCCGAACTTTCATTTTGATAGTTGAAGTGCAGAAACATATCAATGTCAACAAGTTGGATGATGTACGAACTGAAATGTGATGCGAAGATGTAGCCAAAGAGCGGTCAAAACTGAGGGATGCGTTTTTCTTGAAATGATGTGTCATTTTGTTTGTGCATCCCTTAGCAGCTTTCCGAAAGGCACACAATATGAGCAGAATGGAAAATTTGAGTACCTGTGACACCACTTAATTAATCACTCATTCGTGCAACATGCATAAATCAGTTGAATAACCACTTGTTAGGCACTCTTTACTCAAACGTTTAAACCCTCAATCGTGAAATCATTCTTTGAAGCAGGGCTTGATACTAAAAGATACCCAGAGAACATCGCCCCAAACACAGGGAGGGGGACCCATTCATAAACAGACCATAAAAAAGCCACAACAGACCCCCTATGAAAAGGATAGCGTAGGGCCCTGCTTTAAGCTTCATAATCAATGATGCATTTTGAAATGGAATACGATACAAAACAGAATGGAACAAATCCAAGCTAATGTTACTGAATAAAGAAAGCATTTTAGGGCAGGTCCAAGCTATTTGGATTGTGACGTACGGGACATTTAGAGACTTTAAACAAGAAATAACAACAGATGAAATTATTTATATGGCTATCTTTTGGTATGAGTCTGTGGCTATTATGGGCTAGTTCGTCCCGTACGTCACGCAGCACATTAATTACATTTAAAATTTATTAAAAAATTGGTCAGAACTAAAACTTTCCACAAATGAACTAGCCCATAATAGCCACAGACTCATACCAAAAGATAGCCATATAAATAATTTCATCTGTTGTTATTTCTTGTTTAAAGTCTCTAAATGTCCCATACGTCACAATCCAAATAGCTTGGACCTGCCCTTTACTATATCTCATCATTATATCAAGCTAATGTCTTTAATATATAGCATGGATCGGACCATACATGTATATGAAATTACAGAACTAGTGTAATTTTATTTTTAATGTACCGGTAATGTTATTTGAGAATTCCACAATTCCTGGTAATGTACATGTATGGCACATCAAATGACCTTGAACTTGCCCAAAACAGTGTACCGGTAGACAGTGGTAAAACAGAAGCATGGGGCTAAGGGGGTATTAAGTGTTAGGATTCAATTAGAAAGCTTTAGGGAATGGTAAACTGCAATGAAAATCAACTACACCTCCCACATGTATGATGAAAATCTCAATATAAAAGAAGCAATTCATTGCAGGACACATGCCATTACAACAAGCATCCAAACTTTGAGTTAACTGAATCACCTGTAATAATGCTCTGGCATTTGATTTTAAGTCAATCTGAGACCAAGATTAACCTTTTACTTAGAATCAAATAATTTGGTCACTTTTTATTGGTTCCTTTTACCATTGCCTTAATAGACATGTACATGTACTCCTCCCATCAAGTACAGAGCAGGATACTTTAAGTCTTTTCTAAGAATTCATTCAAAACAATACAGACACATTTATTTTTTAAACCAGACAAATTTTCTCAGATATTAAGTGGAACATACTTGAAAATTCTTAACAATATTTGTAAATTATGAACACATAAAATTGAAATATTGAATGAGGATGTTTTATTATGAATTGCGAAGTATGTACTAATATGACAACACGTTAGCATCAATCTGAATGAAAACTTCATATCAGTGTTTGTTTGTTTTTCAATTCTTTCCCATTTCTCAATTTTGGGGGAAAATCTACAACTTTAAATGATTTCAAACATGAATCACTTTCAATCAACCATGTACTAAAGATACTGGATACGTCATGAAGTTAACATAATACGAAGAATTGATCAACTTTAAGCAGCTGCTGGAGAATTTTTCAATTATCATCCCAAATGGACAGCTTTCTTATTGATTTGAAATCAAATAAACTGGTAACCTAGATTCTAGGCTAATTGAGTTCTCCCTCTCAATAGGAATCGGTCCACATGATCGAGTAAATATATCTATATTGAGGGTGGGGTGGGGTGGGGTGGGGTGGGGGGTGGGGGAGGAGGGGGGAGGGGGAACTCACTAAGCTGAAAATCTAGGCCGAGAAACTGTATGTTTCAGTGATAAATCATACTTGATTACACCGCAACTGCTTGCAATTAAATACACTGGAGAGTGTTTCACAAAGACTAAGATCAACTTTAAGTTGGACTTACATGTACCTATGGCGCTGTTTGCTCTCACCATTTACTGGTGTCGGTCTCTCAAGGGACGTAAAACGTACAGAATTTACTGTTTTGGATAATTAATTATTGAAGGACAAAATATTATCTAACGATCATAATAGAGAGACCAATGGTGAGAGCAGACAGTGGCATGAACGACCTGCCATAGTTAAGTCCAACTTAAAGCTGATCTTAGTCTATGTGAAACACTCCCCAGATATTATAAAGAAGGAATGTCAAAACGCCACTCCAAATCTTGCTAACCCTTGACTGCACAGGAACATGTATTAGCCTGATTAAACAATTTTTAAGTCTAGCACGCATGAACATCAACGATGAAAATGGGTGGCAAACTAACTCACCAACGCTGCAGTTATCTAGATCACAAGGTGTATTATCGTGGCAAACGAATTCACCAAGTCCGTGGTTATCTAGATCAGGAGGTGTACTATCGCTTGAAAATCTCTGATTGCAGAAATCTTAATTAAAGTAAAATCATAAACGTTTTCATCAAATTATACGCTATTTCTTATATGAAATGTGTTGATTGATATTCAAGAACTTGATTCCAGAACTTAAAAAAAAGTAATTAACTTCCTGGGCTTCATGTGTCATTATATCATCCAAGCTAATAAAAGGGACATATGAAATACAGTCAAACCTGTCTGAGTGGCCACCTTTCTACAAAGGTCACCAACCAATAGAGTGGTGAAGTGTGACGTCATCAAAAATATATTTTTAGAATTTCTCAATTTTTCTTCATTTTCCGAAAGAGCATAAAAAATAATGTCCAAATGTTGAAAACCAACTGAATAGGTTAAGTATTGGCTGAGATATGACCATTTGTATAAATAGATTTCCTATGGGAACTCAGTGTTATATTGCTCTGATTCATTATGAGCCAGAGCAATATAACACTGAGTTCCTATAGGAAATCTATTTATTCAGATGGTTATATCTCAGCCAATACTTAACATATTCAATTGATTTTCGACATTTGACATCATTTTTAATGCTCTTTCGAAAAATGAAGAAAAAATTGAGAAATTCCCAAAATGGATTTGTATGATGTCACAGCTTCGGTACTCTATAGTGGCTATGCATTTTATCTCCCTCGAGCTAGAAATGTGTGTTGTAGAATCTGTCTATAATAGCCACCTGTCAATAGTGGCCATGCATCTGTCACCCTTGAAAAATACATGTGTGATGTAGACCCTGTCTAAAAAGGTCATCTGTCTACAGTGGCTACTTTTTCTGTTTCCCTTGAGTAACGTTTGGTTTATTGACAGGTTTGACTGTAGTTATGTCTGTTTTTTAAACGTACTGCTTACAACATGAACATGTTGTCATTCTCTGCCGTACATCATGCAGTTAATCATGGATGACAGTTATTTAGTGTTAATGACATAGATATGGCTGCTAGGTCAAAACAGTTTTGGGCCGTTTCATAGAAATGCTATACTGGGCCCGTTGCATAAAACTTACCATTGATGGTAACTTTGCCATCAATGGCAACTACCATCATGATGGTAACAGGGCTCAACAGCTAATCAAAATCAATTTCTATGGCAGTTACCATTGATGGCAAAGTTACCATCAATGATAAGTTTTGTGCAACAGTGCCCAGTAACAACTTATAACAAAAATCTGCAGTCAGCCAATCAAATGCAGTGATTTCGGTAGCTTATATCAAACAAATTTTGTAGCTTGCCATTTATAGGTTTTATGAAACGGGTCCCTGGTTTAGAGTGCAAATCATAACTACACAGTTCCACTTTTCATTATAACCTACAAATGCATACATAGCAATCCTTAATGAAAATAAAAGGGTAAATGAGAGTAGAGGCACTTTTAGCATTTTCCATGAAGCGCAACCAAAAGAATTATGTGTGAAACTTATTATCATTTCCATATTAATTTTCAAATACTGTAAGACCAGAACCTTTTGATTCAATGAAACTTTCGCAAACTTCACATACATGTATGGTTCAGGTTTGCGAAACTTTCACTCTGCAAAACAATTGATGCACAACACAGGTGATTTGCAGTCTGCACAATTTTTTTGCTGGAAATACAGCCATTTTGAGCAATTCACCAAAAGTGTTATTCCATGATTTTTTTTTCCTGAATTTTACAGTGAATAAAGCTGGTTATATACAGGACTATTCCCAATTTGGATTTATGAACCAAATTTGGTAAATTACGAAGCTCCCCATTCCAAAGATGAATTTTACAGTCACATCTTCGGGCCCCGCCACAGTAGTGAAGTACCCAGTATCTTCCTTGGAGGGTCTTAGAATTTCATTTTCTCACATTAACTCTTAGTATTCAGGGCACAGAATGGTGAATTTACTTTAAATATATATGAACATTTTGCCCCATTTTCTCATTTAAGAAAACTATTATCTTTATCCAAAACCTGGCCAAGAAGAAAACTTTCCATCCATAATCATAAAGGTGCACGTGTGAGGAAATACTGGACTTGCATGCCACTGGAAACTGTTTCAATCACGTGGGCTTAAAGCTAATCTTGAGCTCTGGTATGGGCATCGTATGTCGAGAGAACATGGCTATAATTCATTCTGGATTGTTTATCTTACATCAGATTGATTGTTTTGAACCAGTAAAATAAAAACAACCTGGCAAAAACTTGCTGGAAATCATCTTCAACAAAAACCACAACTGTCATTTGTACATAGTTTGTTATGATTCGGTGAGAATTTATTTCTATCATTACCAGAACTCAAGCTTATCTTTAAAAATATATACTTTATGAATGAATACACTACATATAATTTGAATGATGATCCGATATATCATGATCACATAAATTAAATACACTATGGAGCTTACACACACTGGACAGAATAATCATTTTGACCCAGCAAAAGTCACAATGCAAACATTCCACATGACATCTGTATTCAAAACATTCAGCATGTACATGTACATGTATTATTCTTTAAAGGTACTATGTCCCTTTTGCAGCCAACCTCAAATGCTGTAGAACTTTGCAGGAATTATGAATATGTCATGTATGTCCTATCTGTGAAATTTAAACGTTAGCAGTGTCCTCATATTCAAATTATGCAAGGAAACCTGTTTACTTGCTAGACTTAACTGTCAGACACTATTGAGTGACTGACTGGCTTTTTTTTCTTCTTTGGTAATAACATACATGAAAAGAGTTTTAAAGGGTACATGAGCATTTGTCTACATCAATAACCCACTTCTTGTGATGGCCAAGATTAAACTGATTGAATCTTTGCGCAGCATAAAACATATGACCATTCGGTACAATTGTCTGAAAATCAAGACTATTACTTTTGGGCTCTATAGCCCTAAAGTCGATTTGACAACTAATAGTCGTTATTTTCCCACTTGAAGACATTTTCAAGTCCCAACTTTTTTAGGGAAGTTCTAAATTAGTATTATCTTTCAAATGCAGTTGGAATTTAACTTTTTCATTTTTTTTGGCCTGCAAATGGGACATAGTACCTTTAATACTTGATACTGCCCTGATTTGAATATAAAAACAATTAAAACAGAAATGTGCCAGCCTCAAGTGAAATGAAAGATATGATAGAGTGCAGGGCTTGTCAAACTTTAAATATGTGAAAACAAATATGGATTTAATAAAAAAAATTCTTCTTCAAATCTTAATTTTATTCTCTATTTTAGAAGTATAACATGAATGCATGTGTACATGTATATAATCCTCAATAAGAATCATATCAAATAATTTACAGTAGTAACCTCGATATGACAATATTACTGAAACTGATTGCTTTAAAGTAATCTGAAAGTAGATATTTTTTATTTTGAAAGCTAGCTCACCTTGCCCTCCAGGATAGATGCATCTGAACGCACGGCCTAACTCCTCCGCCTGAACACGACCAGCTGGTGTTAGCTCTCCACCCCATTTCAAAATCAGCAAAAGGGATGGTTCTCCTTTCGAATCTGTACAATAAAAGAAACAATTGCTTATTTTGTGTATAAAGGACATGACAACAGCACCACAGCGCTTAGAAACAATGTATTAGGAGCAGTGTAAATGTGATCTATTATTATTATTATTATCTCATATTCAAAAAGAGAAGTCTTGTTCATATTTCTGAACATTTCCATGTGAATATGTATTTTGTTTTTATCTTTAAAAATATATTGTAGAAATATCCACTATATTTTCACAACAAGCTTTGTATGCCATTCTTCAAACAAAAATATACTCATCATACATTCATGCATTGTATTTCAATCCGACTCTAAGAAAAACAAATGAAACCAGCCTTTCCTATTAGTCAATGAATTTGTCTACAACTCGGTATCAGACATGCAATGTTTCAAACTGACTACAAAATTACTGAAATTATGTGTACAACTCATAATATCATCGATCTGAAATGATATAATATCATACGTTATTATCTACATGTTTAAACTGCAGTTACTGGAAAAAAGATAGCACCATTAACCATCAGACAGGTAACAAATTTAAAGCAATGATGATAATCATAATTCAAAAGGTCAAAATTCGAATAGAAGACAAACTAAAAGCATTCAAATGACAAATGTCACCCCACTGCCCATGAATCATAAAAATAGATCAAACAAAACATGTATAAAAATAATCATGCTCTCATGAAAGGAGATTACCCCATACCTACATACATTAACACAAAGAAGTCAAAGTACTTAAACATAGGAGGAAAACTTAATGTGATTACCATATATTCTACCTAATTTATACTAGAATAACAATTTCCTAATAGTAAACACAGGAACGTAATATTGGATAATATATAACACATACATGTATCAAGATTTTAAGCATCTGATTGGTAAAAACTACATGCATGAAATACACTACTGTCTGTTAGGCAGTATTGCGATAGATATTGACTGGGCATTACTCTAATTGCACGTACAAAGCAAGGATGCAATAGATACACATGAAGATACAAAGCAAAAATGTGCAAATGAGATGCGTGCAATTGGTAAATTTCCCTACAAATGAACCCACTTTTACAGGCATACTTCATCAAAATATCCTTTTCATTTTTTTTGAGAATTAATATGCTGGATGCGGAATATAAGATAATTATTCAATCCTTATTTTTGGGGGTTATTGTTAAAACTATAGCTCCTCTGTGATCTCAAGACTGCATTATGCACTCTCGAAAACATGAAGTTAATATTGTTATCGTGCTGCTCAAAGCAGTCAGTATCTGAATAACAGAATCAGAGTGCAGCTATTGATAGGTTGTTAGTAAAAAAAATTGTAAAAAAATGTTGGTTAGTTCTGCAATCGTGCAAATGTTAAAAAACATTCTCCGCAAGAGTTGTGTGAAAAGGGTATTTTCATGCACTACTTCACAGCAAGTCCAAGTCTATGACAAAGATACATGTAATGCAAAATTATTATAACATAGTTCATGCAATAGGAGACAAATGAGACCAAGCAGAGCACAAATACAATCGATCCTGAGTGCTAAATATATATACAAAACACTTTGTAAGAAAAAGTTACAAACGCACCTGGCCACTTTCTAGAACCTTTTCCATATTATTTTTTTTCAAAACAAAAAATAATTTTCAATGCAGGATAAGAATGAAGAAAATAGAACATTGGTTTATTCCACACTTTGCAACAGACAAAGGTATATTTTAATACATTTGAATAAAATAGCAGGCTTCTCACCAGAAATTTGTTGACCTTTGGTCCAAGTTGAAAGAAATACAGCCATATGACATGGACACCCCAGGGTTGGTTTCAGAGAACCAATGAAAAATTTCAGGCTGAAAGTATGTATTGACAACCTTTGTTCTAGAGAATTCAACCAACATATTTTTGTCTCCATTACCCCAAACTTTGGTATAGCATCAAGGAAGTCTTGTCTAAAAAGTTGCGAGGTATTTCAGTGTGATGGGCCGGGAAGGATTTGTTACTTGTCACATTATAATAAAAGGAAAATTCATGGTCAAATGAGCTAAAATATGAGATCTAGTGTTAAATGTCATACTGTGATGGAAATAAACTTTTTAAAGTGATTCTGAATACATTATAACAATAACAATAACAATAACAATAAACCATTCTTGAATAGTGCATAACACATTACAAAAGTATGTTCCTATGCACTTGATAAAAAAGGGAAAAGAAAAGCAAAGAGAAAATAGAGTTCCCATAAGACTGCAACTGCAAGATCCATTCATTAAATAAATGAAATGATTAGAAAAGAATTACTACAGCTAATCGATTAGTACGTGATGAATCTCTCTCACACACACACATGCACACACATACAAATTTGGGACAGGATTTCGATAACTACATGTTAAGCATTATCCAATACTTAGCTCCAGCAGTTTCTAGAGAGCTAAGACCAAGGACAAGAAGTTAAGGCTATCAATTACCTGAGTGAGAGGCTATGAAATAAAAGAGGGCAAGAAAAGGACAAAAGAAAACATAAATATCAGGTAAGAAACAAGTTTGTCAAAATAACAAAAGACAAAACCTGGATGCTCAAGACACGTGGCTAAGCAAGTTTAATGTGGTTAAAGTTTAAATGTAATGCAGAATGTTGGTGAAGCTCAGTTTATTTCAAATAAAATGCTAAAGATGTCTTTGATGAACTAAAGCCTGAAGCAGGGCCCCTCTTATAAAGACTTACAGTTGATCCACATCAATTTTAAGTACATTTAATAATCAATCACAAGTTTTCAGTCCCTTATCTCTTATGTACATAGTTGCGATTGATATCAATAGCAAATAAGTTACTATTAATATCAACTCTCTATTTGACTGGGCCTAGATATCACAAAGTACTGTGGTGCATGTAGATAGACTCGAGCACTCAAAAAAGGAATAAATGGCATTCAAAAGTTTTTTTTATAAATTCATCAATCAACTTAGGCCTTAAAAGAAAAAAACACCCAAGGAACACTCTAAGGAAATGGGGAAAATGTAAATTAATAATCCTAATATATATAATTTGTATATATCAACGGATTTACATGTGAATATGGGAAGGGGGGATATGTAGCTACAGTAGGCATCCACTGTATTCTAACCATATCAGATCGCAGTATCACTTATATGCAGAAATCATTCATTTTCATTCAAAGTGTATGGCAGAACCATGAGCAACCAAAAAGCAACCAAAAAGAAATATTAAATGAAGAAATAAATGTTAATTCAACTTATAGATGAAATAACCAATGTAATATAGTCAGTAATGAAGAAATTTAGCATTGAAGAAATAAATAAATAAATGGAGCCAAAACTGATGTTTATTTTGAGTTTTGAAAAAGAGAAAAATCATAATTCTATCAAACAATTTCATTAATGATAACCTAGTAATCATCTACACAAACTTTTCTCATAACTACAGACATCTTGGGGGAACAATATTTAAATGTTCACAAACAATATGCATTTGATTTTTCTTTGAATTATATACATTTTGAAAAAATTCCATTATATCAATGAAGGAAAAAAGTAAATTCTTAGTGAGCAAGCAGTTCTATTTTCATCCACAACGTTTACTTCAAAAGCAGTTACATGTGCATTAAAGGCATTATTAACAATGTTTCCAGCTTTACAAATCTGAGATGCATGGCACTACATGTTATCAGTGTCTGTGATATGGTGTAATAGTGAAGCCCTACAAAATGATCATGAAGTGCTTCAAAAAAGTAACAAATCTTTGAATAACCGGTTTTACCATACTCATTTTGCCCACTAGACTGTAGTGTTATTAAAAAACTGTTCAAAACTATTTGCCAGACAGTTTTAGAAATTTCTTATTCAAATTATGAATATCTTGATAATCAGACAGACAATCAGCTTGTAAAAGTCATGGGATTCCTGACAGACCTAAAGGTTAATAATTATGAATGCAGCCTGAGTTAAATCCAGGATTTTAGAACCTGAGGCAAAGATGCCCAATCCCATGAACTAAATCCCATCGTAACTAAACACATTCCTAACTTACTGTGAGTGATAGCGCTTTGATTATTCAACATGATTGTGAGGAAATTAAAATACAGAAATTTATTCATCATGAATGTGGATAAGTCTTAAAAGACTAATCCTTACAAAAAGATAAATCCCTAGAAATATAGCACAGGTCATGTGAGGCTATCTAAAAGGTTCTTGCAATGTGCTCCGGACATTCAGACACCCTAACCTAACCAGTCCTTAAAAAATGCATGTCAATCAAATATGGATACATGATCATCTGTATGGAGCCACATGAGCATACTCTTCACATTTGAGTATACAATTAAGCGTCTTTGTGGCTCTAAACAGACGATGCATCCTTTTTTCGAAAGATTTAGCAAGAGATAAAAATGTTTACCTTCTTCACTGCTGGAGTGCTTCATGATGCCCTTGGGAAGGTACTTGAGCTGCACCTTACGGTTGATCCCTGAGAAATGGCCGTACATCTCCAGGACGGCCTTTAGCTGCTCTAGCTTCGACTCCCTCTCCTCAATCTCAGGCTGACTCCTGTGCTTCTGCCACTGAAGTTAAAGAAATAATTAGAGAAGGATTATTTAAAGCCTGTCTGTATTAGTTTGGCCAGGGGGATTAGACCTCCCTGCAAGATCACGGACAGGTGGTTATCTCATCAGATCAGCTCTCATTTAACATAAGAAAAAGAGGATCATGGGGGACCATTGGTCACCGATAAGGCATTGTTTGCTATATAGACGGCGCAAGTAGCTGTAAGTAGTACACTGGGGCTTTAAGTCATAGTTCAAGACGTCCATGGAAGACAGTGATGATGGTGTGCAAGGTTTGACACTCAAGGGACATGTTGTTTCTCACGCCAGGTCCCTCTTTACCTAGGTGTATTGAGAGGGATAATAATCACAGGGGTCTCAGGAAGCGTAGTATCTATACTGATTAGGCTACCTTGGGTAAATGAGACCATACCTATATCATGTCCTATATGTACTAGCTGACAATCCTCTGCGGGTCTAGGCACCATGAATGTATCACCACATTGTCCGAGAAAAGTAAGATCTAGCCAAACTGCTCAAGACATACTTAAGGTCAAAAGGCAAAACATCATGCATGTTTTGTAACCTCAAAAGGCTTCATCGGTTATATACACTTATCAAGATTTTAAGCCTTTCATCTAGGCAAAAAATGCACCTTCCTCATTATTTTCCTACTGGAGCACCAATCAAAACTACAATGGCCATACAATACATACCTTGAGTTCTCCTAGCAGATATCTTGACACATCTAGAATCTTCTGCAGCTGTTCAGGCCTCTTCAGCTTCACCTTACCCTTGGAGCGTCCACCATAGCTCTCAAACAGACTAAAGAATCTGAAAAACAAAGGAATTATTGATAGGATCCGATGTTCATTATTCTGATACATACTCACTCTTCTAGAATATATTCAAATGGGGTAACATATGTTCAGCTTCTGATACTACAGAGAACATAGGAAATGAGACATTTCCCGATGTCAATTTGTTTAAAGATTACTTCCATAAGAATACGGTATCTTACTTGGGATGCTTGACCTCCATTTTCATCTTCTGTTTAGGTGTTCTGTCTCCATGCCTGATAACAGCTATTACACATCGGAGCTCCATCCTGGCAGAAACAATTGTTACAAGTATGATATGAATTAATCAATTTAAGAAACTTTGCAAAACCTGGAAAATACAAATAAGGCATACATGTATCTCCCATCAAGGCACAAATGAGTGAATGAATACACTATTCCTCACAATTTATAGGAAGACCATGACAGTGATAAATAGGTACATCACAAGCAATTATCATCTATTTCACCCGTTACACTGTATATTGAAATAAATAATATCCATTAGACATTTTCTCTAGAAAACAATTCATCATAATGCAAATGTTCAAAACTTTGAAATACGAAGGACAGCATTTTTGTAACAGCTTTGCATGAAATAAAATAATATCTAAAGTAGAAAGTGAGATATATTTTGAGTACACAACCTGACAGTAAAATCAGCTATGTAATTGAAGAAAAACAATAAACAGATTGACACAAACCTGCAAATTTTGCCTCAAAAGTGCCACATTAGCATATTGGTGAAAGACTAAAGACTTAATTATATGAGTGATTGATAGATCAGGTGACTTACATGGTTCCTGATGTGGTTGGCATGTATGGTATCTCTTCATCTAAGGTGAACATCTGCCATGGGATGTTGTATTTTGGAGCTAACTCCCTCATGATCATATTCCTAAACACAAAAACAAGATGGAAGGTGGAAGAAGATATACATTTAAAACGACCCAACTGAAAGTTTTTGAAGCATCTAATTGTTAATGACCACATACAATCAAAACAAGTTTTTCAACAGGATTCAACATGACAACAGACTGAATGGTTGATTTTGTGTTCTTTAGGAAAGATGGTTGTAGTATAAATTTATAGAATACAAAAAATCATTACAGCCTTAACATATTTCCATATAATTACGTTTATCGTATACATTCTTATTTGAAATGATGTTCATTAACGGTTATTTAATTGTTAATAGTATATAGCCAGTAGTAACATGATACGTCTTCATAATGTTAACTAAATGTTCTGCAATTTTGTACAATGTTTATCGTTTTCAATTTGCGTAATTCATATGCAATTCAGTTGTGAAACTGTCATTCATGAAAAATGCAATAAAATACCATTTTTCTATCCATCTATCATAAAATGTTAAGACCCTGTTCTCATTACACAAGTCAGTGCGATCCAGCTTACACTAGATCAGGCAGCCTCTGAGTTGAGAACAGGGTCTTCATGGCCTTCCATAGCAGAATGAACTTTCTATCGAGTGTCAGATTTCTTGCTCATTCCATTATGTTCAAGTCTTGAATATATGTTACAAAGTCCAAAGTACATGAGAAGTGGAATAATTCCATTTTCATATACCTCTACCAACTGTATCAAATGTTTACTGCTTTTCCATTGTGAAGAGGAGGACCAATTAATTCCAGTCACTTCAAATCAATTTAATTTCATCACAACAACAAATCATATTGTAAAGTTTCTGTTATGTTTCTAATAGGCAGAGACCAGTGTGTCATGAGATAACTGCTTTTTAACCCCCTACAATATGAAATGAGCTATAACTTACCCTAGGATTTTGGCACAGTCATCATAATACTTATTTGAGTTCTTGACAAAGCTGAATCCATTGACATCACACACATAGGATCTTCCACTGGCCCTCAGCAGATCAAACCCACATACAGTTTGCTGGAAGGAGAAAACAAAAAGTGCAACATACATGTAGGTTAGTCTTTGATCGTATCTGTTAATGTCTATGTGGTTGCAAAGAAAAGAAACTAGGGTACGCATAAAAAACTCATGGAGTGTCAGGTATTCGTAACAAAGTTATTTAGAGTATGAATGACCATGTTCATGTTCATGTTCATGTAAAGGCGCTAAATAATTATACCAATATGTATGTATGTATGTATGTATGTATGTATGTATGTATGTAACCAGCTACTTGAGAAGGGAAGTCATTGTCAGGTTCATGATCCGACTTTCAAAATACCAGAATATGCTTATAATTTGTCTAATTTTCTCAAACTTTTTCTTTTATTCTTGTGTTCCTTCTTGCTCTCATGAAAAGTCATTGTCAGGTTCATGATCCGACTTTTAAAATACCAGAATTGCTTATAATTTGTCCAATTTTCTCAAGAATTTTTCTTTTTCTATTGTGTTTCTTCTTGCTCTCAGAAAAATAAGGATTAACCATCCTTTGAGATGCAGAAGGGTCCTAGGCATAGAAGATTATGAACATAATAAAACCAGCATTAAGAACCACATTATGTATGTTTTCAAGAATTTTGTTTCTAATTGATACCTGTATTAGGTAACCTGCACATAGAGACCACCTGACTTTATTTAAAGGTCATCTCCCTGTAAAGACCACCTCCCTATGGAGACCAACTACCTATTATAAAGACTGCCATTTTGGTACACTCCCGCTACTCTCTAGCTGAGAGACCACTACAATGACACAGCCTTATTAGGATTAATGTCTATACAAATTGAAGCCTGTATACCTTGAATGCCAGGCAGACTTTCCTTGCAATCATCTTCTCTGAGTTGGTGAGTATGACTGGATAACGGACCTCCTTTCCATGACTGTCTCGCTCTACCTTCCCATCCAGTGCAGGTGACTTCCTGGCTTCTGCATGGGCATAGTCTGGTCCTACTGTGTATACCTGCAGCGTTCAACACCATCAGAGTAGGAACAAAAGTTATGGTGATAAAATTCCACTTCCAATTAGAAAATCAGTATTGGATGCACACGCTTTCCACAAAATGGAGCTACATGTAGTATGATTTTATCAGCTAGCCTACTATTCTAATTCACAGATCATGTACTGTTGTATGGTATAAATACATCAAATTCATATTTTAATTGATTACTTTTTCATGATCTCTAAAATGTGATGCTTACCTTTACAACAAATACTACTTCTCATTACAAACAACCTGGAAAAAAAAAAAGAAACACTTCCTCTTTCCTGAAAAACTTAACTTTGAAATTCCATTCAAATTGTCAAAAATGCTGATGATGCATGTGGTCGGGTCACCCATTCAGTATCTAGTCACTTGTTCTTACCTTTACATCAGTACCATCTGTAGGCATGAATTCTTCATACATGTAAGAGCCTGCCCTTCTTATTCGACTCTCTGGAGAATAGATGCTACTCCTATTGCGCATCTGTTAAAGAGCAAGAAGTATATCAAATACATGTATTAAGTCCAGTATTGGCATGGAATTTGCATTTACATAAACCTGAAATGTTGTCATTTGTTTATAGGCCTTTCTCATTTTTTTCATGATGCGTTTATCCAAATAATTTGTACACATGTTTTCTGTTCTGACTGTCTATACATTACGATGAAGGGCAGTGACTCCAAGCAAGCACTTTTGTATAGTCTCTCATTATTGCCGGAATAATGCATGGTGCCAAAGCCAAGAATGGTGGCTGTTTTCTGTACACCTGTAATCCCAAGAAACCTCTGCCGCAAAGTGAATTTTTTTAATGACCTTTAAAGATATGCATATAAAGTGTCTTTCATTGTATGTACGAGGTCTGAGGTAGAGCTTTAAAACAATGAAGGTTTTTCTTGGCTCCAAGAAAAACAAGCAGATATTATTTTGCTCCACTTATAGTTCTCCAGACACTGTTAGTACTTGGGCATCCGAGTGGAATGGCGATTTGTTTTTTTCGCATGGTTCTGTACATAGTAGACAGGTTTTGATCATGATAAAAAAAGACTGTCGAATACAGTGTCGTATCTAAAATAATTTCCGATAACGGAAGGTATTTGATATCAAAACTAGTTATTGATGGAAATGAGTGTATAATATGCAATGTTTAAGCACCAACTGCAGACAAAAGAACAGAGCAAAGAGTCTTTTTTTAACATTTTGTTTTACGACTAGACTCAATTGAAGATATAGATACAATTCTAAGTATAATGGGAGGTGACTTTAATGTACTTATGGATATAAATCTTGACAGACAAGCTGGGCATCCCCAGTTTTCCCAACAGGTTGTCTATGTACTTAATGAGATGCAAAGTGAACTTGATCTTGATTTAACGCTAAAAAGTGTCTGTTATGCTGTTTTGTCGTGGTATTACTGCTTTAACAATGAATGAACATACTTTGACGGAAAGGAATTAATGCAAGACACTGTTAATTTAATAGTATGTACATGTTGAATTAAAGTCTTCAAATAACATGGATGTAGGTGTTTGCCTAAAACTATGTCAATTTTAAACGATTTTTAAACAAATTTGATGATTTTATATGAAATTTACAAAATCAATCATTCATGAAGATGTTTCAAACTCTGTAAAATAAGATGAACTAATGAAGTTGTGCTGTTTTTTTATGGGGATTGTTGTAAAGAAAGTACACTGTATCCAGTATGTAGGACTGGAACAGTCTTTCTCCCTCAATTGTAACCCAACCTTCCTTAAATATTTTAAAATCTGCGGTTAAAACCAGCACCTTAAGTTGGTGGCCGCACATGACGACACACCTCCAGTTTAAACACCTTTACGGCGTCTTTTGGAGGAATCCTACAAAGTACCAAGTGAAGATCATTCATGCAGAAATGTCCATTCTGATTGGTTACTAGTGTCTCCTTGCACACTCAAGTGCATCCTGCTTCAGTGCACGGTGCTTTGTGATGTTATGCTCTTTTGTCATGGGTTTATAAGAAAAACATGCTGTTGTGCCATTTAGACATGCTAATTAATTATGAATAGTGACACTTTAAAAATTCAAAAAAATGGTTTAACATGCGTAATATGATGTATTGAGTACCGGTACCAAAAGCCCCAAAAAAGCATTTTGAAAAAAATTGTATGTTTTGCCGTTTTGTCATGGGGGGGGGGGGCAGTATGAATATGAGTCTTATATGGACAAGGTAACTCAGGTTATTATTATACACTCAAGGGCGAACTGGAGTGAGTTTGGAGAAAAAAATACTAAATATTTTCTCAACCTTGAAAAAGCCCACAAGAGTAGATCCTCGATCTTCTTGCTGCGTGATGGAAACAAATTGGACAAGTAGGGTAAAACCAGTCACTCAAAGGTTTTTACTTTCTTGAGGCACTTCTTGATATTTTGAAGCGCAATTTTTTAGGGCTTCAATATAACACCATATCACAGACACTGATAACACGTAGGGCCGTGCATCTCAATTTTAACAGGGTTCAACGATCCCTTTAAGCAGTTTAGCAGATGATAGAACACTGACGGAAATCCTTTTTTGTTCTAGGGAGGGGAAATTTTGATGATCGCTGATGTTTTTTATTCTTTATACTATAGATCCATTTGATTTCTTCTTTGATTTATTGTTGTTACATGGATATAAATGTCTGTATATTTGTATTATAATTATGTTTAATATAAAAATGTTATTGGATCAATTCAAACTTATCAAATATTTAATAAGTACAGTATTGGGACAAAAAGCATGAAGAAATAAATGCAGACAATTCCTTATCTATAGTAAATAGCACTCTGTATCAACAATGCATGGCTCTTTGATTTTCAGATCAAGGAGCAACAATATTTTTGTTATTAGCTCACTAAGAATGATAAAAATTATAAGAGTAAGATTAGCCAATTTTCATTCACTTGCATAAGTTAAACAAACATCAACACTTGAAATACAGATTCTGTAGTCACTTGTGTTTGATAAATTTATATTCTACCAAAGTGGTTTCTTTTAAAAGAAGCACTTTCTTATTTTGTTTTCAATCCCATGGGACTTTAGTATAGATTACATCAATATTCAGTACAATCAATGCAATTTACAAATTACAGGGTTATCAATGAGGGTTCTTGGTTCTTGGTTTGTTATCCTCCTAAATACTCCAAAATGAAAAGCAGATTTGGTTGATGGTGGACTTTTGGAGGCTGTTCCATTTTTTGGTGGTCCTTTGAAAAAAATGAGTGTGCATATAAGTCCCAATTGGGGCTTGAAATGCAAAACTGGTTTGAGTGACCTTATCTTCATCGGCCAGGTTTTGGGTTAGTTATGGATTAAAGGTCGATGTCAGGGTTATTGGAATACAGAGAAAATTATTTCTGTACCTTTCTGAAGAGCCGTTGACTACCACCTCCAGCCGACGACGGGTAGTAGATATAGACATTATGATCCTCTGCTGATACAGGCTTCTCTACGAATGGCTTGCGGAAGATGACGTCATCGATCTCCAACTCATCATCATTCTCAATGAGGGAGAAATCTGATTAGAATTTTAAAAAATATGCTCATTACTAATATATAAAATGCAATCTAAACGGATATCATATGGTGGAGGCATGGAAAAAGTATATCAAAAATATATCAAATCATTTTTTTAAATAAATATATAGAATCGATTTGATTCATTTATTTCAATCATAACCGGTGTGTTGGCTCAGTCAGTAGAGCGTCCGCCTCACAACCAGGAGGTCGTGGGTTCGAACCGGCCGCATCATACCAAAAAGATTAAAAGATGGGAGTTGTTGCTACCTTGTTTGGCGTTCAACAATAAGGGATAGAGCAACATCAATCTGGTGCTGCTTAGTGGCTGCCGGGCTCACGATCAATTGGGCAAAAAGAATTTCTGTTTCGGTTTAATAAAATTAGGAGTGGACTTTAAAGATATCATTATTATTATTATAAAACAATAAGATAATATATATACAAAAAAGTAACAAAAGTAACATGAAACATTCATAATCTTACAATTCTGAAATAAAGAAATTGGAGACTAAAAAGGAACTTTAAAAAACTTTGAAGTATAATAGTCCCCTGACATAAATAACAAGATTACATGGTTGTACACATTACAAAAACAATAATATATAAATAAAGATACCACTTATTACAGATACACACCGATAAACACACACACACCATACACACACACACACACACACACATGCATGGTACATTGCAAGGTAAAATAAGGTAAAAGAAAGAGTTAAGGGAAATCAGAAGAGACCAACTGTCTCTTCAATAGAACCTTAAAGGATGATATAGTTGTGCATAATGTTATTTGATCAGTTAAATCATTCCAAATATGGGGACCATTATGTATCAAAGAGTAAAGCATTAACTGGGTAGAGACCTTTGGATAATGATATTTGATACAGGAACGACTATTATACGGATGAACAAATTTATTAAGGATAAACATTTGACAAACTCTTTTAGGTACATAATTATTATAAACATTATACATCATAATAGCACTCTGAAATTTATGTATATTATTGAGTGTTCTTAAGCGAAAAAACAGGGGACGTGAATGAGCTTGATAATGGGAGTTTGTACAAATTCTTAAAGTTTTCTTTTGAAGTTTATAGAGATGTTCTAGTTTAGGTGTTCCCACACCGGCCCATGTGATGTTACAGTAATGTAAATAAGGCAAAATTAAACAATTATACAACATAAACAATACTTTTCCAGGCAGAAATACACGTAATTTACAAAGAACACTAATGTTTTTAGATATTTTGTTATAGTTATATACAATCGATGATCCTGAAAAGATAAAGTGTCATCCAAAAGGATAGTCCCTGAACCATTCCCAAGAAATACCGCGTATACCAAAATGTTGTAATTTAATGAGGAGAATATCGTGGTTAATGACATCAAAAGCTTTTGACAAATCAAGAAATAAGCCTAACGTACGCAATTTATTATCTAATTTATTGAGAATGTGATCATGAAGGTCAATTAGAGCATTCCACATGATGAATTTTTTCTAAAACCATATTGAGAAACAGTCAGAAGATTATTTTATTAATATGATTAAAGAGCCTACCCTATTATAAGCGAGTAGTGTTAATTGTCGATAATTAGAGAATATGTGGGGATCACCTTTTTTAAATGTGGGTTTGATTTTTCCTACTTTAACATTCTTGGGGATTTTTCCTGACAAAAAGGAAAGATTACATTTAAGAAAATTGGTTTAACAATGAAATGTACAAATGTATAACATGCTTTATAATGTACTGACTTATTCCTTCAAAATGTGCTCTTAGTTGAACTGAGCAGTTTGACAATATTCAAAACTTCTGTGTCATTGGTAGGATGAAAAAAGGATCTCGTAAAAATGAATTAAAATTGTATTTCGGTTTCTGAACATGTTCAGATTTAGTTTTTTAGCAATACTAGAAAAATAAGAATTAAATTCATTTACAATCAACTGAAGATCAGTTTACTTGTTCTTACCTTTAAGAAAATAATTAGGATATTGATATTTTCTTCTCTTTCCTAATAAATCATTAATAACTTCCCAAGTTTTAGACATATTATTTCTATTCTTCTGTAATAAATCACAAAAAAATTTTTTTCTTTATACAGACTGTAAAATTGAGTATAATTTATTTCTAATTCTTTTATATTTACATTCATTGCTGTTGTTTCTTTTCTGACAAAATGTTTTATATAATCTATACTTTTTATTAATCTTTTTTTTAACAGTGAAGGGCCGTTTTCGTGGCAACTTTCTTTTCTTCACTATAAGAACAACAAAGTTATGATCATACACAGTTTTAAATGTGTTTAAAAATGAATTATAGGCTTCATCTACATCACAAGAAAAAATACATCATTCCATTCTAATAACAGATAAATCCCTCTGAAACGAACTTAAACTTAAAGAACCTGTTTTCCTTATATGGAAAAATGAAGATGGTGAACATCTTCAATAGAGCTGTAGCTAAAATAGTACAGGTACAGAATTGCTTCTTCACTACGGTTCTTCTTTTAGTTCTCTTTTGTTCTGCTTTTGTTTGACACATTTTTTTCCTTATCAACCAAATAAAACATTTATATTGGATATTTTATAACAGATGGGAAAAAAACAGTCTGCATCATTATGGTGAAAATAATCAATTTAGGAAGTTTTAATTTTTGTCTTATTCATTCGTATTCCTTTATTTCATATTTTATGGTATTGACTAATTTCATAATCCATAACATCATGTGCACTTGCTGAGTCATATACGTACCATCTGGATCACAATCTCTATCATGGATACCATGTCTGGGAACTAGTATGTCCTCCTCAGATAGAATCTCAAACACTTTCCTCCTGAAATGAGATTAAACACAACCTTATAAACACAACCTTATGAATGTTCCACCAAATGGGTTTTATAATACTGGCTTCTTGTATTTAAACCACCACATAATATATTCAAGGCACTCAGTTACTACCCACGCTTATTTAGACTGGAGATTTTGGTGCTCATAGCACTACTGATATTTCTTACTACAAGGTACTGTACCCACTGACAACAATGTCTTGCCTAAGGACATGAATGCCAGAATGTCTCTTATATGCCTGCATGAATTCAATCAATATTTTAAAATTCCTCCTACCAAGGCATCTACATGTATCTACTGATAAGCAATTCTGTAAATGCATGTATTTTACATTGTAAGCTGTAAGATCATTATGTAAATTTGACAAATAGTATTTTTGTTCTGAAAGTGTTCATTACCTGTCATGCAGGTTGTACTGTGCCTCAAGATCATTGATGACCAGTGGCTTACGTAGCTTGGCGTACTCGATGGCTTTGTGCAACGGAAAGCCCGTGGAGAAGAACGAGATGAGAGCATTGCACTGGGGCCAGCTCTCCACGGGGTCGTTCAAGATCATATCCTCGTCAAAAATGTCCAAGGATATATACTCAAACTTTTCAAGCCGGTGGAGGATCTCCCGCATCGGTCTTGAGCTGGCCTTCTTGCCCATGCAGCAGATCCCGACGACGACCTTTGGTTTGATCTCCATGGCTTCCCAGCGAGACAGGCCCGAGACAGCAGAGGGCGATGTGCTGAGCCCATTGTTTGCGCTTGCCTGGACAGGGGAGGGAGAAAAAAAAATCCATTCTATATGTCAATTAGTTCTCAATGGTACAACACTTTAATATATGAAAGCCCTTCTGTCTCTATTGAATAAAAACTTACATGCATTCTGCCCTTCTTGTAGAACTTTTTTTTAATTACCGTAATCAAAATTAAAATAAATTTTAAACATGCAAGCAAGATCTAACATGCCAGTAAATTAGTTTCTACTACATCGTAAAATCAAATAGGAAATTAAACATCCGTTATATAAAATTAAACCCGATAGTCATATTTACATGTAATAATCATTGATTTTAACTAAGGTTGGTTAGGATCAAAGAGTTGCTGCTGATCAATCCATCTATTTTTTTTTTCTTGTTAGTTTGTTTCAAAATTAACAATTTACGACAAAATACCAAATAATTATACAAAATTATACTTTTACAACCAACTGAAACTCACGATCACATGGACTGACACTTATTAGCATGCGCTTGGGCTACATACAGTACATGTACCACCAGCTCCCTGATCTACAAGTGGCTAAATTCTAAGTGTTAAATGTGCATACTAGCTACATCTACATGCATTAGTATGATCAATAAACATAATGTACATGTAATAAACATAGACCTTCCATATAACCAAGTTCCATAGCACCTGCATACAGACATGAACATGTATGTTGCAAGGTTTCAAATGCCTTTTCACTTTTACGTGCTGTGGATCAGACTACCAAATTTTGGATTTACATCATGCCTTGAACATAATACCATTGGTGTCAGTGCAATATTTAAGATGGTTTTGCAGACCTAAAGTAAATATTTTCACTTTTAAAAGGTAATTAGGAGAATTTGTCAAGGTTAATTTAGATTGAAATACCCAAATTTGAGCTGGACCTTTTAAAATCATTACAAAGGCCAAAACTATAATAAAATATAAGTATTTGGGGCATTTAATATGCATTGGTATACAGCTCTGATCAAATACAAATTCGTGTAATACTCAGGGCTCCACAGTTTCAAACTGCAATCTACAGAATCCTTACGTACAGTGTATGCAGTGCACCGGCTCATAACATTTCTAAATTTAAGGGGGTCCATAGTTTTGTGGACCTGCATGTACATGTATATGTTAGTGTTACTGTTGAGCCCTGTAATACTGTATGTTAGAAAAGGTTTCATAGCACAGTGACCAACTTAATCCATCAAATAAATGCATGCTGATGCTTCGACTGACAGAGAAAAACAATTTACACAAAGGTTTAACAAAGTATATAGAGCAAGAAAATATTATTAGAAATTAACCAAAGAAGCAGAGACATCTAACTAAAAGATAGTAGAATGGCTATGAATGTACAGTAAGAATAGTTAGAAATCGGGCATTGTTTCACAAATCCTTTATAAGTAAAAGTTCACTGAAATCCAATTGAAACACATGCTAAATATAATGCACACGTTTCAATGGGTTGTCAGCGAACTTGCACTTATGACAGTTTCTTGAAACGATGGACAGAGCACCAATAACAAACATGTACCAGGTCATGTGAACCTGCTCATCCTGCTGTACTCTCTAATACGAACCTACAGTGTACATGTATCGGCCTTTCAGATTGTTTTTTTTTGCTTTAATTTGTTTTTAAGTACACAGATTAAGAAGCTTCTGCAGAGCATTGGAGAAACTTTGTATGAAACTACGCATGCTATTAAATACGTAAATTATACCAGTGCTGAAAAATATTTTTCTTTTCTTTTTCTTTTTCTAAAGTGGGGTACCGGTAGTAAAATAAATATAAAAATCCTAGACTAATGTAAACCTTTTAACTTCAATTGAGTTTATATTACAATACATTATCTTTTTAAAAGGAGTCTCATTCAAAAAAGCTAAACATAACCACACAGTATCTTCTTATTAAATTGTGCATCTACCTTTACAGTTTACGCATCTCTGTATTTTGTGTAAAGATGTCTACATGTATACGCTACATAAATTGTCTGGTGCTTTGTTCAGACTTTTTCATTTTCATTTCCATGGATCTGAAATTAAATTTATAGGCCTATGAAGCTTTAATAATTATTCTGAAAAAATAAAAAAATAAAAAAAATGAATCCACATATTCCAACGTAACTGTATCCAGTAACTTAAAGTGAAAGACTTGATATGATTTGTCTACATTAGATATTTGTAAGAAATATACTGTGAAAATTGCAATAGTGGAAAAGAAAAGATAGGCAAATGTACATAATTGTATAAATTAAAGGAAAAATATTCACACTTCTGAAATGAAGAGACTTTGATAATAGTCTGAAATCAAATGAACATGTAGTACCGGTATATGTATGTGTACTTGTATTGCTCACAAACAGTTTGTTAAATATTTTATAAGAGGCAAATTGTGATACATTCTTTGTGTAGCTAAAAATTCTGGCTAGAGAATATGTAGCAAAGTCTAGCTGGCTTGAAAGTAATTTTTTCTTCAATTTAATTGTGCTTCCAATCAAGAGACAAGAGGTGGTTCTTTCTGTTATTTTTAAATGTCTATTTCATTAGAATCTGTCTTAAGTTACCTTGTCATGATTAAAAGAAACAAAACTGTATTAAAATGCGTGATTAAAGAGTACCAATCACCTTGAAAACTAATACGTGTATAGCTAGAATGTATGAAACCAACCTCAGAAAACTTGACCTGGCATTCTATAGGTTAACAGTTTTAAGGAAATACAACTGAAGAAAATAAAGGATTACACGAAACCCTACACATGGAACCCAAGTGCTTCAACTAGTCTGCTAAACAAGTCTATTTTATGTTTACTGCAAGTGTATTTAAAGTTAAACTGCAATATTTCTCTTTGCAGATGTAATATTCCAAGCTCATAAATTTGTAGATAGTTTAGCGACATGGAACCCCTTACATCAAGAGTAAAACATGGCTGGGTGATTGGTAAGTTTTAAGTGCAAATAGGAATTCCTTATATTAAATGTATGAATATCCATATGTACACACGGTGGCGTACAATAAATTTTGTACCTGTGATATTTTTTCTCTTTGATAAATTGTTTTGATCTTTCCTTAGGGGTGTGAGAGGTTCACATTGAGACTGTTGTGGGCAGGGTCTGTTTCCACTTAATGGCATACATGATAAATCAGCTCTCTTCATGCAGGTCTATTGAAGCTCCAACAAGAGTTTAATGATTTAATCATAGTTACCTTTTGCATAGTGCTGGATAACCTTTTAGATCCTCTAGAAATAAAAGTTAAATTACATGTAGATGTCATTTAATTTCAGATCTTAAAAGCAAAAAAAAGGAAGCAACAACAACAAGGTTATTCAAGAACAAACAAGCTGCATGAAACTGGTTTCAATTTTTCCTACATAAAATTCATGCATATGGTTGAAAGCATTCTTAACAAATTTCATACAGAATGTACAGGTATGAACCTAAGCTCTGAGGCCAAGTAAAAATGAAACCTATACCTGGTTTCTAAACTTCATTTTTCATAACTAAGGAGAGGGTTCCATCAGTTGTTGATTGATAGCTTTCCTGCACACATACACATAACAAGTAATAAGCCAATATCAACACTATTTTCTCCATTTTCACCTGTTCATGCACTACTGGCATTCTATTGCAGTACCGGTACTGTTGACCAGGCTTCCTCAGATTCTTCTTTAATTCATGTCCAGTTTAAAGTATCCAACAAAAAGGAGACAGACAGAAAAATAAAAGTGAAAGGGGACGAGAAACAACAAGAAATCAACTTTACTTGGCCTTCTAACCTAGTGTGAATGATCACTTTGTAGATGAACACATAGAAATGTAATGCTCTGAAATATGCTTTCATGCAGAATAAGTTCAATTCAAAGAGATTAAAAAAACTATAGAAATGTGCTTCAATATTGTTAAAGTTTGATGAGAACTTCCTATAAGTTTCTGAACATTGTAACACAGTAATAAGTACAGGTCTACATGTATACGTGTATATCTACCTGGGACTTTGCATCACTTGGTATTTCTCCTATGATAAAGTTCACCCTTTCGTCACCACCTGCAGCATTTAGTGATGTTAATGATTCTGGGATGTCCATGAAGGCTGGAGTTAGCGAAAATCTATCATCAACCTGGTTCTATTGATCTGTCTTCTGCAATAAGCTCAGTTTCACTAAATGATGGAAAGAGAAATTTGATAAGTAATGCAATCAAATGAAAAACATCTGTTTACGGTCACTGAAGTATCAAAGAAATAAACACCAATTGAACTTCAAAATCTCAAGACTCGCGACTGCTTACACTGAACAGTCATCTTTATTCAGAGCAGGCATTTCCTTCCCCCATCATGCCCCAAGAAAGAACACAGTCCCTTAATAAAAGTTAAATTAATATTTAAACAAACGGCTGCTAGTAGACTAGATCTAGGGTCTACATGCTACATTGCACGTAGAACTTTAGCTTGCAATTAGCGCATGCACAGATTGTTCATCCGATCTCAGTCTCATTTTCGTAAGTTGGTGCCTAGCCTAGCCAACATGGGCCCTTCAGATTGGCTATCGCTGTTTTCTATTCACTCAATGCTATAGATATTTGTGCAAGGAGTAAGCTTGCGTTTTTCCGGTTTTTCGATACCAAAATTAGATCTATGATATTTCAGTCAAACCATCTACTTTTTTCTAGAATCTATTTGTTATGATTTTTTCACTTACCGCTAAGTATTTCACTTACTTAAGTTTTACTTAAATACTTTTTAAGTCATTTTTAAGGTACAGTACAAACTGTAAATTTATTCTGAGATGTTCGTTGATTTGTCTATTTTATGTGTTTGCAATGCTGTGTGAAGTGAAGTGCGTCACCTGTTTAAAATAGGACGTGTCAAAATCTCTGACGAAAATCACGTAATATAACGTAGATCTATTGACTTAACACTTTGCCATTGAAATTAAGTTGCGCTTAAGTTTCTAGGCCCTCTCTCACTTAAATTCGAAGCCATAGCCACTCACTCAAGCAGATCGGCCAATGAGAGCACGTAAACTCACTGTACAGCGGGCGCGCGCACGCCTGTGACTGTGTGAAGTTATCTACCGTAATGAGGATCTGAGACATTACCATCATTGTGCAGCTGTTTGCCGCGAAACCTGTGAAAAAGTGTTTTCTGAAAAGTACTCCAAAAATAACAAGAAAAATTGACACAAAAAAAACAGGTAATATAATAAACATAACGACTTTTAACTTATGATCTTCATTTGGACATTTAATGAATATTTACTTCATTTTGGGTATGTTTTAGTAGGGTATCTCCACGCCGGAGTTGCGGGTCAAATTTTGGATAGGTTTCTGAACAAGCGCCCAAACTTGCCAAAGGCAAAGTTCTTCGTGCATTGGCATTGCCTTTGCAGTTGCATTTATTTTTAAAGACAAAGTTGTCTTACAAAGTATTGCTAGGCCAAGGGCCGGGCCAGGGCAAGGCTATTACTAACAGATATCAATATAGCCTTAGATAAATCACATTAAAAAAAACAAATATTGAAACAGGTTCAGTTAATGTCTAAAATTTAGCTAGATGAAATGGAAAACCACCGGCAGCGGCAGCGGTACGGCCTACGGTGGAATCAGCCCAGGCCAGCGCGCCAGGCACCACAACACCGGCCGTCCAGGTTGGCTGCGAGTTGCGTGCAAAAAATGATGAGGATCCCGATATTCCAAATCCTATTTCACGACAACGCCGCAGTGCTCTCAAACTCAGACTCAGATTTTAATAAAATTGATAACTTACAAGTTCTAACATCAATTTTAAAAACCGTTGATGTAGGTTATGGCCTGTCATTAACATGCGTCGTCGAGGAATCTTCAAAATCTACGTGATTTTTCTTCGTACACACGATCGAGAATCCGACATTGTTGAAGGTCACGTGATAATTTTTACCGTCGATGCGATGACCGTATAGCTTTGTAAACACAAGCGCTTGCGCGTGGCGTGTGTCTTCCGTGATATGAGGGTGATATGATGGGTTGCCCCATCCCAGAGGCTAGGGTATCCCCCCCCCCTGGCCCGACTCTGTGTTATTTAGGGTACGCGTATTATGCATGTCCCCTTTCTTGAAAGCACCCAGGGGCGGATCCACGTAGCGATTATTCCGTCTCGGCCCCCCTAGCCCCCCCCCCTAGCCCCCCCCTAGCCCCCCCCTAGCCCCCTAGCCTAAACGATGAAAAAATAGGATAATAACGTAAAGTTAACCTTTATAAAACAAAAAACAAGAGTCGGCACTAAATTTTGTATTAAGATTTGGCTACCCCCCCCCCCCTTGACGCCGTCTGGATCCTCTGCAGGTGCGGATCCACGGGGGGGGGGGGGGCTGACGGGTTAACAAAAAAAGAATTAAAAAAAAAAAATTCTCACGAATTAGGTGAAAAAACAAAAATAGTGGTCTCACCCCCCCCCCCCTCGCTTATTCACCGGCTGACTGATTCGGCGAAAAAAAATTCCTGAAAAATTGGACCAAAAAAAAGTGCCTCCTACCCCCCCCCCCCCCCCCCCCCCCCCCCGCTTATTTACCGGTGGCTGAGTCGCAACTAATATTTTCTCACGGATTGGGCCCCCTCTTCCCGCCGGCTGGATCCGCCACTGAAAGCACCAGTGGCGGACCCAGGGGGGCCTGGCCCCACCCCCCCCCCCTGGGAAAAAAAACGTGTAACAAACGTAACACGTTAATTTTACCTTTTTTTTTTGAGATGTTCTTTTGCAGACTGATCTTATTTGCGACTTTCTTTTTCTGGCTTCTGTTCTTCTTTCTTTCCTGCTACTCGCCTTGCGCGGTATTACAATACACTGGTGACAAGACGTGTGTTGGAAAATCAAAGGTAAGGTATCAAAAATGCTCATCTGACCGTAATTAAACGCCTAAAATCCCTGAGCTTCCGGGGCTCTGCCCCCGGGACCCAACCAAGGGCCCTAAGGCGGGCCCTTTGATACTCATCTGACCGTAAGTTAGTGCCTAAAACCCCTGATATTCCGGGGTTCCGCCCGCTGGACCCCACCAGGGGCCAAAAGGCGGGCCTCTGAATGCTTATCTGACCGTAATTTATTGCCTTAAACCTGGGTTTCCGGGGGCGGACAAGGTAGCAAAATATATTCATCAAACCGCAGGCGCGTAGCCAGGGGGCGGTTGGGGCGCCCCCCCCCCCCCCCAAAAAAAAAGCCGGCCAAAAAAAGGAAGGGGAGAAAAGGAAGAGGACGTAGGAAGAAAAAGCAGCAGACAAAAAACAATTTTGAAATTCAGACAAGGATTAAGACTCGAAAACGGTACAACGAATCGTCTTCTTTCTCATTTAATGAAATGTCAAAGCTTCCGCGCATCGCGCAGGAGTGGGGGGGGCTGAATTGAGACAAGGATTAAGAGACGAGAACGGTACAGCGAATTGTCTTCTTTCTTAAATAATTTAATGAAATGTCAAAGCTTCCGCGCTTCGCGCGGAGGGGGAGGGGAGGAACTGAATTCAGACGAGGATTGAGAGTCGAGAACGGTACAACGAATCGTCTTCTTTCTCTAATGATTTAATGAAACGTAAAAGCTTCTGCGCTTTGCGCGGGAGGAGAAGGGGAAAACTGAATTCAGACGGGGATTAAGAGTCGAGAACGGTACAACGAATCGTCTTCTTTCTCTAATGATTTAATGGAACGTGAAAGCTTCCGCGCTTCGCGCGGGAGGGGGAAAGCTGTATTCAGACGAGGATTATTTTTGGGAACGGTACAACGAATCGTCTTCTTTCTCTAATAATTTAATGAAACGTCAAAGCTTCGGCGCTTCGCGGAGGAGGGAGGGCCGGAAATCGCCCCTCCTTGCACCCCCCCCCCCCCCCATTGCAGTACGTCAATGCTGGTCACCATTACGTACCAATATTTGGCTCGCATAATTTCAAATTTGCCCTCCCCCCAAGAAATCCTGGATCCCACCCCTCGTCTCTCAGACTCTTATCCCCTCTCTCTCTCTCCTCTCTTTCACCCCGTTTCTTTTGTTTCTTTTTTCTCTTCTTTTTTTCCTTTTCTCCTTTTCTTTCTTTTCTTTCTTTTCCTTTCTTTCTTCTCCTCTCTTTCCTTTTTTTTCTCACTATTCTCCTTTCCCCCCTTTTCTCTCCTCCAGTGGCGTACCTGGGGTACTCCGTCAGGGGGGGGGGGCGGGGGCAAGCGACCGAAACAAACAAAAAAGGCGATGCTAATTTTCACTTCTGGCGAGCGAGCGAGCAAAAAAAAAATCTTTCAGTAACGTTTGGTATATAAACTGGTATTGTTGCAAGTTGGGGGTGGGAACATTCACTTGTTAGCGACGTTAATTTCATTTTTTTGCAAACGAGTGTAGCGAGCAAGAAAAAAAATCACTTCTTTTTTAATAATTGCCACTTAAACTTGGTTCAATTGTCCCATGCAGGGCGCGGGAACAATATTGTGTTTAGGCTGATTTTATACCCATTTTAGCTAGCGAGCGAAAATACATCTTTCTCTCAATTAATTGCTATATACAATTTGTTTCATTGTTGCAGGTAGGAGGCGGGCACAATCGTGTTTAAGGCAATGTCAATCCCATTTTGGCGGGCAGGCAACCCCCTACATTTCTCTTTTTAATGATGTTGTAGCAGGTTAGTAGTGGGCACATAATTCCACGAGCTAGCGAGCGTAGCGAGCGAAAAAATCACTTTTCTTTTATAGGGAAAATATGGTACATAAAACTTGGGTTCATTGTTCCATGTCAGGGACGTGATTATTAAAAGCGGTGTTATTTCTATTTTGGCGAGCGAGCGTAGCGAGCGAGCAAAAAAAAATCACTTCTCTTTTATAGGGAAAATATGGTATATAAACTTTGGTTCATTGTTCCATGTCAGGGACGTGATTATTAAAAGCGGTGTTATTTCTATTTTGGCGAGCGAGCAAAATTTTTGTAATGATAATTGGTTCATAAATTTCAGATTTTTTTGTTGCAGGGCAGGGCTTACACAATCATGTCTAAGGTGATGTTAATTCCGTTTTGGCGAGCACGAGCACACCAAAACTTCTTTGAATAACGTTTGGTACATAATTATTAACTGGTTGTTGCAGGTTGTTGCAGGTTGGGGCGGGCACGTTAGCGGTGTCAATTCCATTTTGGCGAGCAAGCATAGCGAGCAAGCAAAAAAAAAAAAAATATCTTTTAATAGAAATTAATAAATAAACTTGTTTTTATTGGTGCAGGTCAGGATGGACGCGTTTAACGCGATTCAATTCCTTTTTGGCGGGAGGGCGAAAAAAATCTTCCATTTTTAATGATATTGTTGCAGGTCAAGGGTGGGCACCATTGTTTCCAAAGCAATGTCTATTCATTTTATTCGCGAGCTAGTGTAGCGAGCGAGAAAAATGAATTAGTCTCTTTTAGTAACATTTGGTACATATATTGTGTGTTATTGTTGCCATGGTTGCAGGTCGGGGCCCGTCGGGGCAGGCACAATTGTATTCTAGGCAATACTAATCCTTTTCTTTTTTCAGGGGGACGAGCAAGTGAAAACATTTAATACAAAATAGGCTAGCAAGCAGTTCGCGCCAGCGAAGAGTTTCAAATTTGTTATATCACTTATATTTTCCTATTTTCATTTGTTTTAATTTTCAGGGCCGTATGCGGAATATTTTTTTGGTGGGGGAGGGGGAAAGATGCGTTAAAAGTTTTTTAAGAATCTCAAAAGCAAAAGGAGTGAAGGGAGTTCGAGCGACCGAACTGGTCATGAGGGTACTTTTGCATTTTCAAAAGTAGAATTAAAGGATTTGGTATAGGCCTACACTACATTTTCAGGAAAAAAAATGTACGTTTTCAAAATATCTGGGGTCAACTGCCCCCCCCCCCTGGTGCGTACGGCCATGGTCTTTTTTTTTTTTTAAATCCCCATTTTTATTCCTTTCCTTTTCCCTTTTTCTTCCTTTTCTCTTCTTCTTCCTTTTTTCTTTCCTTTTTTTTCCCCTTTTTTCTCTTTCTTTCCTTTTTTCTTCCCTTTTTTCTTCCCTTTTCCTTTTTTCTTTTTCTTTCCTTTTCCTTTCTTTTCTTTTCTTTCCCCTTTTTCTTTTTTTCCCCTGGAGCCCGTCAGGGGGGGGGCACTCTGCCCCCTGTCCCCCCCCCATAGGTACGCCCAGGCGCGTACGCAGGATTTTTTCAAGGGGGGGGGGTTTTAACATTTATAAATCGGTCCGAAAATTTCGCAACGACTCAACCAGCCGCTGAATAAGCGGGGGGGGGGGGGGGGGGGGGGGGGGGGGGGGTAAGAGGACACATTTTTTTTTTTTTTTGGTCCCAAAAAAATCGCAACGACTCAGCCGACCGCTGAATAAGCGGGGGGGGGGGGGGGGGGGGGGGGGGGGGGGTAAGAGGACACTTTTTTTTTTTTTTTTTGGTCTCGAAATTTGGAAATTTGACATTTTGCTCCATTGGGGGGGGGGGTAAGGTCACCTTTATTAGGTCGGCCATGGGAATAATTTTTTTTTTTTTTTTTTTTTTAAAATAATTAAAAAAAAAAAAAAAAAAAAAAAAAAAAATCCAAAAGGGGGGGGTTTTAGGTTTTTTTTAGGGGGGTTTACACACAAAAAATTTCCAAAGGGGGGGGTTTAACCCCCCAAACCCCCCCCCCCCCCTGCGTACGCGCCTGGGTACGCCAGTGCTCTCCTCCGTCTTTCCCCCTTTCTTCCTTTTCCGCATCTCCTTTCTCTTCCCCTTAATTTCTTCCTTATCCCCTCGTTTTTTTCCTTTCCCGACCCTTTTCTCTCCTCCTCTTCTTTCTCTCTTCCCTTTTCTTACTTTTTCACCTCCTTTTTCTTATCCCCACCTTTTTCTCCTTTTCTCCCTTTTTCTTTTCCCCTCTCCCCTCCTCTGAATCCGCCACTGCCCCAGTCCAAGGGATCGAGGCCTCTCAAGGAATCGTACCCCATGCCCCGAGTGTTTATGGGCCAAATGCAATTAGTAATTCCGCGCGTTACGTAGATACGCGCACGCGCGCCCTCAAGCCAATAGTGATACTGCAACAATGCATGCACTGCACTAGTACTGCGATTGCGCTGGTGTATCCTGATCCCATTCATTCGAGACGATTCTAATTTCCACAGAAAAAGAAACTCGTAGATCTATAGATCTAGGCCTGGACATATCTAGAAGATGGAAAATCAAGCCCAGTCCAGTGATAATGCTGTTAACGACGCAACGAAAGAGCTTTTTGAGAGAATTCAAGCAGGTATGATTTTGCAAATCTGGCTAACTGCAATCCAGGCCAGGGAGTAGGAGCTCCGGAGCCGGACCCCTAAGCTCTGGGGCACAATTCAACATGGAACGGCCTCGCCGGTCGCCAAAGCCAATCGAGGCGATGTCATGAAGCTCAGGCTCAGTTATTAGACCGAAAATTCTGTCTCTTTCGTTCGTTAGCCTCTGATTTGGGTAGGGTCGGCCCCTCTCTTTAGAACCGACCCTACCCAGGTTTGGGTTTGATTAAATATGAATTTCAACAACATTTCAACGACAAATTGATTGAAAGCTTACAAAAAATTAATCTGGATCAGGTTGTGGACAGTACATTTTCAGCACTTGTTCAGAAACCTATCCAAAATTTGACCTGTAACTCCTGTGTGGAGATACCCTACTAAAACTTACCCAAAATGAAGTAAAATGAAGTTTCACAGGAAACCGCTGCACAATAAAAGTACATACCGATAGTGGGTTGCAGGCTGGCGCGCGCCTGTGTGAAGTTTACTGGAATGTCTCGGATCCTCATTGCGATTTACGGTAGATAAGCATGTACTAGATGTAGACACACTTTTAAACATGATTTTTCTTTGTGTACAGCATATCTGATTGGTAAAAATGAACTAAAACAGGGAGGGGCATATTTTAATTACATAGGAGTTTATTGTTCCCCTGACTTTTCAAAATACCAATTTGGAGGTCTAATAGTGCTCAATTTACTCATTAGTTTGGGGAGGGGGTCAAAATGTCAGAGCACTTAATTAACAAAATTAAAGCTGTCACTTTTGTCTTTGGATTTAACAATGCTGCTAACCACTCTAAAGTCTGAATATTTGTCCTTAATAATATTGTCCAAATATCCAACATTATTCATAACAGATAGGGCATTAAGGTTCTATTGCCTGTAGACTATTTGTTGTAAACTTCTTTAAAAAAGACTTCTCATAATTGTTAATTTCTTGGTCATATTGAAGCCATGCTGGGGTTCAACCCTGGCATTTGAAATGATCGGACAAACATTCATAGGAGATAATTCTGTTCTTTATTTTACATTTATGTAGGAGATTCTGAACTGGTCAGGCAGTTGATTGGCAGTTCTGATGTTTCAGTCAATTGTGTTGATGAGGTAAGCAGTCTTGATCCACTATCTGCATAACTTCTACACCAGCATATATGGTGTGGCAAACATCTGTTACTGACTTGACTACCAGTATCTAAAGCTTATAAGACATTGTAGATTGGAAACTTTAAGAACAGACTGATCAATCTGGCATGATAGAAATCAAAATGAGCCAGCCCAACCTTAATGGAATCTTTATTATGCTTTCTTTTGTAATGAGTTGTAAATTCGTCATTTTGATATACAGACCTTTGTGCACAAATCCTTTTATATGTTACAGCCTTCTGAGTGAAATGATTATTAAGTTTACTGTTTTACATCTAAAAGGGATTGATTTCTCAATTTTCAACAAAGGAAAGCTGCTTTAAAAGCTAAGTTAGATTGCAACGTTTCGGTTGTAGTGTAAAATAGGATATTTAATCACTGGATTTGTAATACAGGAGTACATGTAACATACCTGACAACCTTTCCTATATTGGAGGAATTAATCCTTTTTTTTCTTCTTGGTCTTCAAACTGTTAAGAACCAGTTTTTCCTTTTTTCTGAAGACTTCTTTCAAAAAATTAATAAATATACAAGAACAAGATAAACTGTTATTTATGATTTTGCCATTAATAGAGGTTCCTGATTTTTGCTACAAATGGTTGGCAGACATGGACTATGAAACAAGGATGACTTAATACCAAACTGGCAAAAATTTGGGCATTTTAGGTTAACAATATTTAGCACCTTAGACGGCAATCCAACTTGTGTAACATGTCAGATGAAAGAAAGAAAAAATCATTACACCTATTGACATTGTGCAGGGCTCGACATTGACAGGTGCCCTAAATGTAAGTCTGGACCTTTCAGATTTCAAAATATTAACATGGGGCTCATACATACAGACCTAGACACTCCAGGAGGGTGTTTCACAAAGATTCTAAGTCGAACTCAACTCTAAGTTGGACTTAAATATTATGGAGAGCCATTTGTAGCCTTATAATGAAATGTATTCAAAAGCAAAAATTCAAGTATTTTAGACTTTTCATAAATTTCACATCAAGAACATGAAATCTCCCATGATAAAAGAAAATATGAATGATTTGAATCAACATTTCATGCCTTTTAAAATAACCTTTACAAAATATTTTCAAGGATGCTAATGGCTTTCCATAATTGTTAAGTCCAACTTAGGATCTTTGTGAAACACCCCCCTGATCCCCTACAAAAAGGCAGTGCTGAGCCCTGCATCATGTGTTTTCCATTGAAACCCTTGTCTAATTGATAATTGATAATGATTGTATTACAGCATGGCATGACTCCACTGCAGAACGCTGCATTTAAAGGAAATCTTCCTCTATGTGAACTACTGCTGGCCCATGGAGCTGATGTGAATGCAAACCACCATGAAAATGGCTACACAACACTCATGTTTGGTGCATTATCTGGTAAATTTGGTTGTTGATCGGCCAAGGCATGCCATTTATTATTTGTGTTTAACCATGATAAAAAATAAGTACAAGGAAATAGTTAGCAAGCTAAACTTTAAATGTGCTATTGGAAAGTTATCTATAATACAGTGGAAAGCAAATACATGGAGGCCAATCACACAGTATTTCATTTTGTTCTAAAGAATTGTTAATGTGTAATTTTGTAATTCAGAATTTATCTATAATACAGTGGATTAGTTAATATGTAGTCAAGATTTGTTTACATCATAAGCCAATTGAATTTTGATTCCTTGGAATTCGGTATATATACTTGTATAAAACCCTAACTAAACCTTATTTTCACTGTGTCTCTATATATTATGAAAGTAAATACATGTAGACCAGTCACATAGTACCGTATTTCATTTTGTCAAAATATAATGATAATAGATAAAGAAAGACAAAACATATAACAAGGAATGTTATACTCTCAGGCTTTAATTAGAAGCAACAACCTTCTACACTGTCCAGTTAAAGGTAGATCCATTGCAATGGAATTTTTGATTTCGCTACAGACAACTGGTTCATTTTTATGTGACAATTTGAGATTAACAGCATTGGTCACATGCTTCCTGGGCACAAAAAGGTTGAATTAAAACATAAATGCAATTTTACCTTTCTTTGTGTACACCTGCAGGAAATACTGAAGTGACCCGTTTGATGCTTCAGGCTGGAGCCAAGACATCACCGACCAATAGCGTAGGTCGAACTGCCTCTCAGATGGCTGCCTTTGTGGGACAACATGCTTGTGTCAGCATTATGAACAACTTCTTTAATCGAGAACAGCTGGACTATTACACTATCACAAGAGGTACAGTTAGTATTATCATTGTTAGAGTTTATAGAATGAGAGAGTTTTCCCTAATTTTCAGCCCATTGACTGCTGAAAATTCTGTCATTTCCATAGGCTAAGGCTTAGTACTGGAACCAGTCAGATCCTGGGGGCAATGGGTTGAAGGGAACCAACTATCTTAAAGGTACATTGTGCAGCTAGTGTGCATAGAATCAATTAGCACACCCACAACAGCAAAACTATGTGCAGCACTTTAAACAGTTCATTACTATGGAGAATTGTAAAGGTTAGCATAAAACCTTACACATGGAATCAAGTTTGATTATGATTCTGTGTGCACTCTTTCTACACGCACTCACATGTACTAACATCTTATGATCTAGCATTAGAATATGCTATAGATTGTAATCTAAGGTGATTTGATCCAAACGACACTCTCTATATTGTGTCATCATTTGTCACCCACCCTTTTAGATAACTTTTCATCACATTACTCATTTCATTTGGTTTATTACAGGTTTTGAGAAAGAGCCCAAGTTACCACCAAATCTCGCTCCAAGTCTGCACAAGATGATTCTCATGCATAATCTCAATCCTGTCAGGGTAATAATCTGAATTTTATTTATCTTTATAACCCTGTGCTGGGACTAGTGTCCCATTGGATACTTATCTGCAGCTGCCACTCTACACCCGGGTGTTAAATGGGTACCGGTAGGAATTCATTGAATGATGTGAGCACTGATATTGGTCACTTAACCAAAGCCAGTGTAATGTTTAAGCATCTTGAGCACTTTGCTTGGTGGATATGAGCTCTGTGAAAATATTGAATATTATTATATTCAAGTTCAAGTTCAAGTTCAAATAAGGTTTTATTCATTACTTGTCAACAAGTCCGAAGACTAAAAATGCAAGTTTACATCAATATAAAAAGCATTCAAAAACATAAAGATAACATAGCAAATGAGGACAAATATATAACAATGAATACATTTTTAAGTTAAAACATTAAAGTAGTAACAAAAAAACAAAGCAACAAAAAAAGATTTAGAAAAAAATACAAGATATGAAATATTGCTAGCAAAAATGAATAAATGTTAACATATAAACAAATAAAATGTATACAGATACTTGAATTCAATTAACTGTAACATTGGAAAAATTGTAATTAAGTATTGAGTATTGAGTATTGAGTATTAAAAAGTATTAAAAAGTATTACAATTGGAGTCTTGGCAGTGTGCTAATCACAAGCGTGATATGAGTACAATATAATGTATAAACATATTGCACATGAGAACAATGGAATTCCTTAGGTATTATTGGTTACAGTAAGAATAGCAGATAATTAAAGAATGTTGTACTGTAAAACATCATCAGAAGAAAATGAGGTGGAGAGGAGGAGGGAGAGACAGAAAGTGAGAGAGAGAAACAGAGAGGAGGAAGAAGAGATGAAGGGAGTAAGAGGAAGAGGCAGAGAGAGAGAGAGACAGAGAGACAGACATAGAGCTGAGAGAGAGGGAATGGGAGTGAAATAAAGAATAAAGAGGAAAGACCAGAACTGAAGAAGAGAAAAGGAAATTTGAAAAGAAGCAAGTTCGAATAGAAAAAAGGAATGAGGGAGTGAGGGGAAGATAAAAGTACATGCAATATCAAAATACGAATGAATGGAAGAACCCGCTATGCCAATCATCATGGCAGTTAATATTGCACATAATTATATTGCTGAAATACATGACATATAACATACTGATAATTACCTAAGCCTCAATTTATCATTATTTTCAAAAAGAAATGGAATTCCTTAGGTGTTATTGCATAGGAGATTAAAGATTCAATAAATTTTGCAGTCTTGCAAAGTCTTGGATACAAAATTAACAGTTTGCTGTCATTTGTACAGTAACAGTAGGTTCATTTACAAAGATTGTATTATGTTTAGACACGGAGGTGTTAAAAAAGAAATAGACTTTTAGTGAAAGGAATAAGGATGTTCATATTTTCAACATTCCTTATTTTCAACCACCTGTCTACAAAGAGAACAACTTTCCATTTCCCTTGAAAAATTGTTTCTCATTTGAAACCTGTACATAAAGTCCACCTGCCTGTAAAGACTGCTTATTGTCTCCCTTGAGTCCCTTGAGCTGTCTTTATATACAGGTTTCACTGTAATTCTTTCCAATATCTTTGATTGCAGCTTGTACAGTACCTCAAGAATAATGAGAACCTGCTGAACGAGGCCTGCAAGATTGCTAATGTCCTGGAACTGATCTCAGAGAAAGAGATGAAGTCCAAAGCTACCAACGATGTCCTAGCTGTGAAGATGCACTACCTATCCAATGTGATCAGACAATGCCACAAATGGAACATGGAGAAAACAAATGGAGTTGATGAATTTATCAAATTGTGAGTAGAGATAGATATATTCTATTTGTTAAAATCACATAATAAAACAGGTTAACAAATGTAGGCCACATGACATCACATGCATGACCATGCATCTTTCTTTTCTATTATGGCTAAAAGTGATAAATAATGCACGGCTAAGATGTGGGGATGGGTTTCTCTGACGAGTATAAAATTGAGAACCGATGAAATGAAAGTAGTTTCAAACGGCAAGAACATTAATCGGCTCACAGAGACACAAAGAACACTGTTTGGCTGAACTTATGTACTGTGATGACATTCAGAGCAAGTGGTGCCCCCCCCCCCCCCATGCCTGTGTGATTCATGGCATTTTGCTTACTTCTCAACTTTTTATTTGTGTTGCTGATCCGTTGTATAAAATTGTTAATTCATTTATTTGAAGCTCGTGCATCAGTGATATGCACTGCACTTGGTAAAGTCACAATTAACTGGATATAGAACACTACAAGTCTTGTTCATTATCTGATTGTGACTTGACCTGCATGCAGTGCATATTCACTAATGCTCTCACAAACATGAATTAGTTGTATAATATTCATATTAAGCTTGTTCCTACTGCTTAAAGCATAGTATTTAATCTGTCTTTGGTCACCAAATATCCTCATAACCTTCTTTAAAAATCTTTTCTTAGCTTGTGCTTTTAAATGTGTTGATGTGAATATTTGACAAGTGAAGAGCAAATAGCAGCATCAGGGTGTTAAACCAATAGATAGCCTATAAGATTTGTACGAGATAGACTTTATATTGCCACATGAAGCACGTTTTCATGGTAAAATAAGAAATGACTTTTGTTTCATTCCATGCAGTCTTCTGCGGGCAAGAGAGAATGATGGTACCAGAGTCAACATGGAGAAGCTACTGAGAGAAATCATCAGGGAATTCCCCTTCCATGAGAGCGAACTATTCGTTCAAATTGTCAGAAATTTAACAGATGTCAAAATTGTGAGTACTGCATTTTTGATGTCACTCTCTCTGATTCTTGCAATGATATTTCAATACACCTGTATGCCAAGACAAAGGTCAAGGCCAATGATGATATGCCTAATGAACTATTTCACCAACCTACTTCTTTCTCTCATTCATCTGGAAGTTCATATTTGCTATTGTAATATTTTAGTCAAGTATAACATCATCTTCGATATTTTTAACATATTATAGTTAATTTCAAAAGATTTACACACGAACAGTCATGAAATGTTACAGTGATTCCTTTTTTAACATTGTCCATGGTTGGTGAAATATTTCTGGTTAATTATGACACATCTTTTTCATGTGCACTGAAATGTATTAATCTGTAAATAATTAATTTGTTACCTATATGTTAGAATAACCTGTCATAATCTATGTATTTGGTGGTTATTATCTGTGCATGATATTCCACATGTGTGACCTGAACATGACTTCCATGTGACCTTTGCTTATGACCTTTGTGCAGGGTGATGAACCAACAGCTCTGGGTATCTTAACCCAGGCAGTGAATGGAGCAAGGAGTCTTGAGGTGGTGAATCCTTGCTCAACCTGTGGAGAAGCAAAAGCAAGCAAGAAATGCTCAGCATGTAAACAGGTAAATCACATTAAATCCGTAAAGAGGTTCATCCAATCATCTAGATGTTAAGTTGACATATGGTTCTTCTTACACAGTCAGTAAAAGATATCTTGTTTTGGTAAGCTTTCACATGCTGTTCTGAAAACTTGAGAGTTCAGACCTCTGTTGTAGCTGGCATTGTTACTGATGCAGTATTGGTAGAATGAGATTGTCTGTTGTTGAGAGAGTATATTGGCACATTAAATGTGCATTTATTTTGTATACATTAGTACATTATACAAATAGAGTGCTAAAAATGACTTACCGGTATGCAAAAGAAATTTCTACAAAATGGCCAGTAGGCATAATAACTTGAATTTTTAATAGTGCAACATAATCCACAATAAAGCTCTTGTTCTCCCCTCAGTCACCTTTTTGGAATGTGACTCTTCAATAAGAATGAGATGATCAAATATGGTTTTTAACGATAAAAAATAAAAAATATAAAATAAAAAGTGTCAAATGCATACGGTATTCATTTCATTTTCATAAACAAGCAATCAAAGCAAATATACATTCATACAACAAAACAAAGAAAATACAGAGTAATCAATATCATCGGCAATGTATAAAAAATTTCACTTTACAAATTACATAAAATGTAAAGGATAACTTTTTTTAAAGCCTATAATGGCTTTGAGAGACAAATTTCCCAGTAATGCATAGATTATGTCTTGATGAAAGGCAGAATACATTTGTAATTATCACAATGTTATTTAAGCTGAAGATGTCAAAATTTCCTACTCTAAGGTCATCACTCGATTTATTAGAGCCTACATTCATAAACTATTACTGAGCTATTTGTCAAATCCACGTAATTGCATATATAATAATAATAATTGATAACTATGCCTGGTCAGGTTTTATAAATATTAGCCCTGATCTTTTGTGCCACAGCTTGTGCTTTAAAAACAAAAGAAGTCAATCACTAATCTTATATTTCGACTTGCTCCACTTGCCTTTGATTTTCCAGGTGAACTACTGTGATGCAGTCTGCCAGAAGCTGGAATGGTTCACACATAAGAAGCAGTGCAAGAGAATAGCAGAGGAACATAAAGAAAGACAGGAGTTTATACAGAAGGAGAATGTAAGACACAAATTGGAAGAGGAAAAGAAGAAGTTGGAAGAGGAAAAGACAAGGTTGGAAGAAGAAGAGAAAAGATTGGAAGAGGAACAGAAAGAAGCACAGAAAGAGACAATAACAAATGGTAAGTTTGTATTAGTAGTAGTAGTAGCAGGCTTTATAAAATTGTCAAATTCATCATCAAATTATGAAAACAGGGTGAGGGATGTGTAGTTTCAGCAACCTTTGCAGACTATTTATGTATAAAAAACATTTTTTTAATACAACAACCTGCTTTGGGTTATTTATATAGTGTTCAGGGATTGAAAGGTATCAATCTTAATTTTAAAGCAAACTAGATTATTGTATCCTAATAGATTGAATAAAAGTACTTTCTATCTCTGTTCAGAGCCAGAAGGATATTATATCGTAAGTATATAATAATATTTCACTGTTATATAGCACCCAATACATCGATGCAACAATGTGTCTGAGCACTTTACAGATATATTATATTATTATGAGTTAACACCTTTCTGGCTGCAGACAAATATTCTTCCGTTTCCTTATTACATACATAATCTGTTGTGCTTGAGCTTGAATAAAACATTACACTGTTTTCGTAGCTAGGTACTCTCAAAATTCTTTAACATTCTTTGATATATATTAAATTCAGGTACTGAGGACAAAGAAGACAGCCCGAGTCCACCCAAGGACTCCGGAACAACCGAATCCAAAACCATTGAAGAGACGACCCAAAAGCTTGAGGATACCACTGTAAGCTAATTGCATGAGTGGATTATACTATGCAAAACAGAATCCCCCAGCAAGAACTATATAGAACTGCCACATTTCAAATTGGTTCAGAATTCCAGCTATTAAATGTGTAGGAGGCTTGCCTTCTGAGTGTTTTTATACTGCGTAATAAAATTGTGAACATTTGTTTCTTGTGATACAAAGGAATGTTAATATGTCATGGATGCCATTTGTGTATAATGTCATAGTGCTCGTTACTGTGCATGATGTAGGTGTTAGGGAACTGTTCGAACGAGTCAGTCTATTGCAATGAAATTAAACAAGTTAACAAACTTGGAATATAAAATTTAATATTTAAAGAAATTAAATTGCCCATATTTTGTATTTTCTTGAGTAAGAAAAATGTTTTTGATGATTTTTGTATTTTATTTGTGTATAGTCAATAAATATTTGTTTTACATATTGTGCAGTGTGAAGAGGGTAATTAACATTGTGGTACTTATGTTTTTGCAATTGATTAGTTATAACTTTGGCTGCCCTAGTTATGAGAAATATCTTCAGTGTACTTTTGCAGCTCAAAGCGAGTCGAGTTGCTGTATTGATAATCGTATGTCCTATTGTTCGTGTTCATATAGCTGCACTAGCTAATGAGATAAAGTAATGTTATTTGTCTTATCTAATCTGCTTGTACCAAACCACCGTGAGTTGTAATCCCATAAAATGACATTTTGAAAAACGAAAAGAGACGAGTTATGCACCAACAATCGATGTTTCCGTACTGGATAGGAAATGTTTAAACAAAAATTATTATCACTCTATGACATAGTATATGAGGCTTTAATGTGATGTGTGCAAAGCATTGTAAAATACATAGCAACTGTTTGGATGACTCTCATAGACATTCTACCAGTATTGAATAATAGGTGAACACCAGCTTTATTTGAAGTATATGTAGATTAGAAGACATTTGTTGAATAAATACACATGTATAAGTAAAAATTACAACGCACACTTCAATCATAAGAAAGTAAAATTAACGATCGGCACAAGGGGTCTTAACAAATATTGAAGCACTTATAACTTATCATGCCTTTCAACGACATGCTCAATATCCTCTATAGAAATTGGAAAACAGTTATAAGTTAAGTAAAATGCAACAAAACCTGTTATTCTAGCCAGTCACATGTAGTCATGTTTAATCTATTTCAAAGTTTGCATTTGTTCTCAGCACAGATTTTTCATACATTTGTTTTTCTTTCCTATATCTTTGAAAAGTGTAAAATTGAATACGCTCTCCCCCACTTGGTGTTATTTAGGGTACGCGTATGCATGTTCCCTTCCCTAAAAAACACCCCCAAGTCCGGGGTGTGTTAAGTCAATACGGGCCGATTATTTTGTGTATTCCGAGATGGACTTTGTTGCTTGAAAAGTACCCCGTTACCGGACATTTTGGGAACGTGAATGCGGTCCCTCCGTTCTAAGAGTGGGGGTGGGGGCCGGGGAAAATTCTAGAAACTGAAGATTCTTTGGCTTAAAAAACTTTAATCATAATGTGATTTTGTTATAGGGTTGCAACTTAATTATAATCGGACAGTGTATCAGTTTATGTTGTATTTTTCTGTTCAAAGGTGCTGCAAGTACGATATGAAATATATTTATTTATTCATTAAAAAAAAAAATTGTTGTTTTTTGTATCACTAATTAGCCAGCACCAGCAACTCCTGCTTAATTGTTCATATGTTATTTATGTACATTGTGCATCTGACTTTAAGATATAGCTCATATTCTTTGTGAAATTTAAAATAAGAGTACCTGGTAAATAATGAATTGTCAACGATGGAAGAAAAAAACCATTACAAATTAAAAATGTTCTCATGAAACTTAGTTAGTTGTACATGTTATACTCAAAAATTAATCTGACTTATTAGAATGACCATTTCTAATGTTATAGTAGCCAAGCGGGTCAACTGTTCCCATAAAATGTTGCATTGTTTTACCTGATATACTTCGGAATTTATCAGAATGATCATTTTGATGCTATTTAGCCCAATTATTAAAGGCAGTAGTGTTATGTGCCAACTCTGAATTCTAGTATGAATCTGCCTCTGCAATACAGCTTTAATATTCAACCATTTTACTTTTTCCACACCTTTTTGTGCTACTCCATACATAGTTAATAATAAAGTACCAATGAAGCGTGCTCATCTTACTTAATTGTGGATTTCAAATCAATGCCACTACCATGAATGTCGATTTCATGTGGATCTTCTGTACATGTGCATGTCTATATCACTGCTAGTATCTTGCCAAAGTACAGAATATGCAACGCTCTTTGCAATGGAAAGGCACTTCATTATTAATAAATCAACATATATTCCACATTTGTTAGGAGTACATGCACCACCCTAGATCTGATAATACATCATGAACATGTGGACATTGTGCATTGTATGAAGGTATACACAAAGCATTCAAGTAGTCTATTGTTCCTATTGTTGTATTGATTAGTCGTAATAAATAGTATTTATTGCAGGTTCTTGTTTCTGGTTGAGTGATTATATTCCCAATGAATAAACATGTGAAACATGGAATGATTGCATTTCAAATGTTGCTTCTGTTATAAAAGGTGTGATTACTTTTGGTTTGATATTATATGTATTGTGTAATTGAAAGCATGTGTAATACAGTATGTGTGAAATTTGTAATCTTACTCCTTTTACTTTTGTTTAGGGAAGGGGTAGGGCTGGGTGAAAGTAGAATGAAAAAAAATACCCCCGTTTTTGACAGGCTGGAGCAAATTGCAGAAAGAGTTCAGTTGTAAATAAATGCAACTTCAAATGATTTCTATTTCATTCTCACTACCTAGACATCTTTGAGCATTGAAGGTAGAGATCGACATGTACCACATTCAATACCAGAGTATATTGTAAGATCAAAGTCTTTATGAGGAGCGTTGATTTACTTCTTTCTTTGTCAGTTTACTGAGGTACATTAGAAGATGCTTAATTTAATCAAGGAGGCTGGGTCTAAGCTCTTTGGTTTAATAAAATATTTCATGTCCCTCACACTTTGGAGGTTTTGACTTACTTGACCAGCTTGCATAAAAAAAAGTATTTACATAGTGGCTTTAAAAAAATGAATACCACTGCTATGCTCATGTTATGAATTGTTGGTGAAGTAAATGAATAATACATGTCTTAAATAATCAAATTTAATCTGTTTGAGTAGAACACGCCCCTGCAGAAATCATATTTTTGCAACGACATAAACACCAACAGGAACATCAATAAGATTTCTATTTGTAAAGCCAAATGATTTACCATTCATCATTATCCCAAAACACATATCACAAATCATGGACCTTAACTAAGGCTGGTTTACCTAAAAATAAATAAATAGAGAATAACAAGTCAAAAGACAATAAATGATAAAAAGGTTGAACAAGAAAAAGATATACATGTACGGAAATATTTATTGCATAAATTTAACAGATGCAAGTATTATATATAATTTCCTATATTTACATTTTAAAAAACAGTTATAATTACAGCACATAATTTGAATGAAAACAAATACAAAACCATACTGCACATCTTACAAATATTTTGGAGAAATATTCTCAATATATAAATTTTTAAGTTTAAGAACAAAGTTGTATCAGTATACAAGTATCCAATGTTCGATGATAGTGAAAGCTTGAATATTAAAAAGGAAATGTGCAAAAAGCTTTAAAATCTTTCTTAGTTTACTCAGATTTTCTAGAAAGGATACAAGCTGGTACTTGCATTATAGAAAAGAAATCTCAGGCCAAAATGTATTTGCTATTGCACAGATTTACCTCAAATCAAACTATTATCTGAAAAACATTGAAATTGAATGATTTGTCAATTGTGAATTCTTTCCAGATATTTGTCCAAATTATAATGTTCATGCAACTTTAGTTTTTGGTTATTGCAAGCCAATTCACTGGCTTATTTGTGAATAAAAGAAAATTAAGCTTTTGTATTGTTTAACATTGGAAAAAGCAGCACAATACTTGCCTCTCTATTTTGCTCAAATAACCATATGCAATTTTTATAATGACATCCACCATGATTTGTTCAATAAACTTATTACATAACAAACCATTGCTACATAAAAGATGTATAGCACATTGATCTGTTAATCAGTATTCATAATTAATCTATACCATTTGAAAGTGCTGGCAAGTCATCAAATCTAATCACTCTTCTAATCATACTTGCTATATCCCTGAAAGACTGTTTCGTGTAAAGAGCATATTAAAACAATGCAAGCAAACAAACATTAAGATGCAAGACAAGTGACAACATATTTCAGCAAAACTATTGCTAACATTACAAAACCTCTTTAAACAGGCAATATACAGCATACATCACAAATACACAACTATCGCATCTTTTTTTACCAACGAAACAAACATACTTGCATAGGATTTGCAGTCTTGTGACATAAAAATACATGTCTAATATATGGTACTAAACATGATTAAAAATGTAATCTACTCCTAATCATTTAATTAAAAAGAATCAACTAAAAATAGTGATTTCCCTTGATTCTATCATATGCATAACTATATAATGTTTATAAATATATAATGTTCATAACTAAATAATCATTATTTTTTTTCAAGCACACATAATATGAAGACCCTGTTGCATTAAGCACACATCTATTTCCATGGATACTCAATTTGCATAAGATCAAGTATTTTTGGCTCACATAGCCAATCTTAAATGTTACCTTTACCAAAATGTATGTTGCATTCAACAATGACAATTAGACCCTCTTATTGTACAGCATTATGTGGCATATTGGAAGATATCATTTATGTCTTGAAAAACTGTACCATATATACATGCAGAAACAAATAGAAGACACAGATTGCCTTGTTCATATTTACAATATATATTTACAAGTTATATACAAATAATTTATACAAAGCAATATATTTGTGTGTACTATAATACACCAGCTGGTAATTTATCTTTAAATAATTGGTACAATTTCAAGTACTATTTGATCTTAATCTTTCCTGGAAAAAAAAGAAAAAGTCTATCATCACATTTCCGGTATAAAAGAAAAATAATAGTGTAAATACATCAATGATTAATGGATTGACTAATTCATTCAAATCAGAATAATCAATGGAACTGATCCTGCTTAGCAACTTTAAAAACAAATATTGTCCAAATTTACAACTGTGTAAAAAGCTTGTTGGAATGTACAGTATTGTTTTTAGGAAGCATATTCTTTTTCTTCTTTTTTTTAATTTTCAATATTTCATTTTTTTTCTTTTTTTTTCTTTTTGGCACTCTTTCGTTGAGAGTAAGGTCTAGACAGAGTAAGCTCCCCATGGTGCCCTGAGTTGATATGGTCCATTCTGTGACAGGAAATAGAAAAAAGAAACAAATACAGCGGTTTAAAATAAATTAATGAGAATTGGTATCTAGCACATACAATATTCTTATATACCAGTAATCAATTTGTAACTGCAGTACATTTTAGAAACCAATGACTTCTAGAGAAAATAAAAGAGATATAAGTACATTAAAAATAGTGTAGAGCAGATAAGATACTAGATTATCTGATAAACTCTTATCAAATTACCTTAACAATATATGTATCTTATATACAGTGTGTAGTAACCATTTCAATATGATTATCAATTATGTCATAATGAAACATACCAGTTAGCAAATGAAATGTACAGCCATGCTTCACTAGTCATAGCACTGCAAAATCCAAATCCCGTACTACGAATAGCAATCTAGCACAAAACTTGAGTAATCAAGAGATTTATCATGCTAAATACTAACTTGGAGAGACATAGATGACAGAAAATGAAAAAAAAATCATGAGCACACATTAGATCAGAGAGTGTGTTCACAGAAGTTACAAGGATTAAAAACCATGTCAAAATCTAAACTACCAACAAAGGTTACAACATAAGTGAAGAACTATAAATATACTTCTATTAAATATATATATACATGTATACAAATATACAGATCATCATGACAAGGTCTATCTACAAGGTTCTTCAGTCACAAGGCTACTATACACCTTATGACCCAACTACACTGGATTTTGAAAGAAATTGCAAGAGGATAAGGTATGAAATTTCAAAAATGCAAACTGTGTCTGTCCATTGGAGGTACAAAAAGGTCACAAGCATATTAGCATCAATTTTCTATTATTTTCTAAGCCATTCACTCAGAGAAAGGGCAACATTGGCAACCAGTCGGTGACCAGCTGTGAACCTAGTATAATGTCACTAATCTTTCCAGATAATCATGCCTTATCTCCGTCTGCATAACTCACAATATCCTGCAATTTTATACTATAATTCATGTGACAATATCTGCTGATCAAAGTGTAACAATATGTCACAAGAATGGGAGTATCACAACACCCTTCAATTTCAATACTACTATTCACACAGCAATTCAAGACCTTAATGGCATAAATTCACATTTCATGAAATTCTTCATCTAATCCTAATTTGATTTCTTTCAAAACCCAATTGCAGTTAGGTCATAACATGCACTGTCACATTAAGTCAAGTGAAAAGATAAGGAAGAATAGGGGCAGGTCAAGAACTACTGCACTGCATACACACCGCAACTCCAGTAGATTCCAGTACCATGGGCTGTTGGCGGGGCACAGTAGGCTGGTAGTTAGGGTCTCGGAACCTGCTCTCCAGGGCCTTGGTACGGACCCAGGGCATGGCTGGCTCAGGTACCCTTCTCGTCTATAGGTGGTGTCGATGACGATGACGGTTTGTTTAGATGTATGTGGATGTAGTTTGATCATGTGGAATTATGTCAGGGTAAATTTGAGTGATTATGAATGTAGTGAAGTGTTAAAGAATAGAGTGTGAAGATTTGAATTGTATTATTTTGGTGTGGGTGTGCATATGTGTGAGCAGCAATATTTCAGAGGGAATACATCAATTATGAATTGAATGATGTATGAGGATGGCACATTTGATTTGATAATTATATTAGAGTATAGGTTCAATCGAGTTTTGGATTTAGATATATGAAAACAGATCAATATATGCAAATTATATGCAAAGCATGTGTAAATTCCATGCAATATAAGTGTGTATTATATATTGTGTGAGTGGAGAGAAGGAGGGCATGCAAAGAAGAAATGATATATATGGTTAAAGACAATGAAGATAAATAAGGAAAGGACATGAAGGGTCTGAGGAATTCATGCAATAAAGGGTAGCAAATAAAATGAAGAAAACAAAATAAGGGTAAAAATGTCATCTCAAATGCCAAAGATCATGCAAACATGTGGTTCTACGTAAGGTACTCCTCTCTTATATAAGCCTAATTTCAAATTGTATTAATATAAATCTTTCCAAAATCACTCTTTTCATCTGCATACCTTAATTAGCTGTAAAAAGATCTTATCAATCTACACAAGTTGATACTTATAGACAGTGTAAAAATGCCTGCTCAACTATTCAATACTTGCTGCTCATTTTCAATTCAAGACTATATGGCTGTTGTATTCACATGTCTATCTAAAGAATGGCCATTGCCAAACGCTGTAAACAAATTCCACTTTTATACAATATATATATGTACACATCTTTGTCTAATAATGAGCTTTTCATGAATGCTGGCCTTTTTAAATTTCATACTCAATATCAAATGGTGATCTTTAATTTTTTGCTTTCTTATACCTGTTTTAATGTGTCCGGATCGAGAGCATGCCTCTTCATCGCTGGATCATAGGGGGCGCCATTGCCAGGTCTGCCCCATTGCTGCTTGAAGGTCTGATGATGCTACATGTGAGAAAGACAAGATAATTTCCACTTATATATCAAGTAAAGCATGCCTTGATGAAAGATCAGACCTGCAGTCCATAACACTTACTATACATGTGATAAGTTTGCTCATGACAATTTAAGATTGTTAAATTTTCATATGGATGTATTCCTTTGTTTTTCTTCATACATGTACAAAAGGACAATATCATCAATTGTCTTAATCGGAAAGAGCTAACATTGCAGGTAATAACAGGTAATGATGGCATCTTGCGTGCAACAGCCACTATTATAAAATGGCTCTAGTATTTTAAGCATCGTGATTGGTCAATACGCGTCACATGACATGTACGAATTTTTGATGCAAGCACGATTTTGCAAAAAAAAGCGCAAAAAAAGTTACAATACACGTTACCATGGATATCCAGTACGCGCGCGTACGTGTAGTACGCTCCCTTGGCCTCGAGTGCATTAATTGTATAGGCTACTCGTAGCTAATATTGTACGCTACACCATAATCCCGAGCGCAGTGTACGCGTAGCTTAGCTAGCTAGCTAGAGCGGGGTATTATTAGAAAGCAAATTTTTATTTTACTTTTGCCTTGGATTGAGGCCTGTTTTGACTTTGGGATTTTATAATGAAGCCAGGAATTTCAGCTGTCTGATGTAGACTCGTCTCTAGACCCCCTATGGATTTTATTTTTAATCAAGGCAATGAATCCCGTGAACTTTTTGGTAAGCCTGCAAGGTCTTACTCTAGTAGAACCAACATAACTCTAGATCTAACTCTCGTAGACTCTAACTTAATACTTAAGATCTAAACTTTTGTTTGTTTTGCATTTGTGTCGCTATTTTATAAAACAAATAACGCACTTGACCCTGTTGTGCGAAACGTAAATGCAGTGTACGCTAGGTTTCTTCAGATGGTGCTCACTGTCAACTTGCCACAAGCGGCTCATTGCACAGAGCGGCATCAATCTAAAGAAACCTCGCGCATACTGCATTCACCGCTATTGCACTCTGGGCCGTGCGTTATTTGTATATTAGCATTTTGTTACAATTCAGTGTCAACCTCCATAAAACACAGTAACAGAGCTGCATACATTAATATTTTCAGAGATGATAGCGGCTTTCCATAAGTGTTAAGTCCAACTTAGGATCTATGTGAAACACCCCCCAGAATAGATACCAACCCAGTCCCAAAATGAAACACACTAGTATAAATCTACCAGATGGGTGTCTTGATGTCAAAGAGATATATTGAGACTAACCTGTGAAACCTCTTGCCTAGAAACCTCTCGTTCTAGGTCCTTCTGACGTATCCTCTGCTCAGCCTGATGGACCAAGTCTGTACGATAGTCCTGTACATCTAGAGTTGGTCTTCTAATGTCCATCACCTGTTCCAAGACAAATCATTTGATAGGATTTGATTTGATTTGATAATATTAAATTTACATTTCTGTTTCTATTTCACTTCTTCCATTTCTATTTCCACTTTAAAAGTATTGAAAAGTTAAACAGTTAAAAACTAAAAAGAATTTGTTGAGGCGATGATGAAAGGAGCCAAATGAAGAGACATTGAGAAACCAACAAATTGACAGGCAAAATTAAAGCAAAACTCTTTCTTTAATAATGTGCAGAAGGAGTCGCACAACAGGCCAATTGCTGACTGAGTCTGATTGCCACGTACAATGTGTTTAGATCTTGACCAAATACATGTAGGTTGCAGTTCTAAATGTTTTCCTTCTGCATGCACTGCTCTGGTATTTTTGACAGGGCATCATAATATACAACATAATACAACATAATACAACAAAGTACAACATAATACAACATAATAAACAAAATACCTGTAATGCTATTAATATGAAACTGTATTAATTTCCAATATCGCTTTGGAATCGCTTGGATATTGTTAATTTTTTTATATTGTTCACTTCATTGAAGAACTGCTTTCCCCAAATAAAAACCTGAACCTGCATCTCATAAGTGCATTCTTAACTCTATGTCAAATGATGCCCTTATGACTGTCACAAGATGATATCCTCACATGCAGTGGAGTGAAACAACTTTGAAGCTAGGCCAACTTACATGTCTGGTGATATCGGATGTAGCCTTGTGGTGGACCGGTAGAACTGTTCCTGTAGTTGGGTCTCTGCTGCGGTATCCAACCTCTTTGCTTCTGATCCAGTTAACCGTCTCACCTCCTGGTTTCATCACTTCCTTAGCTTCACGCTGTCTCTGGCTCTTCTGGTAATCAATCTCAGTTTCTGAAAACAAAGGGAGGGATGAGGGGATGAGGTAAGTAATTATCTAGTAATAGATAATGCAGCAGAGTTATCAATGGAGAGAGAAAATACAGAGACTCACTGCTTAAAGGTACTATTCAATATTGGGCCTCATGGAATTAAGACCACCAATTTGGTGATATGTGCCACCCTGTATAAATTTCAGAAATAAATCAATAAATGAATTATTATATCTAGACAGATTCATGCACGTAGTTGGTTGAATTGTTTGTCTAATTTCGTTCAAATTTTCACCACTCTGCTTCTCTGTTTTCTTTCAGAGTAGTTATCTACTAAGGTTGGATTTTCCTTTAATAAACAAAATATAGAAAACGGGTGATCAAATTACATAACAAGTGGTTCATTTATAGAAAAGTACAAGAGTAATTGCTGTGGACCATGTCTTACTGAGTGTTTTGAGGTATTCCTGCTTGGCCTTGACCTCCTCTCTTTTGGGCGGGTCAATCCCCATCATGTCCATGACGGCTTTACCCCTGTTAGTAGCATTCACGCTACCGTTGGGTAAGAACAGGGGTGCGCCCCCTCCTGGTCGACCCCATGGCTCACTGGGATCTTTCTTTGCCCCATCCTCGATGATGACCTCTGTAAGGAATATAATAACTAGGTCAATCTCAGTCTAAGAAATTTTTATTCAGGGTAGAATGTCACATGCGGCGTTCATAAGGGATCTCTCCTTGGTCCGCTCTTGTATATTGTATATATTAATGATCTCATCTGATGTTTTGTCATTCATTTTTATAGTAAAATGAGCCAAACAATTTTACATGGCATGAATACATCTACAATTCAAGCTATCTATAAATTCAAGCTAACCTAAAAATATATGAGAACTCAATAAATTATTTATCAAAGCACCAAAAGTTCAATCACTCATAATTTGACAGACACTACAAAGTGTAAATAATTGCAAACTACTTTTTTTTCTGACAATTTGACATGCAAAAATGTTGCAGCAAAATTGGAAAAAAAAAATTATATTGAAGCTATAATAACCACACAAATGGGAAACATATTGTCAGATAAGGCCACAAGGACATTACTGTGTAAAATGATGAGTTAAGGCCTCTGTAGCTCCAAACAAACAATATATAGACATTAACAAATGTGCACATTCAAACAGTGTTAATACAGTCTATCTATTAGAACATTGAAAAAGAACAATATAACGCATCAACAAGTGTGTCCATATTTACAATTATAGCCTTTTCTATCAAAATTACCAGCAAAAACAGGCAAAGAAGAACATAAAGCCATCCCTAAACTACTTTTTTTGTCTTTAATAGCATTACCACATTCAGCTACTACAAGAATCATAAGCTAAAATTCTTCTGTATACAATTTACTGTATACTTTGATTTTTTGCCCTTTTTACCCTTTGCTTTTAGTGAGGTCCCTTCAGTCAAAAATACATGGGACCTATAGAGACCTGCACCCGATGTGTGATGATTAGGTGATTGACGCACACACAGAGCAGAAGGTACAGATACAAGAGAGACACACAGACAGACAGAAACACAGAAAGAGATGAAGATAGAAAGAGAAAGACAGAAAGTGGGATAAATAGACACAGAGATATCAAATAGCAGAGATAATGAAATGACAAAAAAAGGAGCAAGAGATATACAAAATATGAGCCATGAGAGAGAGAGAGAGACAGAGACAAACAGACAGACGGAGAGAGAGAGAGAGAGAGAGAGAGAGAGAGAAGGAGATAGGGAGAGAGGGAGAGAGATAGTGAGTATTCAAAAGAGAATGAGGAGAAACAATAGAGTAAGGGCCACAGCACAATTATCCTACATTTTATCCAAACAAATTAACTACAAAGTGCAATATGGAAAAGAAACACTATTTACAAGCAATTGTGAGTAAATACAAAAGCAAAAGCTTTAAAAAATCAAGAGCAAGATGGGGTAACATTTATAGTGCAATTTCCAAGCAAGCACACAATCACTACAGGCAAACGCAAGGGTACCTGTCTGACGAAGAGGGCCACGTAAACTTCCTATGAATAGCATAGGTGATGGAATGGTTGGTAAGGTTTGGTAATAAAAGGGGACAAAAACAGAAAATTACACATAGAGGAAAAGTACCAAAGCAAAATTTGAAATATTGAAGGCAATCATCAAGGAAATTTTATGAAAAAATAAATAATTAGACAACAGATGTAAATGCTGAATTTAAATTTCTATAACAAAGGATTTTGAGAAGAATGAGAGAGCAATTTGAAATAAAAGAAAGAAGCAATGTTGTAAAAACTGAATGCATCAATGATGTATTTCTCTGTACTGAGAAAATGCATTGAAAAGACCGGAAGATACAATACTGCAAAATAACATTTGTAGAAGAAAGAATAGATTCCATTTATAAACCAACATACATTTGGAATAATAAACTTAAAGCAAAAATATACATGTATTACCCCATCAAAATATAATACTTTTCACAGCTTTTACGTTGCCAAATAAGTAAAACAACAAGAAATGAACAAATTCTTCCTACAAAAGGAACCAAAGTATGCAGTATTTAAAGATTTCTGCAAGAGGAATATTGGCAAATTAATCCTTACCTCCTGGATTTGAAGAATTTTGAAGAGTTTGATGGAAACGAGTTTTCTTCTCTCCCTTCTCGTCAATCTGATGACCCCCACCTCCAAATGGTTTGGTTTCCATGGCAACTCCCTAACAATTTATTTTGAGAAAGAGAGATAAAGAATATCATTAATTAACTTACATCATGATTTTACGAGTTCCTTTTAGTTAATCATTAATGATTAGAGATTTAACAAGTGACAATTTCAAGTACATGCAATCCAGTAGGAAATAAAGTTTTAAAAAATCATACAATATTTTTCAGGCACAAAAATTTATACAGACAATAATATATTAACTATAAACAAAAGCTAAAGGAATATAGAAAAATTGAAATAATCATTCTTGTTTGCATTATACATATACAAACATCATCAGTATATCAGAGTACAAATAAATAACTGAAATAAGCTATTGTCTTTCTGATTAAGCCACATAATCTATAATTTCCTGACTACATACGTGTACACAATTTATCTCATTAAGAATCACATAATATCTGATGAACTTTGTTTGCACAGTAAATGAAACAATATAATCTTTAATCTTCAAATGATTTGTTGATTCTTACCGTGCTGACGGGTACAAAGTTTTCTGGAGCGGTATTGGCATCACCCCAGGTCAGCTTCTTGGAGTTTCCCAATGCATCCCTCTCTGGAGCCCCCTGCCCTTTCCCCCATGGGTTGTAAACTACAGTCTATGGAGAAAATCATCAAGAATATAGTTATTTGGAGAACATGTATGCACGGCAAATATATTTTCTTAATCTAAAACTGGCTCAAATAGGATGATGGGAATCAAGATTTGTGATATTTAATTTCTAAATAAAATAGAAACTTTATCCCTAAAGCTGTCAAACGTATGGTGATATCATACGTGATTGATGCAAATGTGTATGCTTTGTATGATTCCATTTGGAATTGTTGTTTTGGTTGTATCATAAACATTCTGATCATAAGTTTGACTTTTTGCAAACATTCTGCAGATACTGTTTCTTCTAAATTAAACATTGAAATACAGCTTCAAGCCGGTGGTGTGGAGGTAGAATGATAAATTACAAAAATATCCCTAATACTATTTTATATAACGATTATGCTCTTCAAAAAAAAAAAAAAAAATGCTCGAAATACAACATGTACTTACATTTCCTTCTCCTGGTGCTGTTGAATGAGAGATGGGGAAAATGGTGGAAAATGGAGGAAGTTAATCATTACTATAGAAAATTAAAAGATGTTTTAAGTCACTTTCAATAAATATAGTACCACTAAACAAAAACTCATTATATTTCTTTTTTTACTGTGTTCAAATGAGGTTTAACAAACTTGGTACTTACTGAAATGATACATCTTATAATTTTTGCTACAGTATATGTATTTTAAAAAGTATACATTGGGACTCTCTTTAGCTTAACACGTTATCAGTTGAGAGCCAGAAGGATATTAACTCTGTGTTAAAATATATGCATCAAAGCCCTTCTAGCGCTCAGCAGACAATATCCTTTAGAGATGCAACAGACCAAAGATAGATCTTTTTAATACATGACTTACCAAGTTTCTTCATGTAGGGTTTTTCTTCAATCTGTTTTAGTTCCAGTGGGTCTTTGGCAAGAGTCCTGGCTCTCCCAGTCATAAGGTTACCTAATGAAATAAAGGAATATAATCATGTACTTATTATTATTAAAAATCTAAAACGTTGGATGGTTTAATCTAGTAAACAAAATCTTAATATCAGGCACCATTATATCTCTCAATAATTTGAATGTAGGAGACAATCTTTCACATAAGATTTTTAAATATTAATAACAGACTCACCCTATCTATTTCTTGATCTTCAAATACCCCCATTACATCTTAACCCCTCCCCCTTTTTTCAACTGGGACCCTAAATATATATTTTTACTGGATTGTAATTCATTAAAGAACATTTTCATCATATTGTATGTTAATTAAAAGTATTTTTTCATTATTTTTCAAGTTTAAGAATAACAAAACAAAACTGAAGTTAATTGGTGTAACGCTTCCAAGTAAGCACAATGAAACGTAACTATGGTATGAAAACTCTAATAAAAATCTATGTATATTCTACTAACTTCAACAAACTTTCTTGATAAATGTCTTTTTTCTAGATGATATTGATTACATATACAACATATTGTAATGTAATCAGTGCATTGTTTCTTAATGAGCTCATCTAAACTGATAAGCATGATTGCAATTCAATGTGCAATCATTCGAACATGACTTAATGTCTTATGTGTTTTAAATGCCAAGTGGTATTTACATCTGGCAATCTATTATTTACGACTCCGGAAAGATGCCAATTCGCTGCACAATTAATCAATATCCCAGGATCTTTCATTGTTACGATTCTGTTTACCTAACCACAGATATTGATTTTCTGTAGCTAGCTTCACCCCAGGTTCTATCTAACTTGCCGCATTCCATAACCACTTAGACCACCGTCAAGTAAATATTATGACTATCTAGTATCTTCCTGACCAACCACTGCTTAATTTTGTTTTCCACTTTTATGAAGATTGAACAAAAAGTAAAGGTATCAAGCAAATGGCAGCTTCTATATTTCTGCATTTGTCAACAGACATATAAGTGAAGGGTAGTGTACAACTGCATAATAAAATAGGTAAAATAAGCCTTTTATAGCAGTTTCAAATGACAGACTCTTGTCAAGTGTGGAATTTGATTTATATGAAACTACTTCCTCATGTACAAGAATAAAATACATATTTGAACATAACATGTTTACCCTTTTTAATGCTTTGTTTTTATATCACACATGTATGCTGAATGTATGTCTTTTTACTTTTATCATCAAAGACAAATAGAAAGTTATATTCAAAATAACAATACAAAACTATACTTTTCATCCAGTATAAAGACAGAGCCAGCAACCTTGATATCAGTAAATTGCTAGTGATTTACTCTTTAATTGAATCAATTATTGGTGTTTGCCTCCTCACAATCAAATATTGACTTACCTGAGTCGGTCTTAATTGGAGCACCTGCACCAGATTTTCCATAGGGGTTGTAGTCCCACTGTCAATATCAAAATGATAATAGTAAATGAGTTTTACTTTGCCTATCTTCATAGTACAAGTGTTTTGAATCAATTGAAAATCATATACAATATAAGTTAGAAATATGATTATATATGAAGGTTTACATTAAAAAAAAGTTAATGCTATCAAGTCATAAAAGACAACCACCATGATCTGCTATCCAGTAATTCAAGTTTGAGTGGTACAACACCAAGTGAAGATGTTACAGTGATAACATGAAATTAAACATGAACATGTATGTTTATATATACAGTATATATATATATATAAAAAAATATATATATATATATATATATATATATATATATATATATATATATATATATATATATATATATGTAAATGATTAAGAAAAAGAAGGAAAAAAATTACTTTTGGATAGGAATTTTTCAAATGCATTTGCTGCAGTAAAATCATGATGGAAAAGGGATCATAATTGATTAATAATGGATGTTAAATGGATTATAAGTAAATTGAATTTTGAAAACATGAGTTTAGAAATAACTAGCCTCAAAAGGATTACTTGATCTCCGATTATGCATTTCAAATCAGACTTACCGTTTTCCTCTCTTCTGCTTTCTCAATCTGTCTCTCCATTTCTTTTACGGTTCTCTTTTCTAATGCCATGTTTCCTGAATATTCAAATGCACATCAAAATTATGAAAATTAAATATATATATATAACATTTGTAGTGGTAAAAAGGTTTGTAAGTATTGTAGAAAAAATACAAAGACAAAACAATAGACCCCATTGTTCCATTTGTTATGGTAAAAAATAAGAAAAAAAGAAAGGAAAAAAAACACCATGCATTAGGAGTTTCCTAAAATGTTTTAAAAATGAATTTATATATATTGAAATCAAAGTGACCAAGAAAGACTACAACCAAATGAGAATATTTCCTGAAAAGATGAACTTCATAACAATCACATCATCTTCCTTTTAAATACCTTCACCAAAAGAAAAAGAAACAAGTAACACAAAGAAGGCATGTTTCTTCCTTTTAACACAAATAATGAGAGTCATTTTGCTTGAAATTTCCAGAAATTGCCATCCACCAGATCACCCACAGCAATAAGCAAAAAAGAACGCATAATAATGTTAAATAGTACCTTCAAGGTTCTTTTGTAAATCTCCTTTAACAAGGAAAAAAACAATAGGAATTATTTCCATAAAATATGAACTATATATTCTTACTTTAGCATCTTCTTTGGTACATGTATATTAGCTTTTAAATAAAGTGTCTGATAAAACTGCATATATAACTTTTCTCCATGTTATACTTAAATCAATCCAACTTTTGATTATCTTAAAAAGCTTATATATACTTGCTTTAAAAGAACACGTCTCTACTTCATAAGACCGTGCAGTTTGGTGACAATACATATTGTTCTATACAGAAAATATTCATTGATAAACATTGGTACATTTGTATTACTTTGAGGAAAGTCATTGATATTTTTACGGAATTATTCAACTATTAGTAGGCTACTACTACTAATGTTGTAGTTTATTTTCCTTCAAGACAAACTGGATTATTATCAACATTGCCTTGAAAAAAATTCAAGTTAAAGATATTTTAGAAGTAGTTTTAAGAACTTATTATCAAAGCTCCTATGGATAGAACCACTTGCAATAAATTGTTCCTTACCTAACTCTGTGTTCACTTTGTCTCCAAACTCCTTGGCGTTGGTATAGCGCGTGTTGTTCTCAACCCCTCTTCTCATTCCCACTCCATCTCTGAACCTAATATCAATGTTTGATCGGATGCTTGTCTTCACATTGCCAGAGTCTGTGCGGATCGGTGCTCCGTTGCCTGGCTTACCAAACTGAAGGAATTTAAGCTGTAGAAATCAAAAAATTTAAAGGTTTGAGAAAAATGAAAAGAAATAGAGAGAGTGTGTTGGATAGAAATTGTGAATGGTTTATTTGACATGGTATGATTTACTGCTGATATATCAGTTTATTTGTATATTTATTCTTCTTTTTTGTATCCATTAATCCAAAAAAAGCAAGAAATACAGAATACATTACACATTTAGAAAGGGTGAGAAAAAGAGAGGGCATGCAAAAGCAAATACAAATCATAAAAATTAAAATTAAGCAGTTCATCTTGTAACTCAAAAAAAAATTACTAGGGGCCATAAGATGTAAACATAGAACACAACGAAACACAAACAAAGGTGAACAAATTAAGAAAATAAAATCATGAAAATGCTATTTTAGGAAAAGGAAAAAAGAACATATCAATAAAAACTCAAGAAAGAGAATTGAAAATAAAATTACAATGAGAAAAATAATATGCTCACAATTTCTGGTCCATCGTTAAGTTGTTCATTATGTACAGCCTTTGTTCTATAGCTTTCTTGTTCTCTTCGTGGGGCTCCAGCTCCTGGTCTTCCAAATGGTTTATACTCCCTCAGCATCTGAAGATCCTATACAAGGAGAATTATATATTCTAATAACATATATTCTTAGTGTAGTGATATTAGCGCTAGCACAGCTATCACTCCAATAGATTACATGTATTGTAGACAACTGCCATTTTGCACTCAAAGTGTGTACAATCTCTTTGTGGTGCCAGCGGTGGGATACATGTATGAAATTCATCATTATATTAAACATGAAATTATTACACATATCATTATTATCATTACAGCGTAATCAAAGGATAACTAATATTGCTCTTTAATGTATCATGGCCAGTATTCTCAAAAAATGTGGCTTAATTAACTTAAACCTGACTTACATGTACCTTAATTTACTGATTGATGGAAGGCTAAAGGTTAATCTCCTAATTTATGTATATACAGTAGTAAACTACTTGAATTATGTATCAATTTTTTAATTAAAATATGTAACTACTGTATATAACTAAAATAAAAAGTATATTCCATATAGACAATTTTTCATATACTTCATTGAGTTACATAAAGGTGATTTGTACAGGATGAAAAGGTTCTGTATTGCACTTTAAGTGGACTAAGCCATCAGGTCTAAAGTTTGGTCACTTTCTGGGAATATGGGAATATATATATATGTCTTAAATATGTTCACTCATTTCAAACATTCCTGGTGTTTCTTTTTTAAGACAGATGCTTTGTTTTTCATTTGCAAATGTTGAAATGGCTTATTTCTAACAATACACATGTATGTATGCAAACATGTAGAAACATACAGAAGAAAGTGTCCAAAAATCATCTGAGAGTGCTAGACATATACTGAATAAATACTCAGTTCCAACAATAATCAAGGGAAAATCGCTAGAACTGTGAGCTTACCTTCTTCTTTGTGTCCACGTCTGTTCTCAATTGCTCTTTCTTCATATTCTTCCATTGGTCTTGATCCCATTCTGCCTCTGTCATCTGTCTCGCCTTCTTTCTCACCTCAGCAGAACTGTCAAGAGACATATTGATCTCATTATTTAAAAAATGGCTACGATATCTAGGTTTCGAAGCCATACTTATCATAGTTGGGTCCTATTAATTATTCCCAGGCAAATTTATATGCACAATGTTTAAACTGTATTTATGCTATAACTTCTAACTACAGTTTTATTCTTCTGAGTGCCAAAAAAAAAAAAAAAGAGCTTCAGTACATCTTTGTTTTTCAAATTTTCAAATAATAATCATCTCTTTTTAATTATTAACAACAGGTTTAGTGCATGTGAAATATTACAATTTCATTTTTAATATAACTTGGATTAACACAAATGATAAAAAAAAAAAATTGATATGATAACAAATTATAAAGGAAAACAAATCTATGAAGTAAATAAATAGGCATGGAATTACATGTATTTATCTTTTGTTTAGAAAGCAATTATTGTAGTATAGTGTCGATAGTTTAGTCAATGTGACACACAATAGTAATGCACTGGACTTACGATCTATCTTCATTCCAGAAAGGGGTTTTCTTCTTGGCCGACATCCGAACATTGGGTGTTTTGTGGTGTTCTTCAGAACCATACTGCACTCCATTTTTGGATATCACGTTCGGTCTCCCTGAATGGATTTAAACAAAATGATATAAAATATTGGTCAGTGTACATTCTTTATGCTGAATGCCAGAGAAATTTATTTTCCTATGATTCAGGGATTACCGGTAACAGATGGCCCAACAATAGCCTAACTATAAGACTACACTGTGTACCGTATATATCCCAAACTCACTTTTGAATTTCTTCTCCCCAAGATTGTACGAAATTATATAAATATCTAGAACAAATATGTACCCAGATAACAATACGACGTTACGCCAACGTGGGGCCAACGTAAGCTGTTACGTTGGTCCAACGTCGCCAACATGATGTTGGGCCCACGGCTTTCTTGCCGGCGGGCCAACGTTGGCCCGACAGTGACAAAATGACATTAAGCCAACATCGGGCCAACGTTATGCCGACCCCTATCCGACCATATGTGCCGATGTCCTCCCGACATTGAACCAACGTTATGCCAACCTCTTTTCCACCGTATGCCGACGTCTTTCCGACATTGGACCAACGTCGTCCCAACCCTTTTTTAACCATGTGCCGACGTATGACCAACGTTATGCCAACCCCTATCCCACCATGTGCCGACGTTGTTCCGACATTGGATAAACGTTATGCCAACCCTTATCCCACCATGTGCCGACGTCTCCTCGACATTGGCCCAACGTTATCCCAACCTCTTTTCAACCATGTGCCGACGTCTCCACGACGTAGGGCCAACGTTATTCCAACCCCTATCCCACCATGTGCCGACGTAGTTCCGACATTGGACCAACGTTATGCCAACCCCTATCCCACCATGTGCCGACGTCGTGGGCTGTTACGTTGCGCCATCGTCGCCAATGTGATGTTGGGCCAACGGCTTTCTTGCCGGCGGGCCAACGTTGGCTCGACAGCGACGAAATGACATTAAGCCAACATCGGGCCAACGTCCCCCCGACGTATGACCAACGTCATGTCAACCCCTATCCCACCATATGCCGACATAGGACAAACGTAATGCCAACCCCTTTTCCACCATGTGCCGACGTCTCCCTGACGTAGGACCAACGTAATGCCAACCCCTTTTACACTATGTGCCGACGTCTCCCCGACGTTGTCCTAACATAATGCCAACCCTTTTCCCACCAAGTGCCGACCCCTCCTCCACCATGTGCCAATGCTAGACCAACGTTATGCCAACCTCTTCTCCACCATTTGCAGACGTAGAAGCAACGTTATGCCAACCCATATCCCACCATGTGCCGACGTTGTACCTCCCCTTTCCAGTTCATGCCAACATCCTTCTGACATTACCAACACCAACTCAAAAACATATTCACACCAACATCAGTCGTCCGTTCATAAGAACATCGTCAAGATCATACTACATCGGACATGTACAATCATTCAAACACATGCATCACAACGTGACAAGGAAAAGCCAAGTAGTTTAAGATTGGATTAAATAAATAAACAGAGCAAAATCCACAAAATGAAGGTAGTAACAATTTCATCAAAATTAGACTGAATTTGAGAAAAGTTCATTATAGAACTCGACTTAGATCCCTCTGGAAGATATGTATAATTACAATATTGAAGCAAGAGGGACATGTTATTTAATTTCGTCATGTCTATTATCTTGTACATTTTAATCACTATCAAAACTTGATAACAACTTATTTGTCCCATTTTAATGAAAAGTTCACCATCTTGCTTCTTAGAATTTGCTCTGAATACATCCCCCTCCCTCCAAAACAAAAGAACAAGGAAAATAAACTGATTTTGTGATAAAACATACTTTATTTTATGTGTAATAAACAAACTGTTGTAAATGTGAATACAATGATTGTACATCTTTCTTTTGTATTTTCGTTTGAATTCGAAAAAAGATGTAAACATAGTTTCAAGTTCAAGGTATCTCAATGTGTCACAATATAGGCCTACTATCAATGAATGCTAGGACGACAGGAGCTGTTATAAAATGAATTGTCGCTTACACGTAACACAACATAACATACTGAAATTCATTGTACGAATATAATAAACAATCCTCACAACTTCCCGAGTAAAACAAAACGAACTTTCTGGCAGACGAACACGATTGCTTATGAAAAGATTCCTCTACATTTGTACAGCACAAAAATATAAAGAAATTAATAAAGTGTCCACCATTTGCATACCAAGAAACTAGGCAATTAATGTAAACAATGTTCCATAAAAAATAACAAATAAAATTCAGAGAAATTGCCAACATTTTTTATGCTTAGGCATTTCAGAGATGCTGATACATTTCGTCGCCATATATATTGTTAACACATCTACAAACTGTTTTTTTTTAGGAGGGATAGTATACATTGCTTGAATGTGTGAAGTAAAGCAATCGCTAAATGTTTATATAACAAGAGAGGAAATTGGAAAGTGAAGTAAGAAAGAGCAGAGCTTGTAAAGGGAAAAACACAAGTTTCTTCACTCTGATATACCACTTCCAATATTTCTTTAAATTGAGAAGAAGGTAGTACGAAAAACATTCAGTCACTTAGATATATGAAACATTTTTTTTCTTACCTTTGAAATTCTTTATAGCATGCATTTAGTTGACACGTTATACAGGCATTCAAGTCAATTACGACCTTCTTCGACTCATGGTATAGCTCTCTTTTTAAAATTGGGCCATTAGTGAAATTTCACCACAATAAATAACAAGTAAAGATGCATAGCACACTATTTAATAACAAAAGTTATTGTTTATGTTTGTGTACAAAACATAATGCCTGCAGAGCTGGCTAGCAAGCACCGTAGCTTGCCTAAGCGGAGATCGTTCTTGATATAACATCACTAATCCTTTGGTCAATCATTCCGAGGAACTCTGAGAATTGTAAGGGTCGGGGTCCACCATTAGACGAGCAACTTGGAGAGGTTTTCAAAAAATTGTAAAAAATATAAGGAGGCATTTATTTATGAAACAATTGTTATTATGTTGCTTTAAAAGGGTCTTGATACAAGACATAAAAGTTTTAATTTCCTAAGGCAATGGACCTTTAAAGAATGCGTTAGTCGGAATCAAAATCTTGTCTAGCTTGTGGTGGTACAACTTCGACATCTGTGGCAAAAAAAGAAGAAGAAAGAAACCAAACAAGATTTAAAAGCAGAGCATGGAAACATCACCTTGAAATAGAACGGATATTAATCAAATAGTACGGCATTCAAGGGAAGTAGTCCTGAGTGGCACATCCTCCCTAGTTTTGATGAAATTTCATGGATAGAAGTACTTTGTCATGAAAATAACTTTGCTCAAACTTTAGAGCGAATGACCCAGACGTATGGAAATTAGAGAGGAATGGATTTCTTTTATTTTTGTCTTGTTTAATTAGAATAGCATCAAACGCTCTTCTTAACAAAGGAAATATACATTTGAGGTAAAATGGCAGTAATATTCTTCAATAGAAAGAACCAATTTGTAGTATCTGTTTGCTCAGTGTTGAGATGCTTGATTGATAACAGTTTAAAGCCCCTCTTAAGTGTTGGATCCCAAAATTAGCCAAAGAATAGATGGCACAATCTCACTTAAATGGTATGATGTAAAAGAGGATGTCATTAACACCGGACACTTCTGCAAATAGAATATTGCCCTGACAAATGTGTTTGGAGTAGAATATGGATGAAAGAATACAAAATTTGCGTTTTCTGCATACAACACAAAACCCTTAGTTAGCAAGTTTGTATTCTTTCTAATTTTTAGGACAAATGTTTGAAGAAGAGTGGCATTTTCTTTCACATCATTATAACATTGAAGTGAAATGTGAAGCTCCCAATCCTTTTTTTTTGTATTTATGTAAGCTCCCAATACTTGAGAGAGCTCGAGGGGCTTCAAAGTAGAAACAAAAACACAAAGCTATATCGTTAGTTGCTTATACAAGAAACAAATCAATTGACTGTGTTTTGTTTTTTGTGGCACCCTGCATTCAGAATTGTTTCCAAAAAAATACTGCTATAAGCAGTATTTCATGATTTGTTGTTGTTGAATAGTTTTGTAAGTGATCACAATGCAGTTTCTCAATATAATCAGGAAAAAGATACTAGCATCCGTTAGCAGCTATGTCCTACACAAACGTACATTAATCCAGTACATTTGTACTTTGTGTGCAGGGCACAACTATAACGAATACTAAGAAGTGGTATCCTGTCTACATGTATAACTAAATACAAAATGAATAAAATGCCAAATGACATACTCATATTCCTGAATGTTGAGGTCAATGGGGTCGTTGGGGTCGACAGTATTCTGGAGGTTGATGGGGTCGATGTCGAAGGGGTCCTTGGTGACGTTGATGCTGTTCTGGATGATCGAGGTAGGGGTAGCTGGATCTGAACGGGTAGAGGAATCTGGAATTTGTTGTGAAGTTGACGATATGAAATGCAGGATTTAATATTTAAATTTCAGAATTGTAGGGATTATGGGAGAAAAAAGTATTGGGATTTGGAAGAGCTATATAGAATTGAATGTATTAATAAAGAACGTCAGAATTTTAAAAATAAATAAATAATTAGAATATTTACCTTCAGTTCAAATTATAGCAATTTAATATACATGTGCATAAACAATAAAAACTAATTTGAAAATGAGAATAAAAATGCAGCAATAATCAAATTTGTGAATGAAAATTGTGAATGAAAATTATGGGATCGATCAGTGTTACCCCCGCCCCCAATAGTTTTTCCTATTTACTATTTGATCAAATTGAGGTTCTTGGCCAATTGCGACTTTAAATGATTGCAAATGCCAAAATGAGGGTAATTCCCACCAGCTACCTCTTTCACATCACACTCACAATCCACTAAATGTGTTGATACAAAGTTCTTGCATATTTTGGCAGACTTGGCACACTTCCTTGTAAGATTTCAGGAGGCTAGAAACATGTACTAGCGGGATATCTTAATTCACAGCCCAATCTCGTAATTTATTCCTTTTCGAACTGAATCATCATCAGCATATATGGAGCTACTACAGAGTATAGTATAGACCTACTTCTA